CTTTTAGCACGGACTCGGGAGTAAAGGAACATACTCTCACAGTTGTTATTGCATCATCCGCGGTATGTTCTGCATACAGATTCTCGTTCTTGAATGGAATGATGAGTGTTCCGGTGAAGCGCTCCATGGGACAATCAGGATCGTCGTCATCAACATCGTCATCCACGGTTAACGCGGTGATAACAACTTCTCCAATCGTATGACCTTTGTAGACACTGTCACAAATCAATGGTGCTGCGTAACATGAGATCAAAAAAAAACTGACCGCCTTCTCACATCGGTGATCTTGCCCGTGAACAACACTCTTGCAGAGCTGGAGCCACCTACAGCGTCAACAAGAATTGACCCAATCCGAGACAAACTTGATTGTTTGCGAGCCAATGCAATAGCTCGTCCAATGCGCCAGCTTAACGATACTGTGTTCTTAATCATAGCATTATCCACATAATCAGCTTTCAGAGGGCAGCTGGCCTGTCCTACGTGCGTCCTAATGAACACGAGACACCATATGATCATCACGCATAGTACTCGTGACACTGTCACCACTCACCCCATTTCAACACATGCCGCTCGTAAGGAAGCATCGACGTCAATGTCACGTTTGGCCTTTGTCATGATCTGTAGATAGTTCGTCGATTTTTACTGGAAACGTGAGAGGGACAGATACCATAACGTTCCCATCTCCACTGGATATAGCGCTCGGGAGCATCTTGACCCCAGTGCCGCTAAAGTCGTAGACATTGGCCGTAGTTTGGTGCCACTTTCAAAACCGTAAATTTGGAGCACACATCCAAGATCAGAATGATGCTGCTCACGGTGGGGTATGCACGGCCCTGTATATATGTGATGATTTTAGACAACGAACCACCTGCTTGTTGCTACATACCATAAAGTCCCCATCTATGCATGGTATATCGGTGTATTTCGTCGATCCCAGAATCATCTACAGCAATGTCAATATTTGTCTTCGCTCGACGAACTGAAACATCATACGTTGATCATACCGTTTGCGCCCCCGATCTCTATCCCACAAAGGGCTTCTGGTTTCACAATCTAGAATTATATCGTTAGAGCACTACAATAGTCGGACCAGCCAAGATGACATTACCCCTATAAAGGACCACAGCTCCGCACTAGCCTCTTGATATCTAACGACTCAAATAATCAGGTATCACCTTTCAGTTCATGCAGCGAAAATACTGACTCGTTGCCAAGTAGTCTCTCAGAGGACACTTCTGGGCTACCCATGCCTCCACCCCATCCAACCAGTGCATTCGACGTAAGTGACGAAAAGTCAACCACTCGCACTGTTTCACCTGACCGTACGAGTTCTCTTAGCTCCAGGAAAGTATGCAAGGGGGACCCGCCACCGCCGCATCCCAATACATAGCAGCCATCTGCAATCCACTCCAGATCAACCTCGGACAAGAGCCATTCTCTCTTTTCTATCCTAGGCTCGTACTCCAAGATGTCAGTCGCAGAACGCATGACCGGCGCCACAACGGCAGAGGCGACAGCGGATGCTACCATTTGTGGCCGGGAGGCGGTCTCCCTGGTAGGAGCTTCAACGTGCAGAGGATCATCGACCTCTAGCCAACTTGGACTAGCGACGCCACTCCAGTCTCCAGCGGCCTTGACATAAAAACGGCAACGGCCGCTGGTATAGGCGATCGGAATGACCTCGCTTTCCACTATGGCGACACGGTGCGGATCTGCTCCGGAAGCAATTGCTCGAGCGATAGCCCTGGCTTCGACATCAGCGCGAACTTGTACGATGGTTCTTGTGGATGTGTCTTCGAAGGAATCAATGATGCCTGATATCTTCAGATCGAGATTGAGTATCAATGGGGAGGAGAAGGTCATTTCTTCATTACCTGGGCAATGGCAGCGCCAACAGCATTCGCGACGTCGAAGTGAGGGAATCTGTGAACCCGGCTGATGCCCGCAAGAACATCTGGAGCAAGGATGGACCCTCCGCCGACCAGGTAGACTGGGATATCTTGGGAAGATGTTTTCATGGCATCAAGGTAGTTCTGGAGCATCTTCTTGATAGCACTTTGAGCGCCTTCGATGATCGACTGCCCAATTCCGGAAACAAGACTCTCGTCTCCAATGTTTGAAGCGCGACCTGCTGCAACAACCACGTCGGTAGCGGTCAGTGTAGAGCCACCGAACACTAGAGATTCAGAGGTGATCCGATGGCCAACAGAATTAGGACCAACAGTGACCTTCTTCGTGACTGGGTCCTCTCGGACAACGGAACCCCCGCCAAGGCCAATACTAGAGCATAGAAAATCAATTTACCATGAATGCTTGATACACTGTCAAAACCAGCACCTGGTAACATGTGGCATGGAGAAGTTCAATAAAACCCCACAGAACTCGTGATGGGCGGCGGCTTGGCGAGGGAACCCACTAGGTCTAATGGGTTGTCAAGCAAAATTAGTATGGTTGCTAAAACCTCTACTTTGTTCACGAACAGCAACATTCCGATGTCTGTCTAGATAAGATAACAGTGAGCCTGTTGCCACGAAGCTGAATGTTGTCTCAGCGACACACCGTTGTGCCACCAATATCAACTACCAGTGCGGATTGCTTTGAGATGCCTGACTCCAGTGCGGCCAAGAACGCGGCGCCGCGCATGGAATTCGTTGGGCCGGACGAACTTCGAGGAGAATTATCAATCGATTATGATAACCCTTGTCATCGAGACCTCTTCGAGAGAAACACGCACAAGGTTCGAATAGGAAGACGCGCAGCTTGTGCGCAGCTGAGCAAGGTGCCATCATTGCTCGTGATGAAAACGGAGCACTTCAGCTCGAGTGCCTTGGCTGCCTTCTCGAAACCTATTACCGTCTTCTTGGCGTATCGCAATAATGCAGCATTCAGGATAGATGCGTTTTCACGCTCCAGCAGCCCGATGGCGGCAACGTCCTTGGAGCATACGACGTCCATTCCTGGAATGCGCTTGCGTACAATCGCTGCGACTGTTTCCTCCTGTTGGATCTCAAAGTCGATGGGTGCGAACACCGAGGACACGACGACTGCGTGTATGCCCTGGAAATCATATCAGCTGCATCCAACGTGCCCATCATCGTTTCCGTACCTGACGGTTGATTTCGTCGCAGGCGGATTCGACTTGCGCAACGACAACAGAAGCAATCTCACTTCCGTCAATTTGCAGGCCTCCTGGGAGCAGGAAATGGGGACCTTCGAGTACTGCGGGAAGTGGACATCAGTATAGGACGTCATCGCACGTTCCACAGCAGCAACTCACGGTCTCGCAGCTCGTGCGGAAAGCCTACGAATGGTGGTGTTCCATGCGTAAAAGGGCCACACAGGCGAATGACCGCGACTCTGTCCAAACGCCGAGGATCTCTTTCTACCAATGCATTTACAAAGTGCTAGGATGTACGCGAATCAGGACGCAAGTTTGTGCGTGTACGAAGCGAATCTTACTGTTGTGCCGATACAGAGCGCTTGAATGTTGGACTTGCTCTGAGCTCGTGTCAACACGGACTCGATGGCGTTTTGGATTCCCAAAGTAACGTCCGGTGTGGTGAGGTGTTTTGCTGATGCGAGAACCTGGCCTCTTCGCGAACCCTCTGACAGATCGAGGAGAACTGCATCGCTGGTGAACGTTTGTCGAGTCCGCGGAGTCAAGCCTATTCAAATCAGGTACGCACGTATTTGTTCCTCCTACGTCAACACCTAAGCGTAGGATGGGGTGGACTGAACTCATTTATGGTCGAAGGACTGCTGGTATCGTCTTGGACCGACAAAAGGTAGGTGGGTATGATAAGGATAACCAAGATGGGGACCGAAGCAACCGTGGTGCTTTGGCCCGGGTACAACCAAATTAGCAGATAAGCGAAATCGAGGTTCGATTCGTATCGAGCGCTAAGCAGGAGCTATTACTTCAACAATAGCTTGGGCAATTGGGCGTGACCAAGCACCACCAGGTCGCTACGAGTGATCATTGCAAACATATCGGTCAGATAACACGTGCGAGCTCACCAGAACGGTTCACGTGAATATCAGATGACTGCTTGCTATTATTGGTTCGGACATTCCTCGGATGCAGCACTCGCAATTCGGGTCTTACAGCTACTAGCTTTCAGACTAGTTGTTTTTTCGTCTTACCGCTTCTAGATTCACCTGTGGAACAAAAGGGCCCCGCTTATTACGATACTTGGTCGGGCGAAATACCTTTGGGGGCGCTCTGCCTGGATATCGTGTCACCGCCGCATGCACTCTCCGGCTGTCAAACAGCAATAGGTCATTGTCTCTCCACATGTCGCAGCTGCTTTATGCACAGTAGACAGTTATCATGATCATAAAATGTTGGCGGAACCAACGAACTTCCGAGTCCTGAGGGTATTCTGCCCGAACAGTATCGTAAACTAGACCCTGTTGTTTGTCCGGTTCCACAAGTAAATATAGAAATGGGATCTGGCCCATCGGTATGAAAGTAGCTGGAAGAGGAGGGCATCGAGAGACGTGCAAACAGCGACGAGGAACTCTCAGCTACATAACGGTGTCATTTGCATTCATTTTAGGATGAACGGCGGAGTAAGAGGGGACAATCACAGCTCACCAAATATTGTAATTAAGTCGATGCTGCAGCCTGTGATGGATCAGAGAATTGGATTGATAGCAGTCGATGCTGATTCGGGTGAAGCACAAGCACTTAGCAGGTTGACCCGAAGCCTCTTGGAGGCTGAGTGAGAACATCGCGAAGCTTAACCGAAAACTACGAGTAACGCCGACAAGATCAATTAAATCACGAAATCAGAACCGAGTAAAGACCCGTGAGATATATATTCCAATTCAATACGAGTTAGTTCGATTAGCACATGTTGGTTTTGGCGGCCAAGGCCGCAGCGCGTTTCTTGAGACCAACGTCCATTCATCAAGACATTGCACCATTTTGATCGTCGACGGCCTGCGCAGGCATGGCCAGTCTATCAGATGACGGTCTAGCAGAAGTCCTATCAAATATGCCAGATTTCTCGGCACCAGCCTTTTCCTCCGCGGGCCAACGCAAGTTTCGGCTCCAACTCCTCCTCGATAACAAGGAAAAGCAACTACAGCAGGCTGGAACTCTCGGTCAGCGGGTTCTTGCACAGCAGATAGAGCTCGAAGAGAAGATAAGACAACTCCAAGAATTTGATGCAGAACGTGCAGAAGACGAGGAACTAGATACTGACGCGCGCGAACGCTATCGCGAGCTAGCAGAGACTATTGCTGCTTGGGACGCAGAGAACGCCCAGCTATCTAGTGCTTTTGGCCAAAAAGTGAGTCTTTCATTTCAAAATTTCAGACAAGCGCCTATTGTTGGTCAATGCCACATGCACCCCGCCTCGCCTACGAAATACATAATGCATCATGCACTAACGTGTAATCTACTTGTCTCTAGCGTCCTCCTACCCAGCAATCATCTCCGACCCTACCGATCAACGATCTTCCTCGAGAGGAGCCCGAACGCTCCAAAGCCTCAGCTTCATCTGCTGCCCAGTCTCGTCGTGCCAAAAATGCTGCCCATCGAGCAGACGATGTCGGTAAGTTTCTCATCCTGTTTGCTTTTGCTTTCACGACTCATTATTTCCCCAGAATTTGCGTTCGAGATCGGAAGCGGACTGCTTACCGAAGTGCGACGGCTCCAGAGTCTTCTCGGCGAGCGTGACAAGGCCATCCAAGACATGAAGGAGGAGAAAGATGACCTTGAAAAGACCGTCGAGTCTCTACGTACCGCGCTTCGATCGCAAGAACAGAGCTCAGGTCGGTCTTCTAATATTCCTTTACTTCGTGAAACTTACTTGCCGCAGACAAGTTCAAAGAAGAAAATTGGAACCTCGAAGTCACTCTCCAAGAAGTCCGCACCCAGTATTCAGACTCGCAGTCAACAATCGTGCGCATCGAAGGCGAGCACAAGCGGGTTACGAAACAGCTCAACAACACTCGAGAAGCAGCAGACCAGTACAAAAACGAATTGCAGCGTGTCCAGACTGCATACGATGATATGAAAGCTAAGCACGAGACAGACGTGGCACAGGCGCGTAAGCATGCTGCGGGTCTACAGCGCGACAAGTCAGACTTGCAGTCCTCGCTTGATGTACTGAGGGCGGAGGTAGAGAAATCGAGCCGTCGCCTCGGTCCACGATTCGGGAGTCCACTCACGCCTGGTGCAAGCCAGGGTAAAGAGTACTCGACCCCTGCCGCAGAGGATGATGATGTCTTTACCACAGCCAGTACCAACAACAGGCGGAAAATGGACACTTCGGCTGTGTTCCAGCCTGACGCATTTGAAGATCTTGTAGACATTTCCCCTGACCCGTCACCATCACGCCCATTCCATGCGAGCAACCACCCTAATAACGAGATCGAGGCCCTTCAGCAGCGGCTTGCTCACGCCCAGAGGCAGATCAGCACCCTCAAGGGCAGTTTGCATCGCGAGAAGGAGATGCGAATGGAATATAAGCGCAAACTAGAGTCTTCCTCTGGGTATGTACATGCTGAAAACGAGCCTCCAGAAGATGAGACGAATGACGATGACGAGACTGAAACTAAACATCCTCGCCGGCTGACGCCATACCGTTCTGGTGGTGGCAGAGCCAGAGGCAGGAGAGGCAGAGGGAGGTCTTCTCTTGTTACCAGGCTCGGTATGGCAGCGCAAAGCCCCAGCACTACATCTGATTACAATGCCTCTCCTCCACCACCCGTACCGCTTCTCCCCGACTTCGCCGATGATATTCTTTCCGACGAGGGTAACGCAGAGGGCGAGCCGGAAGAGCACTACCTTGACCCCTTACCTTCTCCTTCCTCGAAGCGAACAAGCGTTGACGGTATGGACCCCGTGTTTGCAAATGTCCTCCGCAAGTCTGCGTCCTACAGCGCGTTCCCAAGCCAATCTAGCCCCCTTCGCCATTCCCTGCTGGCTCGCTCCTCCCCTCGCGGTGTTGGGCGTGGTGGAGCTCCATCAAGACGTGCTCGTGGCGGTGCTGCTTTCCAGGAGGCCAGACCGGCGTCCCTTGTTGGGGAACCTGAGGCTTTATCTGCAGAGCTCGGCATTACGTCTGTTACTGAAGATGTTGAAGTCAAGGTCACCGCTGAAATGGCGTGTCAGACCGACTTCGAGGACGTGACGGTGCTCGTACCCTCGCCCTCTTCCTCAGCGAATGACACGGGTGTGCAAGTCGAGCAAGCCCTTGAACCTGTGCCAGCATCTCCCACCACTTCTGAAATGTCGTGCCAGACTGACGAGTTCTTTGTGATGCATATGGAAACAGCTGTGCAGCACGAGCCTACTTCTCCTGTTGCAGCCCGCGCAAGCTTCTACCAAATGCAGCCCCCCGATCGCGTTTTCGTCGCACGGAGCTCGATGAGGCGTACGACGCTTACGCAGTCTGATTTCTCTCGTTCGTCAGAGGGCGACAACACCCTACGCGGCGGCCTCCCCGGTGAAACTAACGGCCGGCGGCCCATTCCGGGTGGATTCTCCTCTGAGGAGGAGAGTGACATCGATGTTGACTTGGACGACGGAGCGACGGAGACCGGTGTTGAAACAGATACAGATGTGGACGATTACCACGACGCGCGGGGGAGTGTTGCTACAGAGTCACGGGAGGACTTCCACTCTGTGTTGACGATGACGGACAACGACTTTTCGGAGAGTGATGATGAGAGTGTCAGGGCGCTTGGAAACTCAAGGCGGTCGTCACTATCGTCTACGACACAACATCGGGAGTTACTCCATCGTGACACAGCTACCTACGAGGAGAAGGGTGTTGGTATGGATGACATCGAAGAGCCGAAGATCATCGAGGTTATCAAGGAAGTGGAGGTCATTAGGGAGGTGGAAGTCATTAAAGAGGTAGAAGTCATCAAAGAGGTAGAAGTCATCAAAGAGGTGGAAGTCATCAAGGAAGTCGAGGTGCCTGTTGAAGTCATCAGGGAGGTGGAAGTTATCAAGGAGGTCCCGGTAGAGGTCATCAAAGAGATCGAGATCATCAAGGAGGTTATCAAGGAGGTTCCGATCGAAATCATCAAAGAAGTACCTGTGGAAGTCATCAAGGAGGTCCAACGACCAGTTGAAGTCTTGAAGGCAGTCGAAGTGGCCAAGATGGTAGCCGAGCCCTCTAAGCCAGAGCTGAAGGAAATGTCTGTTCAAACGGATACATTCACTGCTTCGCCCGTTATTGCAAGTTGGCAAGACACCTCTGCGTCATCTGTGACCCCGACTCCCACCCCCGCACCTTCTGTCCCTGCGTCCCCCGCTCTTTTCCGAGTGGGCGCGGCAGTACAACAGTTCCAGTTTGTTCCTGCACCTGCCATCGCAACGCCCGCTCCTCCTTCCCCCTCTCCTATCCGTGACTCTAGTCTCAGTACCACAAGCTTCGGCATCATTCGCTCTGTTACCTCTAATACAGATCATCGGCAGTCAGTTGAGTCTACAGTCTCTTCTGGTGCCGATGATGGAACTCGTCGTTCAAGGACCGCCTCTGTTGTGCCCTCTATTGTAGACAAGACTCGTCCCCCTATGATGGCCTTGCCGCCTCCGCCTCGCCAACCGCCTCCATCGGGCACTATGCCACCACCCCCTTTTATCCCGGAACGGAGAATAGCTACTACGTCATCGACATCGGACGCGCCGCCACCTCGTCCATCCTCCCCCCCACCTCCAGAACTCGTACAGCGCGCCACTACACCGACCTTTGGCACAATGCTCTCTGTGCATGGCAGGGGGAGTGCTTACGGTCCAAGGCAGCATGGCTCGAGCATGCCCCCGCCCCAATCAAATTTACGGCAGCCGCCATCCACAAGCAGCTTTCGGTCTGCTGCCAATGCTGCGGCGTATGCACAAAACTCAGTTCCACCGTCCGGCTTACCATCATGGGGTGTGCGCGAGCAACAGAGGAGTCAGATGTCGAGCACATCCCTGGCATCGGATAGAAGCGCGCTTTCACCACGGTCGTCCATGTCTTCCGACCACAATGTCTTCTTAAACCGCGCACCCGGTGTCAGCGTGCCCATCAACCCTGGCAAGAATGTCGAACAGCACAACGATAACAGACAGAGTATGTCGACAGACCCTGCTGTCATCCATGCGATTACCCAGACCATGATCGGCGAGTTCTTGTACAAATATACCCGGCGCACCATTGGCAAAGGCTATGGAGAGAAGAGACACAAGCGGTTCTTCTGGGTGCATCCGTATACCAAGACTTTGTACTGGAGCTCTGCTGACCCTGGATCATCAAATGTTTCAGAATCGAGTGCTAAGAGCGGTAAGTGAATTGATATGATATTCTCTGACGTTGAATTGATGGTTTATGTGGCGACAGCTTATATCGAAGGTGTTCGCTCTGTTTTAGATCCCAATCCCATGCCTCCTGGTTTATACCAGTACAGCGTCGTGATATCCACAGCTCAGAGAGAAATGAAGATCACTGCTCCTACCAAGGAACGCCATGACATTTGGCTCAATGTCCGTCGTTCTCGTCTTACTTTTGGGTGAACGCTTACATCTGTCTAGGCTTTGAAATACCTGCTTGCTCGTCCCAGCCCTCCGATAACACCCTCAGTCAGTCAGAATGAAAATGCGGCTGCCATGAGTCCCATGTCTCAAAGCGCAGAGCTCACAGATGATGATCACCGTCATTTGATTGATACGAGTCCCAAAAGTCAACGAAGTGGCCACAGCAGCCAGAACGGTGGCACTTTCAACACCACGCCGCGGGGCAGCCGGAGTAGATCACAAATCTCTGTTCGAGGGTCTGTAGGTAAAAGGTCTGGAACGCCAGCCGCGGAATACCTCCGATGGGCAGCGCCCGAGAGCCCTTACAGCCCTGCGAAGTCCTTCGAACGAGTAATGGGTCATGGCCATGACGAAGACGACCTTGAGTTTGAACTCCATGGCCAATCTCAGTCGGACGACGGGTTCGAAGGCTTGGAAAATGTGCGCGCCTGTTGCGATGGACGTCATACTGTCGGTCACTCTGGTCATCACCACCACACCCACAATGGTGACCACCTCCTTGAAGTGGGTGCTCCCGCACGGCCTGTGTCTCCTGCGTGGTCGCTTCGATCACGAACGGGGAGCACACACTCCCATGATGCGGGCGGCTTGTTTTCATGGGGCCGAGGGGACGATGGGAAGCTTCGCTTTGGCTCTCGTCGATCTACAAAGACTGTACCTAACGCTGTTGGTGATCGGTAGTCAGGCGAACAGCGCCCGTTTCCTCGCTCTTGCCTTGTCTATCTTTGCTTTTCGCGCACAATGTCTCGCTTTCTCGCAGCCTATCCTCCCTGATAATGGTCTTCGCTATATCATGATATAAATCTCTTATATTTTTCACTTTTTTTCGTTCGTGTATGCATTATTTCATTTTTTTTCTGGCAAAGTTACCCAATACTCCCGAGAACCGAACCGCTCCTTGTATCTCACCGGAACGCTATCTAGCATACCCACACTCCTTTATTCAATTCAATATGATCCATCATTTGCTGAGTAAATTCAAATGATCAAATCTCGTGCATAGTAAGTTAACTAGTTAAATCTGGTCGGTGGCTGCTCAAACCACTACTTCGTCGACTTTAGATCGGTGTATACAAAAACCCTGGCACGTAGTGAGTTTGTGTACGAAGAGCGAAAAGTTGGAAGTAAATGCAACGCACTGGTGTCACCCATTCTCTATTGCAGCTGCAGCATACACCGGCCCAGTCATAGTTGCCGAGCTTAGCACTGCATTTCGGGCAAATAATCTTCCCTGCTAATTGGCCACTCTCTAAGAAAGGTTCCATCCACTTCATCTGTAAGGTCATGATTGGTTGTGGATCGACGACAGACAAAGAAACACTTACCGGTTCGACAAAATACCCAGAACATTTGGGGTTCATGAGGATCGGTGGACTGACCACCGATTTTATCCCCGTCATACTCAACGACGGAGGCGTGCGCAGCGCCGCGAGTTTCGGATGAGAATGCAGCTCAGCTGCCAGGTCCAACGGAGGCTGCGGCGGTCCGCCGGTCTTCAATGTATCCTGGCTATCTTGTACAGGCGACAGTACACGCACCGTCTCGGATTGTGTGGCCGTCCCTGTTGATGGGCCTTCATCGGTGGCGACAGATGCATCGAGTGTATCTGATAGGTCCTTCCCAAGGCCTTCCATCGACATTGAGAGTGATCGCGAGGACTTCACGTCAACTCTAAGGGGAGGTAAATCGCCCGTGTGCCCATTCTTGAGATCATCTGACTCGTGATCATCATCCGTGTCGAGTGCTGACATTGAGAGTGATGACATTGAAAGCGACGACATTGAGAATGATTCCATCAACGCCCGCGCGCCGAGGCTCATGGACGGTCGCCGCGAGGACGTGCCTCGGTCATTCGCAGACGGGCGCCTCGACGTGGCAGGCGATAGTGAGGGCAGAGCGGGAGTCGGTGGGCCTAGTTGCCCGTGATCGAGCATGTGCTCGCGGGTCGCTAGCTCTTGCCTACGAACGGTGGAGTGTATGGATTGGCACTGGGAACGTGACATAATCTGATGACTTGCCTGCACATCTTGCATCGTATTCGACGGCTTGGCACGATCATCGGTGTGTTGGGTACAGAATCAGATGGTGTTCGGGGATGCTTGGCAAACATTGCATTCTCTGGAATCGTCCCGTCTCCATCTATGATTTAATCGATCAGCATTGATTATCATAGGTAATGCAGAAGGCAGACTTACTCATGACATCTTCCACTGTCCGTTCCAAGTAGAACATGCGGGTTGCCTTATCACGCCGCGTGAACTTGTATGACGCTCGGTGAAACACCTTCAGTTGTTCCATAAATCCCTCATTTGGCCTGCAGAAGCATCCTTATCTGGGTAATTCAGGAACGAGATAAAGGAACTTACTCAACGATGGGCCTCACCGTCCTTATCATGTCTATAGCGCTTTCCGGGTCAAGCTTCAGCGAGTACATGAGGTATGCTGCGACGATCGTTGCGCTCCTGCCTGTGTGATCGGATGTCAAAAATTGATCCGCAAGCAGACTAGCGGAAAGCTTGAACGTACTGATTCCAGCCATGCAGTGTACGAGTACACCACGACCCTTGTCGAGCTCGTTCTGGATGAATGATATTGACGGCAAAAAGTGCACGAGAACATCTTCATTTGCACTATCGTCAATGTTGATTTGGTACTTGTTAATTGTCTAGAGGTGTCTGTATCAGCGTCTGCCTCGGATCCTCTTTCGTATATATACTAGAGCAAAGGAGCCTGAGGACTTGAAGCGCCAGTGGTACGCACCGCATTAATGGTAACTTTGCCCCGCATCGCTGTTACAATGCTGAAGATGTTTTTCTCCTTCAATCCCTTGACATCCAAAGCGCTCTGGAGATCTCCAATCCAGACTCCTGGTACAACTTGATCCATGGTCACCAATGGTAGATAAATGAGGTAGGCTGTGTAGTGATTGAATCCGCTCCAATTTTCCTGTTAGGACTATTAGGTATATTATTAGTACTTCGCCGGCAGGGACTCGACCAAGGTTATTATATGCCAATGATGAGGCGAGTGTAAATAATTCAGCAGTCAACTAGGGAACGCGAAGTCAAAGCAAATGAATGAACCACCAATGATTATTCGTCGTAAAACGTCGGAATGGCACTGCTACCAAGTGATCGAGCAGTAGTAATTGTTCATTGAAGGGGTCGAGCCCAAATACATGCAAATAAGCACTTGATCCGGAAAATTCATTGTCAATGCTTTTGTCCGGGATTAATACAATGCACGATTGTATCAGCGCTGCAGTTCTATAGTACAATGCATCGCTGTATATATTCAGCCTTGTTGCCTCGTATAAATATCAGACATCCATTCTTCTCTGAACAACTGACGTTTCTCATCTGTCTCGTCTCAGTCCATACTACTCTTTGATCTTCTACCTTTCAAATTCGATACCCAAGCAGGTCTTGGGGAACCCTGGTGGACACTTCAGCTAGCTGAACGTTTTATTGCTTCGCTCTTCAAGTTGCTGTTCTCATATTTTCCCCTCATGTCTGCATCTGTTCGTCCTACACTCCCCCCACTTCATACACTTAATCTTCCTCGTGGAGAGATTGTACACCCCCGCATCGATGCAAAATCGAAACCCCAGGTTAGTTTGGATTTATGATATACAACTTTTACTGAAAGCGGGGTAACTTTCAGATTCCAAGGCTGCACGTGCCCAGCAGTCAATATTCACATTCATGCCAGAACCGTCGGGTTTCTATTTCATCTTCAGCGTCTTCTCGTACTCCTTCTCCCACCCCTTCGCCCCCCTCATCTTCGCGTTCCTCTATTTTCGGAAGTCAACCCGTTAAATTTCGTATTGTACCCACCACTTTTGAGCATGCCAACGCAATGATTGTCATTCCTGATCCCGATGCTCCACACGTGCACCCCCTCTCCGGTGCAGTCCTCGAGCAACCTGCACCGAACCTTTTTCTGGTCGGGCCTGCCTTTCAATGCGTGCGTCAGCTACAACGACAAATAGCCAAGGGGGTACGTCTGCGCCCTTATCGCATTGTGCGTAGTCCAGCGGATCGCAGGTTTTCCATTGCACCCACTACGACCAGTGTCACGAAAATTACAATAACAAGCTCAAGTCCTAACGCAACGTGATGTATTGCTAGCGCCACCATTAGTGTATTACCATTATTCTTTTCGAGAAGTGTAGAGGAAGTGTTGTGTTTTATGTAAGTTACAAATAAACTAAGGTTCGAATACGATTCACTTGTACTACTAGTTATAGGAGAGCACTGTTACTCACTTCAATTCGTTGTGCCTGATTCACCTTGATCATCGTGAAGGAGGGAAGTCCACCTGCCGTCGACACGCTCACATGCACACTCGTGAACAAGTGGGGATTACTATTGAGACCGCACAGGATCTTTAAGCGTCTTTCACGTGGATACCTCTGCTCTCGACCAAGATTCGTGATGTGGATGTCCTTTTTGGTCCAGAGAGTAGTATCTCCCCTGACGACGTTGCTACCGAATTTCTGGCTCCCGATGAGTTTCACTAAAGAAGTTCAAAGCATCAGTGAAGTCAAAACGCTCCAAAGAATACTTTTGAGTTCGATGAGTTTGATCAGGTTAAACAAGGAATGATACCACAGGCCATTCTAGATCAGATTGAGGTTGTCTAACTACAGTCACAAGCATGATATCATGGTTGGAACGAGGTAACATCATTATTATCATTGGGAACGTTTCACAATACCAGCCACAGACGCAACCCACCATCATTTGCGCGTCAGGTCTCTCCCATTTCGTGTCGCATCAAGCTTCGTCGTGCCGGTGTCGCGTAAACCTTACCATCGCCTCGTTCGCAGAATGAACCGGTTGTTCTTTCAAGACTAGGAGCACGCAAACCGCACGAGTGGAGAAATTTGTATTTCTGAATTGCAAAGAGCGGAGTGCTGCCAGAGACGGTTCAAATGAGTGATTTAGCGAGAGAACTCACCCTGATGAACTACTATACTAACTGTGGCCCCAGTACCTAATGGCAGGTTATGATACAACCGGGGTCGTAATTGGACGCGCTCCTGCAGGTTCTACCGAAATTTCTGCCGTCTGACCTGACAGCAATAACAATTCTGCCAAAATCGATCAGAGTCGTGCCCGTAAGTATATGCAGGATATAAAAAGCTTGCCGTCGTCCTACAGTGTTCCTTCATCCTCAGAGATTCTATTCAAGATCCCCTCAGAATATTCCATATCACTTCGCACAGAAATGCATTTCTCCTTCGTCGCCATTGCTGCTGCTTTGACAGCATCTATGCATGTCAGTGTATGCATGTAACACATATTGCAAAACGAATGCAGATTGCTGCCCATTCATGGTTTGTGGACCTGACGTGAGTATGAGCAGGTCGCTGTGCAACCAGGATTCAACCGTATGACTCACCTGCGCGCCTTAGAATGGAGTTTTGTCCTGCTTGATGACTTAGGTTACAAAATTGAGCCGGCAGTACGGAGGGCACGTGGGGACAGTAAGTTATGCTTCTGCTTTCGCTTTGGTACCATGGTTGACAGTGCAATGCCTAGTTCGCAGTCAATCAGTACAGTTGTTTTGGGACAAGTTTTCGTATTGCTCGAGCAATGAACTTATCTGAAATACGATCGATTGTGCCTAGTATTACTCGTGGTTCATTGAGCTTCAAGTTGAGTTCGAGGGGCTGTCGAAAGTTCAAGTGTTGCCGGAGCTCCAGCTAAAGCCATTTCTGGCATTATATCATACCTCGCTGGTTGAAACTCTCATAAGAATATAAATTGGGTTACAAATGCTAAGACTTTACTTTGAAACCCATTAATAATTACTGTCAGTATTAGTCACTTTGGTTCATTTGATTATGTAACTTTTGGTCAATGATATCGTTCAGAACGTTCAACATCCATGCCACCCAAAACGCCGGAGGACCCAGAACAAAACCCATATGATCTACTTGAAATCTCACAGGAGGCTACAGAAGCCGAGATCAGGACAGCCTATCGAACCCGCTCACTGAAAGTCCATCCAGACAGAGTACGTCTATTCATTATCGAGGGTCTGAGACTAAATTGATCTTCTTGTTGCAGAACAGAAATGATCCTAATGCAGGTGCGTACTTAACCATGTTAAAAATGTAGCTAACACATCAATGTAGCCCAGAAATTTCATGCATTGACGACCGCTTCCACCCTCCTCCTCGATCCGCTTCGCCGTCTCGCGCTCGATGCGCAACTCCGTTTGCAAGCCGCCAAGAAGCAGCGCTTCGCATCTTACGACAATAAGCGTAAGGTGATGGTCTCTGAGTTGGAGGAGCGGGAGAAAGAATTCAAGAAGGCGCGAATGGCTAAGGAGCAGGAGAGAACTGCGAGGGAGAGCGAAAACACGAGGATTCGTGAGGAGGGGCGACGAATGCGGGAGCAGAGGGAAAAGGAGCTCGAACTGCAGGAATTGGAACGTCAATGTGCGAGGACGAAATCTGAGTCGAACGGAATTGTCGAAGAAGAATCCCTCGCTCCGCCGCCTCCCAGTGATTTGGATACAACAATCCGTATCAAATATGCACTGTCATCATGCCCTGCGCTTTCTACAGCATCCGCGCTCACAGCCCACCTTCGACGGTATGGCGAGATTGATGAAGAGACGGTGGTGATGTCGCAGAAAGCTAAGAAGTCGAAAAAGTCCAAGGGACTTGTAGATGGCGAGATGATAGTGACCGCACTGGTGCCATTCAATCAGTTAGGCGCTGCATTTGCTGTGGTTTCGAGCGCCGAATCACTGAAAGAGCGGGGCATGGACGTGGCATGGGCAGGCGGATCTGAGCCTCCGATCCTAGGCTGGCTCCGTGAACGCGGAGAACTCAGAGGACCCGCGGCCAATCGTGCCGAGCCGCTCCCGACAAAGCCTACTCCGGAGGGGACGACGTTCGGTTCGTTTCCCTCGAGTTTTGTAAGTCTGGTTCACTCACTCAATCTACTCGAATCACTGATTCTCCTGTTTGGCAAGCCTGCTCTTGACGATGTGACACCGCCACCGCCACCTGCTGCAAAGGCGGGGATAGACTATGAGTCGTTGACGCTCCTCCGTATGCGTGAAGCTGAGCGTGCACGCTTAGAGAAGGAGATACTGGAAGCAGAAGCTACTGAGGGCGGCTAGCCTTTCCTGGGCTGATCATATGCAGTGGCGCATCAGATATTTCCCGAGTCCCCAGCGTTACATAGAACTGCGGCAGTATCAGCATGTCTACGATAAGTAAGACCGTCATAGCGAGTCCATGTCGATACCAACCCTGACAATCTCCACAGCATGAGGGCAGTGATTTCGCTTCCCTCCGGCTCCACCGGGAAAACGCCTTCATGTGTAGCTCGAACTCACGGAGTGAGATCCAGGTCTACTAGTACCTGCACATGCCAGACGGCCTGTGTGGCAGTGGCAGGGTTCAAAGAACCAATCTGGGATTTCAAAATATGACGCCCATCGCTGATGTGAAAGCTAGACCATTCAGTACAAATCAAAGATAGACCACAACCAGCATCTTTGCTCAAAGATATCTCAGAGTACTGTATTTGGCTGCGATCCTCATTCTTACCACTGACTTCATGGTACATACCACGGGACGTTTTGCGGCTTCAAGCATGCGTAGAGCCTATCTGACATCTCCCAACCCGCGAAACCGGGCCAATCTTACTGTTTGAAGGATCCTCACCTTCCTGGCTTCCTGATCAGGGTGGCAACACGAGGCTCCAGGGACTATCAAGCCTTACTAATACCGTGGGTCTCATCATCAGATGCAGGCGTCATGGGGTAATTTTCTGGCGCAGTAAACGCCTGCCACTGCTCAAGAATTATTGTGGTATATCCTCTGGCCAGACTACAAGACCTTCGATGTGCTATCAGTTATCAGTCTTCAGTCTTTGGTCATCATGTAATCAAGGTTATGGTGTACGAGGTATCGTTTTGAAGCCAAGTACGTACACGGCGCTTCGAGCTAGCTCGATGATAAACCGCCTGTTTTTAAATGGGTGCTGTGATTCGGGACAAAGAACCGAAAAATACAAGCGCATGCTTACCGCATGGAGGTCGCATGCAGTATTCTGGCCTCTATTTTGATCTCACCGCTGCCGCATCGACTTGTTCGCTCCCCACTGTGATCTGTATTAAAGCGGGCAGAAGGGTTGGAAAACTGGAAGCTCTATAGTTGTCACATTGTCAAGAGTTTCTGCCGCAGGCAGCCATTACACAAATCCAAGCGAAATGAGGACAATTTCCTCAAGTCGGCAACATCTTGGGTGAGATTTCCTCAACACTCACAATGTGTAATATCCAAGTCTGAGGTTTTAATCGGTGTAGCTCCCATCTCCACCATGAAGAGACAGATTCGAGCTCCAGCAAGTTCTCCATTCAGACGGCGTTCAACATAACCGCCCTTCAACAAGTCAATATTACCATGTGCGATTTACCTATCATCCAGAATTGATGGACTTACATGCAATGACAGGACCAGCCAGTTGGCACCAGATATGTATGGCGTCCAAGTTTTTGGCGAGTTCTTATAACCTCATGTCATAACTACTCAGTTCTGATGAATCCCAGATATCGATCTTCATCGTCTGCCCAACATCGGGTGGTTGAACGTGGACCATCAATTCTATGTCAAAATATCCATTGATGATGCCGGCATGACCAGCTGTACGACGCCGGAGAAACACAGCTCTATGCCATGGAGCAGTAAACATATCTTGTATGTCGGACACTACTGCTTGATTCAAAGGCTGATTCAAAGAGCAGCAATGTTCGCAACTCTACCAAGCTCACATTGGAAGTATTTGCACATCGCCAACTTCACGATGATCAGTACATTGGTATGGTCCAGGGTTGTATTGAGGAATTTTTGAGGTACCCTGGCTGTGAGTAACTGCATTCTTGTATAATATATTTATTGACAGTTCAATTCAGCCATTCTTGAACAACTGAAGTACGTGAACCTCGAAGGCAAGACAGAGCTGCTCAGGGCGAGCTTGGAGTTCAAGCTTACTCCTATTGTGGGCGCTGGAAGACCTGCTGGTGGATCCCACCTTACCGAAACCGATCGCAGCGCAGGTATCTGGAAGGGGCCAATAGCGAGTGATGGCTATTGGGGTGCTGTCGGGACACCATTTCCTCCGGCAGTACAAATATCTCGTACGTGATATTAATTCGAATGTCGGTCACTCTTATAACTTGTGTCAATCAGGCATAGACCTGCACCATCTACCGCGAATCAGTTTGTTTTCGGCTCACGATAGCTTCTATGTCCAGGCTTCTGTAGATGACCATGGCCACAAGACCACCACTGCTGAGAAACCGCATTCCTTACCATGGACGATGGAGTTAAAACTGTGAGATACATTGTACCCGTGGGTTCGTGACATTAACTCCTAGCAAGAAATGTACAGCCGTCGTCCATAATTTCCCTCAAAGTCTTCGCAAAACGTTATCTCCATGGAGATCAGTACATCGGTATGGTACAAGAAGGTGTCGAGACGCTTCTCGCTCATTCCAGCAGTGAGTTTCTGGTCCTATCTGATTGGCTCGCTCGTCGTTGAATACAACATTAGCTAAAATCTACCACCTCATGTCTTTTGATGGTCATGGCAAGAAATTTTTCCTTGATGCTAGCATGGAATTCAAGATCAAACCTCTTCATAATACAACGGAGCATAGCACCACTCGGCACGGCGAAGGCCAGCTCACCCGGATAATCGACGACTCCAAGGACGCACCACATATGCCGGCAATGGGAGGTCATGATCTAAGCGAACCATTGAAAACGGCTGCTGAGCAGGTCGCCGGTGTTGTTGCCTCAGAAGTCCTTACTCCGCTCTTGGACAAGATCAACATTTTCATTCAGCTTGCTGGCAAGTTTGCTGAGGTACAGTTTCTGGAATTTGCCACTGGATATGTCTGATACCGTTCCGTAGGCCCATCCTTACACCAAAATGGCGTTCATGGTTCTCACTGCAGTATATCAGGTAAGTGGGATAGTCACATGTTCCGACCTAAGGAGCTCATCTGTTTTGATTAGTTGGTGGATGCACAATTTGCCCGAGACCGAAATATTCGTCAACTCATTACTATCATGCACGAAACCTACAGCCTTATCTCTGGCGTAGAAGAACTGAAAAGGATGGAATCGCAAGCAAAGACCATCAACTCCCTCGCTCGTCAGACGATCGAGTGCTCGTACTTTATTCGTGACTACATGCAGAATAGGAGTGGATGTGAGTTTCACAGCTTCTTACCAAAGCTTGGCTTTTTTAACAAAATTTTCAAATGTAGGGAAACAGAGCTTTTCAAACGCGTTATCCGATATCGATAATAAAATACAAACGTACGAAGCAACGTTCAAAGAACTAAGGAATGCCATACAACGGCAGGCCACGCTTAATACGCAACTCTTTGTCCTTCGTGTTTATGATGTGTTGCTTGACCATGGTAGTGTTCCATCTTCCATCTCTCATCCTTACACGTGTTCATATTACTACTAGCCGCGAAAGCAGACCTCGACGCCCTGCATTATGCTATTGGCGCTTCGATTGAATCACAGAAGATCGGAGATGTGTCCTCACAGACCGATATCCTGGAGTCGATAACTTCATGGGTCAATCAAGACGTTGGACAGCAGATCTACCTCTTGCTAGGTCCAAAGGGGTCCGGAAAATCCACTATCGCATATACCATTGCACGCCAATTCGACGCAATTGTGCGTCTCGGTTCGTCGTACTTCTTTTCGCGCGCTTTCCAGGACAAGCGAAACGCCACGAATCTGTTTAGCACGATTGCACGGGACCTTGCTGATCATGACCTTCAATATATGAAGGCTCTCTGGGACACCGTGAAAGACAAACGTGCATTACGTGAAACGATCGACCCACTTACTCAGTTCGATCGCTTTATCCTTAGTCCTGCGAGTCAAATGACATACATCGGCCCTGTGCTAGTGGTCATCGACGGGTTGGAATACAGTGGTGGCGAGTCGGATCGTAAGGACCTCCTGACTGCGCTCGCAGTGAGAGGAGCAGAGCTCCCCCGTAATTTCAAGTTACTGGTCACCTGCCGCCCAGAGCAGGACGTTTGCGCTGCTTTCAAAGGAAAATCTCATGTTATACAGAAGTATTTGAAACCTCGCGCCGACTCGCTCATTATTCCGCCATCCACATTGGGGCAAAACCAGAAAAGCAGGTCTAGGTCTCGCCCTCCCACCCCTCCTCTATCTATCCCTGATTTTGCGCAATACAACCTTTCACCTCTGGCTGACTCGTCGATGACCGGCACAAGTGACTCTACTCCGATATCGGATGTCTCGAGTTCAGACTCAGCAGTCTCCACTGTGTTTGACCCCTGGGATGACGGCTGTGATTCTACCGAGTCCCCTCCTTCCAGTACCAGATCCGTTCATGAGGAGCCACAGCCTTCAAAAAAGAAGGCTGTTGTACAAGTTACACGCAGGAGTGAAGAGTTCATCACTGTAGAGCAGATCTCCGCGACAGGCGGCCGTACCATTAGAGGAACCAATTTGAAGAAGCAGGATAACTGGATCGTCGAGCAGCATGATCATTCTCAAAATGGTCTGCTACTTAAAGAACTAGGCTTCGTCATATCAGCAGAGCCGACGAATGGTTTGGCGCCAATACTTGGATCATGCAGTAGTCGTCTCCCCAAACGACCTCGCCAGAAGCAGGTCCGAGCAAAGACTCTTGTCCGTCACTCCACGAGTGTGGATGGGGCGGAGATATCGGGTTGGGATGATGATCTCGCATGTCGGTGATATCGACCTGTCACATCTGCCTGCAGTGCTATGTATATAGAAATGTAATATGGTCGTCACTCCACTAACCCCGGCGGCAGATACTATGCTATGCTACCTCTACGTGCAATGATCAAACGACTGTTACTGCGCAATGTTCTAGTCTTCGCCCTCCGCTACATCTGTTGTATGTACTCCTACATCCGAACCGTCAATATTTACAATCTGCATCACCTCCGCGTCCAACTTATACCATAACATCTTTCGGGTTCGCCGCCACATTCGCCGTTGCGCAATGATATGCGTGCGGGCCTTGAAGTGATTCATCTTTATCGACATCTGGAAGTTGCTCGACGTCTTCTTTACCGACTCTGGCGCGCCACCATGCTGTTGATGATTTTCCATAATATTCCTGAAAACCTCGTCAGTCACGCACGTCGCAGTGCGGTATATGTAATTTGCGAAATGATGGGGCCACTGTTTGGGGGGAAACTGGCTACGTTTACCGGTGACTTAATCGTGGAAGGGCATCGTTTGGTCGACCATCATAGGACTGACATGGCAGAAGTGGCTGGAATCTTGAATTTGTTTATGATACTGGCGTCTTACCATGACAGATTTCCGGAATAGCGTAGTAGTTTTGATCAGGTCACCGGGGCTTGGGGTGGTGTTTTAAGTTAAGGTTCATTCGAGTTCTCAGGGTAGCAGATGTGAATTACTAAGCCATTATTAGTGACCGTCTTTTCGCCATATCGTCTAGTACCCAGGGGACTGCAAGACCTTTAGCTTTGAGGACAAAATGTTCAGAGTTCTGGGGTCACTAGGTGGCGTTTAGTACACGACATGCTTTGACGAAACGTTTATGTAGACTGAAGTTACTCACAAGTCTCCGACTCAGCCATATCGCATGTGGTTATAGCTCACTAGCACTATTGATGAATCCTTACACGAAGCGCCACTCAATAACGCCTTCCGAATTCGGGCCTGTCCGGTACTATCTCATATTTTCACTGACTGAAAAGAGTTGCCATGCTGAAATTTGAGCCTCCAAATCTACGACGAGTGTTTACCAGGCCGTACATGTACTCGCTCGTCAAACTATAGAGTGTGCATACATCATTTATGACTTATGCTGCTGAATCTGCACAAATATTATTTGTGCCCCCCCGAAATAAAAAGTGTGCCCCCCCGAAATTGAATTTGTGTGACACCCCGAAAAAGGAAATTGTATCGCCCCGAAAACTATTGTGTGTCGCCCCGAAAACTGCAACATGTGTCGCCCCGAAATTATATCATGTCGCCCCGAAAACAAAAGACTCATGCCGAAAAAAAAGTATGAAAAATTCAGAAAAGTACTTTATTGAAGGCAAACTTGAGTGACAATTGTAGACTAGTATGTATACTACTGGATGACTACCTGAATACGATCCATAATTTGACTCTTCTTCCTCTACAAGTTGAGTAACCATTGCCTTGACATCACCTTCAATTGCAATTGCCTCATCGAAGGCTTGCTTGATGTGCCTCGAAAAATTGATGGCAGTTCCTTGTCTGCAGACACCATCTCGAGCAAGGGTTGTACCATGCTGGAAACAGGGTTGCATACTCTGTGGCACCAGTTGTCAGCAAAATTAAAGTGTGGAGCTGCAAACGAGACAAAAATACCATGACTGTGTCAGTGGCACATTTCACCACTACCTTGAGGGAGACATCCACATAATTTCCACCAGAACTACGGCCACCATGAAGCTGGCATTGCTCTGGATCCATGATAGCATAAAGAGTAACCCAGTTCATTGCATAAGGGGCATAGAGTTGGTCTGTGTGAATGGGGCTATTAGATGTGACATCAAAAAGTGGCATTACTAATTAGATGCAATCCACTTACGACTCATAATTCTGTGACATATATGCCTCAGAGGGAGCCCACTCAGCTGTCGAAAAGCAGAGAGGACCACCAGGTAAGTCTAGGGTATACCCAAAGTCTAGGTATCATATGTAAGTTACCAGTAATGAAGATTATACATATGTGAGACACTCACCCAAGTCATTGCCTTTGACTGTCATGGCAGGCAGGCCTGCCTCACCGATTGCCTCGATACATGATGTACTGACCTCAGCAGGGAGACTAGCTATGAGCAAGTTCCAGCTCAAAGCCAGAATTCCTAAAGCATGGGAGTCCTTCTGCTGCCTCGTAGTCATGGACAGCTTCTTCTTATTGGTAAGGTTGTTCACCAGACCAAAGACACGTGCATGACGAGGACCGGCGTTCCAGCCAAACTGAACCAGCTCCCCCCCATGGGTAGGCTATCCAGCCCATCAGAGATATATCAGACTGAAAGGAGGAAAAACTCACCCTGACCCCCTTGCAGTCATTGACAGCCTCGTCGATGATACTATTGACATAAGTCAACAGGTCAGGATGCTGGCCACACTTGCCATGGAGTACAGCGAGTGTAACAGATCCTATACACCCAATTAACCACATGCAACTACGAAGTACAGGACCTAACCAACGCGCTGTCCACACTCCATATTCATCCCCCGCTCGTCATCCCAGACTCATTATCATCGCACACCTTCACAGACGGGATCGTACCCGTACAAGCGTTGGGACGAACCCAACCTGCCACTCCTGCTGAGCTAATCGCAGAGGCAGAGCAACAAGATGTCGCCATCAGGCATCCCATACACCGAACCACACCCTCCAAAAGAGGAGTACGAAGCAAGCGTCTTCGTACCGATAAAGGAAAGAAGCGCGCTACCAGCGCTGATGAGGCACTCAGCCCGAAACCAGGCCCATCGCCTCTACGGGCAACCTCTAACCCCGACGAGAATCACGTCTGTAGGTACTGCAAAATGCTTGGGCACAGACAAGTCCACTGTCCCGAATACTATTGCCGTGTCTGTCAGGAACTATCCCCAGGTCACCTTTCATTTTATTGCCCATACTACTCTGGGGAATCCCCCACTTCGCTAACATGGAAAGACGAAGGATTCTACCATACCCTCGCAATCTGGGAGAACGACAAGGACGAGGCATACACCGCCCAATGTAGGGAAGAAGAAGCACTTTACTTGGAGGAACGCATGAAGGGAGGGTCGGACGACCTTGAGTATTCCGACGACCCTGTCTATCACGCTAACCAGGATGATTGAATCTGGTGGCTTCAACCTTAGTGAGGGGGTAATGTTACAATCACTTTACTTCTCAGACTACTCTCACATAACTCCGCCATTATGTACTACTTTCCTCTTTTGTCTTGAATTCCTCTTTTGGTCTTCAACCAGTGTACTACTATCTCACCGTAGCCTTGGTCCGTGCGCGTATAGTTTCCTATTTAAGCACGTGTACTATTACTTAGAACGTCACTTCAATCTTACTAGGTTTTACCCAGAACTTCCTTCGCTTAAGACCACCAATCTTAAGTCGTCTGAACCGATCTCTTAATTGAAGCACTCCTTCAACTAAGTCTGCGAACCTCTTCTTATTTGAAGAGCCTTACGAATCTCAGCAACACGATCGCTCTATCAAGCCTTTGCTGTTAGAACTATCCTAGTTCATAACACAAGGAGGACCAAGACGAGATCTTTCAGTATCTGCCCCAATACTATCTTTGTTTCAAAGAGAAGCGCAGGATCGTAATTCCTCCTGGTATCCAATTCCCTGATGGGTCATCGGTGGCACAAAATGCAAGGACGAATTCGAGAGGTGGATTTCGTGAAAATGTGGTTATTCTAGGTCAGTCCTCAGTTTGTTCGCTTCAAACAGACTATGCCAATTCCTGCCTTCTTAGTCACCCATCAAAGCATCCCACTGTCAGTGTTGCAAGGGTGGGTGAAATCAAAAGGGAAGGAGAACACCACTCTTTCATCTAGCTCAGCATACCATGGTCATACTGAGTCTGAGAGTATATCCAGTGATTCAGAAGACAGCTCCACCTCATCTGAGTCGAGCTTATCAGAGCCCCCTTGCAAGACCAAATATCGTCGAGGTATGGCAACATGAGGGAGTTGAACTGGCAGAGCTGAATATTATCACAACAACATAATGAAATTTCAACACTGGCAGGAGTGGAACTGCAGAGCAGCTTCCTAGCCAACAGTGACCAAGTTACCACTATAACCAACAACAGAATTAAATCATGACATTGGCAAGAATTGAACAGCAGAGCAACTTCCTGGCCAAAATCTCGCACAGTATCGCAACAGGGACCAGGTTACCACTACACTATCCAGCTGATAATAATGAAGGTGGTAACAGGTATATGCTATCCCAAAAGCACCAAAACTCCGAAAATGCCATAATCAAAATTTTCACCACTGCTGCCCACTGCACTTTCCAACCACCACCATGGCCCCACAATCCACAGATCAGACTCATCTGAGGCAATGTAAGTAATATATTACCACCACTGTCTAGACTAATATATTGGTGGTGCATAGACTTTGAGCATCTTGCTGGAAATTCAACTGTTATGCATGCACTTCAGATAGGAGCAGATGTTGGGGAGGATCTTCTTGCTTTGGAGATAAACCAGGCCTTGCAAATTCTGTGAGCATGTTTCTAATGCAGTATCTATGTTAGATCTAACTATTTATGTGTGCAGGTCAGCCACCTGAAGTCCCTAACCACCAAGAATGCTGGATTGGTGCCAGGATCTCTCCACCAAGCTTTAGAGGTATATTTCCTCCAGTGCCGCAGGAGGAAGAATGCAGCTCGCTCTGAGAAAAGGACTATTGTGAGTTTTCTTCCTGCTTATCACTGGCTTAGTCTAAAACTGTACTTCATAGGCAAGGGTCCTGGGCCTTCATGCCACCCCACTATCGGCCAAGTCCCTTGCAGACACTGGTACAGTCAGGATGGTCACTCGTGACCGTTCTGCTAAAACCAGCTATAAACGGGGTACACTTTTAGTGGACCGTGGCAATGAGGATCTGGTTGGTAGTGGGGATACTGCCCTTTCTGTTCCTGTGGATGATTCATGGTATGTGATCGAACCAGATGAAAGCATCATTTTTGTCGATTCCAAGGATATGAATAATCTTTCTGTCTCCTACATGTGGTTAATTGGGTGTACAGTGGCTCAAAAAAGTGTCCCAATGTTTGTAGCTTTTCATGTAATTGCTATATCATGTGTTGAGACGTGGGAATATGACTAAGCTATAAGGAGATGTCGGAAAGGTCTGCATCTCAGCTTCATTTCGGTTCCCTATACCGTGGGAAACTAATGACATTATGTGAAGATATGAGTATTTTAATTTGATGACTCATTGGGACACTTTTTTGACTTTGAGTTTTACTAATGTAATCTCTATAATTCTAGTACTGTGTGTGACCTCCTTCTGCTCCAATCACTTCTGCCACTCTTCTAAACATATTCTCTATCAATTTTGGGTATTCCTCTTTGGTGATTCCATCATACTCTGCTGTAACACTGTCTCATAGTTGGAATAGCCCCTACAGTGAATCTTGATATGCTATAAGTAATTTCTTGAGTGATTCTCAGGGGTATTCAATATGGTTGATGTCTTGGGTCTATGTTGAACATGATAGAATAGTAATATCATAGTTTGCAAGCTATTGGTGGCTTATTTAGAGGTATACTTAGGGTCATTGTCTTATCACAAAACAGTATCTTCTTCATTAACTCATAACTTCTGCATGCTTCTTAGCAGACACTCCTGTCAAATGAGTATTTACTACTCTGTATTCATCCTCCCCTTTGCTTCATAGAAGATTCCCACTCCATTTTATCTCATATAGTCCTATACCATCAAGTTTTGTCTTGAAACTTAAGGTGTTTATTTAACTTTTCTTTATCTTAATGATTGTCTTATCTATTTTAATATAAATTCCTTGCCATATGATTTCATCCTATTGATTTTAACCTTATCTAACTAGATAAACCTCTTTCAGCGATTAGCAGTCCGATATTTGTACTTGAAAGTAGCATCTTGTCTTTTATTTTTATAGGTTGGAGATAGAGGAATCTGTTTTTCTTGATTATAGCTTTAAGATGGGCTGTCTTGAGAGTCTGTCTGACTATTTGAGTAGAGATAGTCATAGGAATGATGGAAATAATCAATTTAATCACTTTATTAGCATCAGCAGTCTTTCCAATTAGAATATAGTGATTAAGAGATCTTAAGTCTTATAGAGCAACCTTCTAGATTGGCTACCAAATAACTTAAAGACCATAATATTACTATTCTATCATGTTCAACATAGACCCAAGACATCAACCATATTGAATACCCCTGAGAATCACTCAAGAAATTACTTGTAGCATATCAAGATTCACTGTAGGGGCTATTCCAACTATGAGACAGTGTTACAGCAGAGTATGATGGAATCACCAAAGAGGAATACCCAAAATTGATAGAGAATATGTTTAGAAGAGTGGCAGAAGTGATTGGAGCAGAAGGAGGTCACACACAGTACTAGAATTATAGAGATTACATTAGTAAAACTCAAAGTCAAAAAAGTGTCCCAATGAGTCATCAAAATGAAAATACTCATATCTTCACATAATGTCATTAGTTTCCCACGGTATAGGGAACCGAAATGAAGCTGAGATGCAGACCTTTCCGACATCTCCTTATAGCTTAGTCATATTCCCACGTCTCAACACATGATATAGCAATTACATGAAAAGCTACAAACATTGGGACACTTTTTTGAGCCACTGTATAGGATCTGTTACACTCGCTGTACTCCATGGCAAGTGTGGCCAGCATCCTGACCTGTTGACTTATGTCAATAGTATCATCGACGAGGCTGTCAATGACTGCAAGGGGGTCAGGGTGAGTTTTTCCTCCTTTCAGTCTGATATATCTCTGATGGGCTGGATAGCCTACCCATGGGGGGGAGCTGGTTCAGTTTGGCTGGAACGCCGGTCCTCGTCATGCACGTGTCTTTGGTCTGGTGAACAACCTTACCAATAAGAAGAAGCTGTCCATGACTACGAGGCAGCAGAAGGACTCCCATGCTTTAGGAATTCTGGCTTTGAGCTGGAACTTGCTCATAGCTAGTCTCCCTGCTGAGGTCAGTACATCATGTATCGAGGCAATCGGTGAGGCAGGCCTGCCTGCCATGACAGTCAAAGGCAATGACTTGGGTGAGTGTCTCACATATGTATAATCTTCATTACTGGTAACTTACATATGATACCTAGACTTTGGGTATACCCTAGACTTACCTGGTGGTCCTCTCTGCTTTTCGACAGCTGAGTGGGCTCCCTCTGAGGCATATATGTCACAGAATTATGAGTCGTAAGTGGATTGCATCTAATTAGTAATGCCACTTTTTGATGTCACATCTAATAGCCCCATTCACACAGACCAACTCTATGCCCCTTATGCAATGAACTGGGTTACTCTTTATGCTATCATGGATCCAGAGCAATGCCAGCTTCATGGTGGCCGTAGTTCTGGTGGAAATTATGTGGATGTCTCCCTCAAGGTAGTGGTGAAATGTGCCACTGACACAGTCATGGTATTTTTGTCTCGTTTGCAGCTCCACACTTTAATTTTGCTGACAACTGGTGCCACAGAGTATGCAACCCTGTTTCCAGCATGGTACAACCCTTGCTCGAGATGGTGTCTGCAGACAAGGAACTGCCATCAATTTTTCGAGGCACATCAAGCAAGCCTTCGATGAGGCAATTGCAATTGAAGGTGATGTCAAGGCAATGGTTACTCAACTTGTAGAGGAAGAAGAGTCAAATTATGGATCGTATTCAGGTAGTCATCCAGTAGTATACATACTAGTCTACAATTGTCACTCAAGTTTGCCTTCAATAAAGTACTTTTCTGAATTTTTCATACTTTTTTTTTCGGCATGAGTCTTTTGTTTTCGGGGCGACATGATATAATTTCGGGGCGACACATGTTGCAGTTTTCGGGGCGACACACAATAGTTTTCGGGGCGATACAATTTCCTTTTTCGGGGTGTCACACAAATTCAATTTCGGGGGGGCACACTTTTTATTTCGGGGGGGCACAAATAATATTTGTGCAGATTCAGCAGCATAATGACTTGCCGTTCATAAAAGTAGACGAAAGAAACCTATGTCACAAACCCATGTTACTGAGGTTTCGCACTGGATAAAGACAAGACAAGAACTTAACGGTCCATCAATTTACCTCTTTATTGTGCCTCTTGGATCCGAGACCAGCGCAGTTCCCCTACTGTAGCTCGTCCATTCGATAACATATGTCGAGAACCGTCATACTGTTTTGGCAGAATACGTCAAAGAAAGCCCGCCAATCTGTTTAGCACAATCACTCGCGACCTTGCAGATCACGACCCGGATTCCATGGCTTGTCTCGGGGATAAGAACAACGAGCAGTAGGCCCTTCCCAGCATATTCTCACGCAGTTCAGCTTCATCCTTGCAGGGGCGCGACAGTTGACAAGCTTTGGTCATCTGCTGCTTGTAATTGATGCCCTCGACGTGTGTGTTGATTCACGTGCGGATGTGGTCTTTGTCCCGAAGGAGAAAGCCCGAGTTCTCCCAATTCCTGATTACTTGTTTGCCGGAAACTGATGTAACTATCGCCCTTCGTGCTAACACCGTGGCCTATCCAAGGAGCTTGATGCGGTTATGGTCTCGATAGTGGTTTATCGCAGGCAAAACCAACTATACCTCATCCACTCACCACTCTGATCCAGACCGCCTTGTCACGACCCGATTATTTCTCTTCCAGCGGATCTGCCTCGAGCTCAATCAGTGTAAGTTCCTTTGCGCCTTCGATTTCGATGTAGGGCTTCCGACCTTTAGCCCTGATGCATCGTCACCCCATACACGGATATGGTCACCAAGGCGGTTCTTCGGCACATTCAAACACACCGAAACTAGAGATAACCCTATCAATTTGATGTGCCTCAGGCCGTCACGCAACCATCATGAAGCAAATCAGTAAGTAGCATGCCACTTCGCCTCCGCGTCGTATTCTATCGTATACTCCTGTACTTGATGAGCTGAATGGACATCAGATCCTGCTGCTCCAGCCGAAGACGCTTTTTGGGCTGTCCCTACTCATTGCGATAGTCCTCGTCCACCAAGGCATAAACGCACGTCACCCGACGAGAGATTATCATCCGAAATGAGATGGGCAAACAACTGGACCTCAGCCCATCAGTCTTGCATGATCTACTGAGTATTCACGTCTCCAATACCCCATATCATGTATGATGGGTAATCATACCGAAGAAGGTTTTGAATTTGTCACATAAGCATGTTGCCTTGGTCGGCATACAACTCCCTGAGTAGTTAGTGTACTTCAAGTATCGGTATTATGTGGTGACTTCAGTGTATTTGATGCCGCCCCATTTTGGTGGTTTCGACGCTGCCAATGAGCACCTTTGATCAGTACCTTTATACGTGCTATACCTTTCGGATTCGTGACCCCCAAAGAAGGGGTCGCGTTGCCCAACCGAGTGTTGCCCTGTGCCAGACGTGTTTGAACGGTACGAGCAGAGTGTGGTAACACAGAAGAGATGGCAGGAAAAGCCAAAGCACGGTACGTGGCCTTCTCATTATAGGAACTCTACTTGACGATTGCCTTGTGGTGATCAACACTATATTTTCCTTTTGCCAACGTCTTACTGCCAGAACGATCATCGTCCGCTTGATTTCCACTGCGCAAACAGGTTTCTTCTACACCACGCAGCGCCCAAGGCAGGGTCCGAAGCTCGCTGCCGTCAAATATGATCCTAAAGGTGGGTATTGGTATCCAGGCAGTTGTGCAAAATACTGAACTGGTTCATTTCAGTCAAAGCTCGTGTACTCTTCGTCGAGAGCAAGAAAACGAAGAAGTAGTGAAATAGTCGCTCCATATTTACTGTTTCTTGGCACCACCAAGAGATTCACGCCAATACTGGGTGGTGCTCGACACTACACCCCCAGTTGTGACAATATGCTATTTGTCGCGCTCTAATACATGTTCAAAATAGGTGGTGTAGGAACCACAATTCTGTCCGCAGAAACTCTGTTCATACAGAACTTAACATAAGTTAGGGAGGGGTGCACGTGTACTACACATGACATGAAAGATATTCTACACATCCCTGCTCACCAAAACGTCTGCCCTGCCTGAGGACTGCTCGGTATATTCTGTGGTGTTACCCCACTCTGGGGAATTGATGTGGCCGATTGGGACTGAGCCGGCTTGGGAGCCTCTACCTCTTTGCGGTACTCAATTTTCTCAACACGGACTTCGCCCTCCACAAGCTGATATACATACGTGACAACGACAGCGCCCTGAATGTCCATGAGTGCAAATGATGGTGTTATTTCACTGAGAATATCAATTCAGTCAGGTGATGCAGACGAAATGATGCAAGGGCTATACCCGTTATATGAGCCTGTCCATGCGCCAGTCGCGGACCCAGGATTCACGAAGAAACGACCATCATATTCAATTGCCTGGAAGCTTATTTGAATCACATCAGAATGCCAGCTATCATGTAGAGGCTGCGGAGTCAACACACGTATGCGTATGCCCTGAAACAAGCACATCTACGTCCATTTGCCGTGCCAATCCACTGAGAGCATCAAGGTCGCCAGTCGGTACACACTGGTGCCCATGAATCACTCCAATTCGTATTGGAGTATGCACTATGGTTGCAGATGGCGGAAAGCTGGCGCTCTGGGTCGTCCGCAGGTCAGTGATGACTCAACCACATAGTATGACATGAAAATGACAAGTATGCACCTCATCATAGTCCCCTCGGACAACATACACATCTCCTGCTATAGTGCGCAGGTACTCGTAGGTCTCGCGGTCACAAACGTTCCCTGTGCAAAGGATCTGTTGAATTTTTCCTGGAACAAGAAGTTTGCGGAATTTGGCTGGGAGGTCGTGTGCACGGTGTGGGATGTGCAAGTCACCAATTATTAGGACAAGCACCATAGCGGCAGTATCATGTATAACGGACTCCTGGAGGAAAGCTTGGGGTCGGCTGTGAGAAATTATTATATAAGCTGTACGTCATCATGTTCGGCAAGTTTTCTGACAGCATTTGCAAGAATGGCTCATTCAAATTATCTCTAGATTGTATGCTACTGAAGCATGGATATGACGTGTGCTTCAGTACTCTAATGTTATCCTAGTTTTACAGCAGTGAATTCAGCGAGTTCCGACGGTATACTAGTAGAAATTGAATTATTAGACAACAGGATATAAAGCTAACAACAAGTACATTACACAAGAGTAACAAGGTGCGGATACCAATAAACCATTCACAGCAGAAGCACAGAAACCTGTAGAAGGGATGCTGGGGGAGCACCGGAAAGCAAACAGGGGTAGAAGGGCCACATGCGACACGAATAAAACAAGAGAATCGAGTACATATAAATGCGAATGTGCATTGCTGCGCTACGGGAATGGAAAGTGGACTCCACACTGGTGCATGAATTAGATGTTGGTGTAGCTCCCTGCCAAGTGAAGATGGTTAGTGCCGATAGAAGGGGAAGAAAAGAAACAGGCCTACAAATCCGCGCCTGCCAATCACCGCTGCCCGTAGCCAAGATACTGCCCGCGGGACTCAAATCGATAGAGATGACTGCGGCAGATTCATTAATGGGGTTCTCGGTCCGGAATCATCAGAACATTCATACCAGAGTTCTTGTGTCCTTGAAGCATGCACTGCGTCGTTGCGGTGTGCGAGTCCCAGAACTGGACACCACGGTCCTTGGACCCTGACACAACCCACTGCCCATCATGCGACACAGCAACGGAGAGCACGTAATCCTGCGCGGACATGAAATCAGTTGGAACAACAGATGACATATGTAATGGGTCCGCGGCCGGGACTTATTTGCTTACCGTGTGGCCCAAGAAGTTCATGGTGCACTGGCTGCCCTTATCATCTTTCTTCCCATTGGCCACCGCCTCCTTGCGTTTTGCGAGAAGCCCGCTGACATCCCAGTATTTCAGAGTCTTGTCTAAGCTGCCGCTCACCAACCCCTTCCCGTCGGGCGTGAACGCAACGCTGTAGACGCTGTCCCTATGACCCCGCAGGCGCTCGATGAGGGAGCCCGTTCCCACGTCCCAGATGCGCACAACGGTATCAAGACTACCAGCCGCAACCAGTTGGCCGTTTGGTGAGATAGCCACGGAGGTTACGCCTGCATCGTTGTTCACAGGATCGGCGTCATTGATTGTGAGCACTTTAGATGACCCATCAACCATGTCCCAGATACGGGCAGTTTTATCGCCCGATCCCGAGACGATAAGCCTGCCATCCAAGGAAAAGTCGAGTGAGTAAATCTCCTGCTGATGTCCGTCGAAAACGTTGCGAATGCGTTTCTTGGCAATATCCCATATCTGTAAGGCGTGATCAGTGCACGACCCTGATGAAACACAAAGTTTGGCGCACTCTGATCTGCTTATCTTCAGCGCCCGTTGCAAGATATTTCCCATCGGGGCTGAAACAAACACTCCTGATATACAGGTCACCTGCCTTTCCAGCTGCTTCATCTGCAAGGACGCTGTAGGTCCAAGGGTAATGAGATGGACTACTGCAGTCAAGATCGTTACCTACCAAGTCTTTACGCCCGTCTTTGTGTCATAGATCTGGGCCGTGCGATTACAGCCGGTGGCGAGGTACTTGCCGTCTGCAGAAAATCGTACACAGCAAACGACACTAATAGATGGCACGTGAAAATGTAGATATACAGGAAGATGTGATCAGGAGGCTATGTTCGATCAAAGCCGATCATACCACGCACCTCTCGTGCATGAGTGTGTGCACTAGCGACACATCTAACACGCGCTTGACTTTACCATTGAAGACCGCGAACCAGTCAGTGCCTTCCTTCTTCAGTTCGGGCGGAACATTGTGTGGGTCGAGATCATCCGGAAACTGCCCCCCACCACTTTGTGCGTTATTGATAGGTACGAGGGTGCTTGAGCTAGCTGCTGTTGGTTCTGCTGGGCCGGCAGGCGGTGGATTTCCAGGCCCAGGTGGATATGGCGCATGGGCGGCAGGTGGTGGTGGAAGACCTGGGCCTTGGAAAGTAGTCAAGGCAGGAGGTGCCCCAGGTACAGGGGGGAGCTTCGCATTTGGAGGTTGAAGAGAGGGACTATAATGATCTGTCGCAGATAAAGGGGGGGAAAAAGAGGTGGCATAGTATCCATGAGGAGGCGGCGAACGTGTGGAGCTTGAAGTGAATGGTTTACCTGGACGAGTATCACCCTTCATACGCTCAGTCTTTATACGCTTTGAATCCCGAGCCTCCGCCGGTGGACGTTCACGATCTCGGTCGCGCTCTTCACGCTGTCGATCACGTACTTCGCGCTCGCGTTCACGATCAGCACGTTCGCGGTCTTTTTCCCGCTCGCGTTCACGATCGCGATCTCGACTGTAGTAAGGCTCGTTGTATGAGCCAGGCCCAGGAGGTACACCGGGGACTGCAGGCGGAGGTGCAGGTGGACCGGAAGGCCCGACTGAAGCGGGACCGACGGGCGGATGTGGAGCTCCTGCTGATACACCCTGACGAAGTGCATGAAGCTCTCCTCTGAGGCGACTCAGCTCCTCTTCGTATGTCTGTCGAATCTTGCCATGTTGAGATTCCAGCTCATACAGTGACTGGCGAACGATGTTCAACTCGTTTATTTGTGAAGTGACTAAATGGACAAGATTGTGCAATCATACATAAAACCGAAGTGTAATTAAAGAATCAAAGGTGCGCACCTTTAGATTCATACTCGTCTCGTTGATTGCGAAGAATGCCAAGGTCAGAGGTGATAACATCAAATTCTTGGCGGATGGTATCGACGGCCTCATTAAGCCTGACATGACTGTGCTGGTTTGGCCCTTGGGCAGGGGGAACCGTAGGCTGCAAGCTTCTATGCTATTGAAACAGGGAAAGTCAGTATGGGTGCACGCCAAGAAAGAGTTCATAGCAACAGAGATAGAGAATTTTGTTCTCGGGTTAGCGCCGTGAAGGAGCGTCATAGCGCAATTAGAGAATTCATTGACCACGATATGTGACAGAACCTGTATTGAAGAAGAGAAAAAAATCGGATGGAATTACTCACGTTGTATATTGTGGAGGACATGAAGGAGGTTGGGAACCACGGAATGGGTGTTGATCATCGCCTTTATAACTGGCGTTGGACCCTGATACTCTGATTCTTTTCTCACACTTGACACTACCGGCGGCATGTCCTATTTGAGTTGTAAAGGCACAGTCACGTGCTCGGTAGACATACATTGAGAAGTTCAAACCCAGCGGCACCAGAATCTCCTTCTCTCTTTCAGGCGGTTGCGATGCTCAGGAAAGTCGGACTTTGCTATAATACGTTAAGCGCACATAGTCTCCGTGCTTGCAGGATGCACTGCTCTCATCAGGTAACATAATCTCCGACTGCTTAGCAAATGAGGCGAGGTGTAACGTACTTGGGTATCACTATCCCAATTCCATTGCTGTATGGCTCTCCACTTCGTTTCCATTTCTGATCTGGAGGACCACGGGCCACCGAGCTCGGAGCCTTCATCCGGAATCTACCTAACAAGTAACTTTGACTTCGCACGTATAAGCCAGATTTAGCATCACGGTCGCAGTTTGCTCGGCCACCGCCGTTTCTGCTGATTCAAAGGGTCATCAACCCCATACAAGGTGTGAGACTTATCTGTATCCTTTGTCTTCGTTTCTTGAAATGGCTGGTCTGGGTACAGGTAGCGATGTTCTCGCGGAGTTTGAAGACGCAGGCGCCATCCGAGCATGGCTGACACACCCCGTTAGGCGCTGCACACCACGCACGAGCCACGCATATCAGGTCCATCTTTGGTGCCACAATCCTACAATAAGATCATGCTATTTGTTTCTTGCTCTGTTGTACCAACCTTAAAGCAGAGACATGGTGAGGATGCCATTGACACCACCTCCAGTGGCATACAAGTAACATTCCTTTGAGGTGAACGGTGACAGCTGGCGGGCAGCAAAGAGTCCGGATGCGTATCCTTGCTTAGGTCATTTGCGAGTGGCTAACACCGCTTGAATTTGCCGAGCCTGCTGGGGGATGCCCAGACTTTGTCTGCACACCCAGACCGGCCAGAACTCTGACACTAACGGCAATTGGTCTATCAGCGCAGAACACTAATTTTACCGGTGGGAATAATCACCACTTGCAATTTCATATTGCTGACCACTTTTATGCATGAACATAGCTGGCAAATACGTGAGGCTTTACGGCACTGCTGGGTATTCATAAGATATGTTCCGGCCGAGTTTCGCACATAGACCTACACAACGGAAGGTTAACTTGAGCACACTAGTCTCAAGTTAGATTGAATGGTGCTCCGTGGTCCATGATGATTATGATAACCCATGCATGTCACCGTAGCAAGCTAATCTTGTGGTTCTGTTATATTCAGGCATATAAATAGCAGTACCCTGCAACGTCCATCCAATATTATTGTAAAACTGAATTGAAAATGTCCCATTATCGATTATCATACAATTTACGCCAGCGCCGAGCGTTGATCCGGTATTTAATATTTAATATTCGTCCGCTCTGGTTTCGCGGCTGGCGTTCCCACTCCAATTGCAGGATGCCACAAGTCAAAAAGTATATACAATTTAGCCCTCAGGTTCGTAAAGTGTCTTCTAGTCAAAAGCCTAGCTGAGAACAAATTGAGGGTTGTTATCAAATAGCCTGACGTTAATTCATGACAACTCTCAGAGCTAGCCCGCAGTCCAGAACCAAAGTTTATGACAGAGTCATTCGCGAACTTTCTTCTCACTTCCTCGTTCAACAATCCCTTGAGTTTGCGCCCCCCTCGTGTCTGTCTCGAACACATCTCCCATACTCACAACGCCCAAAGCGTTTAAATCATTCACGCGTCTCATGGCTGAAGAATTAGACTCAACAACAGTACCCGTGGACTTTGTCAAGGAAGGAGGCGATTGGCTGGCCATATTTAATCCCCGCGTACCTCGCCAGATGGACGTGCAGCTTGCAGCGCGGTACGTTCATGACGGGTGCGTTTGTTTGGAAGACTTATGGCTTCACTCCAGTCTGACACCATTTTGTGAGTCAGCGTGGTATGTAGTGTAAAATTTTCCTTGGATGGGACATTTCTTGCAGTAGGCATGGAGGGTGCCGTTGTACTTTACAACTTGACTCTCGGAGAGAAGTTTACGTGAGTACTCATCCTGCCCTCTCACGAACAACATTGGGTGAGCTGGTAACGCAGCTTCACACTGGAGAGTAATAGTGGAAAACCAAATCATGCACGAGCTGTTTGTATCAGTCCTGATGATCATTTTCTTGTCGCTGGTTCTGAAGACAGACTCATAAGAGTGCGTGCCAGTGACTCAAATTTTATTCATCAGGGCACCCATGTTGTTATATAGGTCTGGAGTATCACGAACCGCATGTTGGTGCATGCTTTGGAGGGGCACTCCGGAGAGGTGTATGCTCTAGCATTTACACCTGACAACAACACATTGCTTTCAGCGTCCGGAGATTGCACGATCCGCGTTTGGGATGCGACTCAGTTTGCTGAGACTCCTGATGCTAGCTCAATCATCCTCGATGAAACTATGGAGGCCACCTGTCGTGTACTTCGCCCAGTCAGCCCTGGTGTCAAGCTTTCATCCAAGCTCGCACTGACATCTATTGCCGTCGACTCAACTGGCAAGTTTGTTGCTGGGGGGTCGTTGGATGGAATGATTCGAATCTGGAAGGTTGACGGCACCGAGAACGGCAGCACAGAGCCGGTGGAGACATTACGCGGGCATGAGGATGCTGTGTATAGTGTGCAGTTTGTTGTGGGCGGCTTGGTGAGTGCAAGCGTGGATCGCGCGCTGAAACACTGGAACATAAGTGAAGTGGGTGTTGGTCGCACAGAGTGTCGAAAAACTCTGCAGGGACATAAAGTACGTGACAACTTGGACAAAACCTCGATCCCAGTATCGCAACTGACCTTTCACTAGGACTGCATTCTCGCCACATCTGCACTTCAAGTTGGAAGAGATCAACGCGTCGTGTCCTCGTCTCGGGATGGGACGGTAAGGATGTGGGACTTGAAGACGGGCATGGTGCAATTCGTGATCCAGGGTCATAAAAACACTGGTACGTAGCTGGACCACCGAGCCTCTGCAATTTCTTTCAACGTTCCCTTCTCAGTGACGACTGTGGATCTTTGCAAAGACGGACGACTGTTAGCATCTGGTAGCGGGGACTGTGAAGTGCGGTTATGTAAGCGTGAATTGATATAATGTTCGATTGACCTCTGACATAGTGCTGACCATCAGGGAGCTACTTGATTGTTTGAGAATGTCTAGGAAAGTATCTTATAGTTTCCCAATAACAAATGAATAGACTATATTGGAGTTGCGTGGTGAGGTGGTCAGTACACTGGTCACCAATGATTCATTAGTGTACACATGGTTTGTCGTTTGCAGAGCTGGTGCGTTTACTACGAATACAGATATAGGAAGCTCTTTGACACTTTCATTGTTGTGTCGAGGATTGCTAGATGGGCGGAGTAGTAACTTACGTCGTGGAATAGCTTCGCGTAAGTCAGACGAGGATAACATAAACTAGTCCAAGCTGTTTCTGGTAATTCCGAGTCGGCCTCGGTCATCAAGCTCTTTAAGTACCTGTTTTGCTCTTGGTTTCAACTTAGCTTCTTTTATTACCAAGAAGGACAATACTCGCTTCTGCTCAGCTCATTCGTGTATAAAAGTCGGGACGATGCAGACCCAAATCATATCCCAGTACGTCCTTGCAAAGATAATTATTTCACCCTTCCCAGTGGCACTACGCCGTTCACGATGAAACCTGCACATTCCTTTACATATCTCCTCGCGCTATTGTCGCTGGTCGCTGGCTCACCGATCCAGCAGCTGAACACCCATACTTTACGCCTGCCACTTGAGCGTAGGAACAATCAAATCAGTGTTAAGAGTCTCCAAGCACACCTCAAACAAGTCACCGCGTATGGCATGCACAGCTTCACTTCCTGTTTACGATATTGACCGATAAATATAGGAAGTACCGTCGGGGATTTGCGGCGTACGAGGCCAATAAGGGACATGCTCACCCGTTGAGCATGCCATCTAGCTCAAAAACGATGAAGCGAGGTGCTGGTAATGTTCCTTTGATGTCTCAAGATGTCGAATTGTGGTATGCCTCGATCGATGTTGGCACGCCTGCGAAGACTTTCACAGGTGCGCACGTATTACAATTCCTTTGAGGTAATATTAAGTAATTCTCAAAGTGTCCATTGACACGGGCAGCGCGGATCTCTGTAAGTTATTTTCTTCAGACCCGAATTTTTGCTCACCTTTCCTTACTCAGTCCTTCCTTCTGTCGATTGTGATGATAGCTGCGACGGTCACAATAGATATGATCCATCCAAATCCTCAACAGCTGTCGACCTTCACAAGCTATTCTGGCTTAGCTTTGGTGAAGGCGAAGTTGCGGGGGAACAATTTGCTGACAACGTGGTAATCGGAGGATATGAGGTGATTATTTTGAATTCAAGTCATGCGCGTGTATCCTAACCATGACCAGGCTAAGGGACAGACTCTCGGGGCTGCACTAAAGTACTCTCCAGACTTCTCAAGTGATAATTTCACACCTGACGGGCTTGCCGGCTTTGCATTCGAGTCTATATCTGATTACCCAGCACCTCCGCTCTTTCAAACTCTCGTGGATAGTAGACAGTTGCAGGAAGATATGTTTGGTGTCAAACTTTCAGCCGCCCCCGGTGCAAGCGAACTATATATCGGAGGGACCAACACGGCGCTGTATCAGCAAGACACTCTAACGTATACACCTGTAACTGAACCAGGCTACTGGGAAGTCAAACTCGATCAGATATCTCGAGCTGGCGCCCCTGTGGGGAAACCGGAGGCACCATCCATCATTGACACGGGAACAACTTTAATCGTAGCGAATATGAATGATACTGCATCCTATTTTGCTGGCATTGCTAACGTTACGGCAACGGTTGACGAATTTCAAGTGATTTATTCAAGTCAGTATCAAATCGAGAAAAAGGATCTTCATACCCTGCAGGCTAATACTTAGATATTCAGTGCCGTGCGATATCATTGAAAAATATGCGCCGACTCTCACCTTCGGAGGACATCCGTTCACCGTGTCCTGGGGACACATTCAATCTCGGGCCTGTCGAAGTGGGATCCAGTGACTGTGTGGCTGGCATCGCAGGCTCGGACGACGTGGGTAAGACTTTCGTATACATGGATAGCTTGCTAGTACTCTGATTCAGGCTTACTATATTAGACTTCTGGGTCGTGGGTGACGTGTTCTTGCAGAACGTGTACTCGATCTTTGACATGTGTAAATTGCGAGTTGGGTTTGCGGAGCTCACATAAGCTCATCAGAGCATCTGATGAGAGTTGTGGGAGAAGTTTTGAATTAGGGAGTATTACATACGGACCTTCGACAGTACTACTAACTGTGCACACGTATACCCTGAATTGACAGACTTTCTGTAGCGCTATGTTTGCTTGGAGCAGGGAACCAACATATGATTCTGCTGCTGGTATGAGTGTACATGAGCAGTATATATACATTTTCGAGTACTTGACTAGGCTGATAAGGAGCATATGGCAAGTTCAAAGATATCGGTGAAGAAACAGGAATCATGAAGTTTGAGCACAAGATAAGATAACAAAAGAGAGAAATTCGGATGCGAAGAGTTGCGCTCTTCGTATCAATGAATCACGTGGATGACGTCGACCGCGTGGTTCGAGCGTCTTCATTTTTGAGGCATGGTCGGCGTATAGAGAATGGGGAAGCCTCACAGATAGGAGGTCTTGCAGAACAAACCACCATCTATACCAATCCTACACTGGTCCCTTTTCCTTCTCCTCGGTCTCCAGTTCATCCTCCACTTCGAAACTATTTTCCTCGTGATACAGCGCTCCAATACCCACATTTCCCGGGGATGAGATACAACAAATCACCGAGAACGCGACGAATGATATCAAAAGGCCTGCAGAGTTGTCAAAGTTTAATGAATATTTAAAACACCGTTTAATAGAAACAGTAAACCTACCGACGAAGAACGCAATGTGAAAAATGCGCACCCACACATTCCACGCAGTCGCGTCGCGGGTTGTCATGATTAACCCAGGCATGGTTGGGAAGACCCCAAGCACCCAGGCGAGTGGGGCACGCCAGTTGACGCCATTGTGGTACCTTGACAGAAGTGAGGGGAAGAATATGCCTTGTAATGTTTGCGTACCAGTAAATAGAGCGTTTGTCTCCGATGTAGCAGTCCTCGAGCTTGATCATGCATCCCCTTACCACGAAGTAGTCTGCAAGAAGAATCCCAGAAAAGGAGGCGACTGGGGAGGATCAGTTTATCGTGATGAATCAGACTTCTTTAACACGTACAGAATATTCCGAAGCTAGATAGTACGGTCAAGAAAATTGAAGCATTAGACAGGTATTGCCAAGGGTTTGAAGCTAGACCCAGGAAGGCGAGCAGGTAAGCACCCCTCCTGATGTTGATATAGCGTCTGCGGAAGAACATTCGTTGATTTGTGCATTTGGGGCACAATAAACATAGAATACGGACGGTACAACACCCCTGCTCGTGTATTAGGTAGATGTTGGGATACGAGAGTAAGGACGTACGAGATATCCATTCCGACGCTCACAGAGTTGAGAACAATGCTCATGCCGAGCTGGGCGCATACACAGCTGAGTCCAGCAAAGAAACTGAAGCGCAGTCAGAGAAGAAGCTAGAGTAGATAAACGTGTTACATACATCGCAGCGCGAACTGTCCGATGGAAAAGAAGTGAGCACCCACACTTACCGTGAGATTGTCCTCACCTCTCGGGGAGTCATTACTGAAAAAAGGAGTTAAGCTATGCCCAACGGACGAACTCCCCCTCCCCCCAACTTACTAGTAATTCTGCAGAGCTGCGAGAAGCAGGAAAGGCTCCCAAATCAAACTCCCTACAATTTCTTGGGCGCATGACGTGACGATGATACCAATCGTGGCACACACAATGATGCAAAATGGGCTGGGAGTAATCAGTCAGGTAAACCATAGTGAATATTGGTTGTGGACGTACGCAACGATTAACTGAGCTAGCGTAGGCGCATCTGAATGGACGTGTTAGTGTGACAAACAAGAATGTGATGACGTTGGGCAGACATGGCCGGTTAGCATAGCGCGTCCAGTCGCTCTGACCGATGGTGCCACCACTCCTATTCACCATAGCCATAACATATATCAGGTGGGCGCGCAAGCGACAAAAGGACAGTCTCGCACCATGCGCCAAGAATCGCAGTGATACCGAATAACATGGCCCTATCGTATTATTTAACAAGATATCTGATTTTATCTCAGGTCTTGATCTCACCATCCTGTTCCACCATGAACGGGACTCGCTTTCTCCTGAAACAAGGGACCGCCAGAATGTGTGTTCGAGACCGCCCAAACAAGAAGTCCGATCAGGCTGGATTGTAGAGTAAGTGCAGCGCATGCGTGAAGTTAGAATGGTGACGGTGCCTACGTGGCGCTAAACATGACAGACGAGACGATGAAGGGTTTCTGGAGTCGCTCAGGAGGGATGCGCATGATCGCGATGAAGAACACGTAGTAGATGCTGCATACGACGGTCAAGTTGAATGGACTCGTGGAAAGAGGATGTATCGAACATCATGCCTATGAAGTCCTTCTTCAGCAAGATTCCTCCTGCTAACGTCTGTTTCCTGAATCATCGTGCGTAAATGGCTGGAGAACTTAACAAGTTGGGTGCACATGTGCTCACATGTGGGCAAATCCTATAACAAGATAAAAATAAGCATTTAACAACCTAAAAGAAAGGTTGCGCACCAGGAATGATGGCGCCGATTGTAACCTATTCAAATGTGTGGAATGAAATAAGACGCACAAGGACTTGAAGACGTACCGCAACAGCTGCACGAAAGTTTATCAGCAACATAACAGAGAACAGGAGTAGAAAACAAGTTACCTTGTCCACCCCAGTAGGCCTGAAGGCCATCCCAGCTAAATGCGCATACAGCTTTCAGCACTTGAAAAAGAAACTCAGAACTTACAAGATGGCCCTTGAATTGTGAAATCAAGCAGTGTACTCCAATACGTTTAGCGCATCACTCACACAAAAGCACGAACGATAACAGGAAAATAGGCGCCTCTGCTAGAGGAATCAGCATAATGTGCCGCGGTCAATTGTTGCATACTCGCCGCATGCCCCAGCAGAACCTGCACGCCACAGTAAAACCTATGTGGTGTCTTTACTTAAGCTGTCAGCATTTCAATGGAACCCATCCCGTGACCACAGCATCCCCACCTCTCTCCCATCCACCCGCAGGTGACACTAAGCAATCCAACGATAAGACCGCAGATGACGAGAGACACGATGGCCTGTCTCGCATCTAGGCCGTACGCGAGTAATGTGCTGCCGGCAGTATACGCTGAAATGGAGAGACCACCGATGCACCAAAAGATGAAGTAGGACCATATCTTATAGGTGCGGCGCTCTTTGGGCATGGGGATGAGGTCGCGGTTGAGCCATGGTGTATTGGGCACTCCAGGATCAGTGGGTACCTCAATGTACTGCAGGAACCTGCGCCATCGAGACGGATGCGGATCTGCGTCCTTTGAGTTGGACATCGCAAGTGGTCAGTAATACTCAGTATTAACGTCTCAACGCAATTGGGGATCGAGAATTTTTTTAACGTTTGATCATGAGCTCCATTTCTGCGGAAGAATACGCGGGGGTACGTTATAGTGATTCTATGCGGTTGGAAGGAGGCTTGTCCGGATCTTGATATTGGCTCCATACTTAGGACTGATGATGAATCGATATTATAATCGGGTAAGACCATATCATTTAACAGCTTTCAGCCGCAGAGTCGAAGATTAGTGCGCAAGAAACTTGAACTAGTCAAACTGTCAGAGTGATGTCGTGGACAGAGGTGAGACTAACATTACATAATTCAAAAGAACACTCGCCTCTTCAGAAAGTGCGGGATTTGGCCAGTCTGCGTGAGGTCTATACAGACAAGTCACAGACTCTGTGTTAAAGTCTGGGGGTCTGCCAGCAGTTGTCCGGAAAGTGCCGGGAAGTCTATGTTTGTCTGCCCGCTGTATTATGTCATAATTTAGTGTCAGTCCCCCGCCATCTCGCCATCAGCCTCTCCCGCCATTTCACGTTGCCCGCCGTGCCTACAGACAACATATCATCGACTACAGCTCTACAGCCGCCAAGTATTCCAGGTGCCATCCTGCGGAATGTCATCAATCGGACTCATCGTTGATTGCACCTACTGAAGTGTGACACAGGGGTGGCTGAAGTGCTGACGGGGTGGTTGATGTAGATGGCAGGGGTGGCTAGCCACTGACGGGGGTAGCTGATGGGATTAGTGTCACAGTGGCTGGCGTAGTGGCGAGAGTGATGATGTCAGACAACCCGGAGCTTGCCGACAAAACACACCCAGACGTGTCCCCCAGACTTTGAGGCGGAGTCTGCGCAGACTTAACACAGACCGGCCATTTCCTACATGCCCTCAGCTCCTCGTTGTCTGCAACATGTCCGACTTCTTCAAATCGTCGTCATCGTCTAGTTCTCCGTCAGGTATGTGACACGCAGCTATATTCTGACTGCTACTCAGCACATACTTTGTAGACATGACTGCAAAAAAAGAAGCCGTGATGAATGGTTGTGGCCTCCAGAAAGGTCTCCAATCGACATTCCCGTTCCGAATGTTTAGTTCTGTTTGGTCTTTCCGGAGGAAACTAGCTTTCGATCATACGCTAGTAATCCGAAGCTCAGCATCATACTAGCAAGTGATCAGACATCACTAGCACTTGCGACTCTCCACCGAAGAGTCAGCAGCTAGCTAACGCGCCATCAACGAGGGTCACAACCTCCTAGTCACTATGATTTTGTTGTAGGTGACGTTAAAGGAACTCTTCTATACGTTGCTATGACATTCAATGAACGCACAGTTTGGACCACTCTTTGCAAGAAAATTGTGTAGCTGCTGCGTCAGTAGTCAAAGTCACGCAGTGGTGAAAATAACATCTTGATCTGTACGTCGGTGTCATGGATGGCGGCGCTGGTATGTAGAAACGTTCGACTGACAGATGCTCCCCGGGCCCACCTCCGCATTTGGCCGCCTTAGTGCGCGAGTGACCCGAGTAGAAGTGGTGCCAATAATCAACAACGTACACGCAGTTATCAAAATATCAAAATTCTTTTTGACCGGCCACGCGTCTTTGTCTTTGCCTCCCAGTGCAAGATGAAGTTTTCATCCCCCTTTGCCTCTCTGCTGGCTCTTGTCTCTATTACTGCTGCTGTGCCTAAGAGCCGTAATGACGGTGTTATTCGGATTCCTCTTGCCCGCAAGAGCGCTGACGTCGCCGGGCATGTTGATATGAGTGCTCTCAGTGCACACCTCTTCAGCGTTTCGAAGTAAGTTCAAAATTCTTTGTTCATAGCCCTCAACCACCGTATTGATCGCTTGCAATCTCTATCTTTCAGCAAGTATCGTCAGACATTTTCTGCATTCGAAGCTAATACCGGTTATGCTCATCCTTTGAGCGCGAAGATGAGGTCTTCTATAAGAGAGCGTGATGTTCCGCTCATCAACCAGGGAACTGAGCTGTGGTATGGCGAAATCGATGTGGGCACGCCACCACAGACGTTTAACGGTCAGACAACCCTACTGTCAGCATGGAACGAACATTGCTCATTGAACTTTATCTGCAGTATCTATCGACTCAGGAAGCACGGACCTTTGTAAGCACATACACCTGACGAGACGTTTATCTTGACCTGAGGCCACTTCTTGTTAGTCCTTCCGTCTGCGTCCTGCATGGACTGCGCAGGCCACAAGATGTATCACGCTGCCGCGTCTTCTACAGCCAAGGACGAAGGAAAATTTGTTCCCCTCTCGTATGGTGAAGGTCGAGTAATAGGAGATGAATATAGCGATGACGTGTTCCTTGGTGGCTACGAGGTGGCGCAATAACTCTTTCTTACGTCGCAAAGACTGATTTTCTTTGCTAAGGCTTCCAGCCAGGCATTCCTTGCTGCCTATGAGTACTCCAGCAACTTCGCGTATCCGGATTTCGAACCTGACGGTCTTCTCGGTTTTGCTTTTGAGGAAATATCTGGTCTTGAGGCTAAGTCAGTCTTTGAGACAATAAGTGACAGTGGCGTACTCCCAGAACGCGTGTTCAGCGTCGAACTTTCTTCTACAGCCGGGGAGAGCGAGCTCAGTATCGGAGCGACGAACCCCAATCTCTACATTGAAGACACCTTGACCTATACGGCCGTTACCCAGGAAGGCTACTGGCAGGTGAATCTAGAGGCAGTTTCGCGAGATGGCTCTATTGTTGCCAGTAACAGCGCATCTATTATCGATACCGGGACCACGATGATCATCACAACTGATGCTGCAGCGGAGGCATACTACCAGGATATTCCAGGTTCAAGCAACAGTACTCAAGAGGGAATGACATATTATACCAGTTTGGCCGATCCTTTGCAGTTGATGATTTATAATTGACTTATTCCCTAGTTCCGTGCGACACGATCGGATCATACACTCCCACATTCTCATTTGGTGGGCGCGGCTTCGATGTTTCAGAGGGAACGTTCAATCTTGGTCCAGAGAGCGAGGGTTCAAGCGACTGCGTGGGAGGTATTGCTGGGATGTCAGATCTTGGTGAGTACTTCATATCATGCGCAATGTACGCGAGCTAAGTTCTCCTTTTCATCTATCCGTTTTAGACTTTTGGGTTGTCGGGGGCATTTTCCTGCAGAACGTTTACACAGTATTCGATCAGGGAAACACTCAAGTGGGCTTTGCCGAACTGGCATAATCCTCAACCTCTTCATCCTCTGCTTGATTTGCCATAAGGACTTAGCATAAATGTCTCGTTTTCGATTTCAGGTTTGGTACCTGTGTATCACATACATCCTTATACCCTTACAATTCTGTCATTATTCACCGTTTATGATTTCCTTTTGTTGAATACCGACAAATGTCAGCTGACTGATGTAGACGAAATTAGCTCGATCTGAACCCCAACATTGGGTGACTTCCCGCAGCGTTTAGAATTCCAGATACCCGTTTCAAACCATATGTGCCGAGGAGCCGCTGTAGAACGTAAGCAACTTCCAACTCCGCACGTCAAACGCACCATGTTCCAGACCCTAATCTGGAAGAGGGGTGCCCATCGTTCTAAACAATATTTCAATGTCCGCGCTGGCAATGTCGACTTTTTTGGGTGATTACGGCGCATTTCCATGTGATGCGCTTAGCTGGCACCCTTACAATGTTTTTCGTATGTTCAACCAAGTCTCTTTAATGCTAATCATTGTTCATTTCAAGTGTAGTACGCTTCATTCTGCACCATGTGCGAAAGTCATTTGACCTGCCAACTCACACAAATAACTACGAATGAGATATGTTCTTGATTGTTGGCGTTGAACCAGAGTGTTCATAGCCTGAGTGTGATTGTTAATAACGTTCAGCTCCGACAAATATCAGGATTGATGCCAATAAGTAGTTATGATACACATTGCCTCCTCTGTAATTCGTCATCTTCATCAGTGCTAGTGATGTTGTATGCCATGTTTAAAGTTTAGTAAGTAGAATTAGATCAGAAAGTTCATTTGAGAGCTCGTGTCTACGGTTTGGAACGAGTTTCTAGATATAAATTCCACCTTGCCGAACCTCCGAATTTTAAGGTTTAGAACGAAATTTAGAACACTAAATCCTGCGGGAAGTCATCCATTAATGTTAAACGAACATTCAAAACTTGGACCTGAAGTGAAATACCAGCATGGTCGAACGTACATGTAATATATTTGCCCTTTGAGGCACTTGCGTTTTGTGTAGTCAACTTTGGTGTGTTGTGCTCGAAAGCATTGAAACAATACCCGAAAATTTGAATTAATATGGTCGATGTTTACGGGTTCTATGTACACGAGAACAGACCAAATTATTGCTGGTCATCAAGCAGTGGCAAAATCGTCGAACATTTTAATTTTATTCATGTGATTTTTCATGAACCACTACACTTGAAGCGCCTGCATGTTGACTAGACTCCGGTGGAGCTGATCACGCACTGTCTTGGACAATTGCAGCGTATTTAGGGTTGGGCACCATGATAACACATCTAACTGATACATTTCAAGGACCCTGGAGAGAGTAACATATAGAGATGCGTGGTAATATACATGAATATCGAGCTTAGCGCGCGCGAGAGTAGGGATGGAATCTGCTACCGTGTCGTGGGGCCAGCTTGTCATGAGTGGGATGATGGGGTGGTACCTTTGCAGGAGTCGTGAAATTGATCTGTGTTCGCTTCGACTGAGAGGAAGCAGTTTGCTCTGAACGAGCTTTTTGCAGCGCAGCTTTGAGGCAGAAATACAGGCGCCCACATGTATCGCCGAGAACCACGAGAAAAAAATTGACCACGAAACAATTTGTAGAACAATTGGCCAAGTGCGAAGAGGTGCCAAAGGCAAGGGCATGAACGAGTGCTATGCGAATAAGGGAGTTTACGTACCGATGCTGTCCGCAAACCATTCAGAGCGCATGTCATCTGGATCCCACATATCCTTTGAAAAATTTGTCGTGCGCTCATCGACATCCACAAATTCCACCAACTTAGCATATAGATGGGGATTGCGGAAGGACCGGTTGGACATAAGTGAATCGTTAAAATGCTTCGGATGTTCAGGATCTTGCTTCAAGGTATGAAATTTCGCAAGTTTAGTCTGAAGGATAATCAGAAAGATCCTAATGAATGGGAGCACAGTCGCACCTGAATTGCGGGGTCATATGGAGATGAAGACGCTGGCAAAATGCCCCAGTCTGTGAATCCTGGAATTGGCAGTGGTCTCAATAGTTGTCGAAGGTGGGAGATTTCATCAGCCTCCTCTGGAGATCCAGTTTCAACTTGTTCCGTGTTCGGAAACGCATCGGGCATGGACGCTGGACTGAAAGCTCGAAGGCTTTCTGAACCGTCTGCAATTTCATCTGATACATGAGCACGAGGGTGACCTCTCTGCTGCGCAGGCCGACGAATGATTACTTGAGATTTTGGTAGCAGGCGAGCTGAGTTGGCTGGGTTCCATCTTCAACACGGCACATGTATGCATCATGATATGCGGTACATACCATCTGGGAATGAGTTTGATACACTCTTCAGCGCCTTATCCTATCTCAGGAAGAACGACAGCCAACAAAGAGGGAAACGATTGCACGAGGCTGCGGTGAAGAATCTCTTACATTATTTAGATATATTCCCACACTGGTCTTTGAGGATGAAGCGACTTTCTCCTCCGAGTCGCTCTGCGAGTCATCTCCATAGGCGTGAAGACCTATTGAAAATATGAGCATAACGACGTCGTGTAGTTCGAGAGAATTGTGTTTACCGTTCATGAGAGTGAAAGACAAAGGGCAAATTGTAGTGTTTTAGAACTCCGCACTGCATTTCGTTTGCCGAGTTGCCGTTTGTAATACCTAGTCCTCCTCTTCACTGGTCAGTGTCAATTATGTTCTCCATGCGTTTCCAGCTGCTTCCGCAGGCCTGCCTGCTGTTGCTAACATGTTTCGTAGCGTGGGCGGTCGGATCGTCGGGCTCTTCCGCGCCTGCTGGCGAGCGCGCAGCTGATTTCTTCAGTAGACACGATTCAGGTTCAGGACACACCAACAATTGGGCAGTTCTTGTATGCGCGTCTCGGTACTGGTTCAACTACAGGGTGAGCACGATTGTACCACTATAAACCCCCTTTTCTGAGACTGTGCTATAGCATATGGCAAATGCCCTTGGAATGTAACGCACCCCATTCCCGGAGTTAGTTGCTCACTGCCTGATGCACCTGTCAGGTATCGTACCGTCAAGCGTCTTGGGATTCCAGACTCCAACATTATCCTCATGTTGGCGGATGACGTAGCGTGTAACGCAAGGAACAAATTTGCTGGCAGTGTCTATGCAGAAGCTGGAAGGCATCTAGACTTGTACGGCAACAACATCGAGGTAGACTATCGTGGCTATGAAGTAACTGTGGAGAACTTCATACGCCTATTGACAGGTATGAATGGTCCAGTGCTAATCGGCTAATTGAAGGTCATCTAAAGTGTTGTAGGTCGGGTAGATCCCTCTATGCCACGGTCAAAAAGACTTCTGACAGATGACCACTCAAACATCTTCGTCTACATGACTGGGCATGGAGGAAACGAGTTCCTCAAATTCCAAGACCAAGAGGAAATAAGTGCATTTGATATTGCTGACGCATTCGAGCAAATGTGGCAGAAAAAAAGGTGGGTTTTCCCTTCGCATTGTCGTATTCGAGGCTCACGATGGAGCAGATACAACGAAATTTTATTCATGATTGATACCTGTCAAGCAAATACCATGTACTCTCAAATTTATTCCCCTAACATTCTTGCCACTGGATCCTCTCAGATTGAAGAGAATTCTTACTCTGTAAGAATTCCACACTCCGTTTGGTTCAAAGTGCTCACGATGTCGTGGATCTAGTACGAAAATGACAATGATATCGGCGTCTCCGTCATTGACAGCTATACACACTACGTCCTCAAATTTATGGAAGGAATAAATAAGACGAGTCAGGCATTTATGCAAGATTTGGTATTCTACTTTATAACTGGTCTGATGCGCGTGTTCATTCTTCATTGCGACAGTTCGATTCATATGACCCGGTGAAGATTTACTCTCATCCAGGCATCCGGTCTGATCTTTTCCGCCGTCCCTTGGACAAGACGCTTATTACCGATTTCTTCGGAGGCATCGCACAAGCTGAAGCCTTCCCATTACAGGACATCGTCGGCTCAAGTAACCACCATGAGAATGATCCTACGCCCCCTACCTCCCAGAAGCCTGACACACCGTCTGTACCGGTGGTGTTGTCGCCGACTGTTGTCTCCCTCCCGAGATTGACAGGCGAGACGCATGCATGGGATAATCGGTGGAAAGAAGTCAGAAAATGGACCTCCATCTTTGTCGTAGGATGTCTTGTATCCTGGGTTTCTTTTGTGCGGTAATCCCACATCGATTGCCCTAATTTATTCTGAGTCAGGGGCCGTGAAAATCTCACAACTCCCATGTTTGACTTTCACTATAACTCATACATTGCATCATGTACCATCCTGCTTCTCATTGGCTTCTCACTGCCCCTTTCTCATCTGAGACTATATGTAGATTTACGTGCGTCCATAATGTAGTAGTTGGCTCATACGATGACAATGAGTGAGCTCGGATGAATTAGTTGCGCGCAGTAGAACCTTCACATGCAAGCAAGATGACAGCAATAAGATCTCTGTATGTTGTCTGTATGCAACAAGCTTGAAACAATGGAAACATTAATAAATCTCATTCTCCCATCCACGAGGCTTGAACCTGTTAGCTGCAACCCGGGTATCCCTTCACAATTTCAGGTTCGCGAAACCGACCTCAGTGTTACCGACATCAAAGATCGTGTACACGTTTTGCAAAAATACATCGCCAATAATCCAATGTTCTTCCTCGATACTTGAGCATACTTTTGTGTTGTATTCATTTATAGCACGTACCTCCAATCCCGGGCATGCCAGTAAGGCCGGCGATGCAACATCTGTTATGGTTGTATCTCCGGATATTCTACTCAGCGGGATACTGATGGTATTTCTTTGGTAGGCATCTAGAGGTGATGCCACAATGAGAGAGACGAGACAGCAGAGCGTCAGTAAAGCTGTGGAAGGACGCATGATGTTGACCTGTTGATCTCAGGGTGAGTCAGTGCTGGCTTTTATGACTTTCAAGGCAGGCCATGCTATTTGGCCATACATGCACGCGGCAGAGATGACTAGACCACGTTTTCCAACAACTTGACAGGTTGTCAAGTATGCTATCTGTCGGGATACCTCAAATCCTACATGAGAATGGACCAAGGTGTCTCGCTGCTCGGAAGAGATGCAGACGGCAATGACTTGAGCGTGGCACAAAAAACAATCCTGTCGCCCTCTATCCATACAAGGTTCAATGAAATATTGTCAACATACAATGGTGCTACAAGACTTATGTACATTACTTGGAAAAAGCCCTCAGCATTCATTCGTCGATGCGAGTCCCGTTGGAATGCATACACCACTCTAACACAGCACAGGGTGGCCACAAGCCATCCGGCTCGTCACCAGCGTCTTGAAGGAGCAATGCCACGACACCGTGCGGCGGAACAGCATGGGCTGTGAAATTGCGAACTGCAGTGCCGTTGTCTGTATGCGTCCAAAGGTCCTAGACAGACAAAGCAAATCAGAAGGCCGCGGACAACCTGCATGAGATATGAAACTTACCCGGACAGTATATTGTCTGCCAGCTCGGATCCACGGAGATTCAGCCAGCTTGAAGAACATGTCGGCGGGCTCATCCAGTGTGTTCAACTGTATAAAATTCGAGTTATTTGAATAGCACGTTTAAAAGAAAATACGAACGAGCATAAACACAGTCCCGTTCTGACTCTCTCCGCTCCAATATTGTGCAGGATGTGTGTCGTTGCTGACCCAATCAGACTATCGATGCAACGTGACATCAATGACGTGGACCTCCGATTGACAGCAAATGACTTACATTGATGCCCCACCGGAAAGGTGAGATGCTAGTGCCTACAACCGAGTCTTGATGGATCGCAATAATTTCTGGATTGGTCAGAATCTCAAGGGTTTCTTTGGTAGCAGAAGCGAGCTACGTTGGACGTACGTGAGCGGAGGGTTCGTCAGCAGGATCGGACTTACATGAGTGCCAATAAGTAAAGGTGACTTCAAGAGCGCCCACGCAGTAAAATGGGACTTCGCTTCTTCGTACGTGAGGGGGCCATTACCACTGTCGATTGTGAGGTGACAATTATACTCGGCCTCTCAATGACGTACATTTCAAGCTACAAAAACCCGTGTCAGCGCAGCCAATAACACCACAGAACATGACTAACGATGTCCATGTCATTATGGCCGTAGAAATCAGTTGCCCAAGTATAGAACGAGTTCCTGGAAGATGATATGAATTACTCTAGGATAAGCAACGCGGCTTCCTTACTGGTTTAATATTTTGACGATTGATTGCCAGTACGGTTCTTGCCACCGATTAGTTGCTTCCTCAGTGAAAGGTTTCGATAGTTTGAACGCTTACCAATATCGTCAGTCGTCTAAAGTATCCGTTAGCTTCGAAAAATTTGTGATACGTGCTCTATCTCACCCTCCAACTCTGCCCATATCTGCGGGCCCAAGTCCAGCCTTGCTCCTGCAAAAACAGTCCATAGTCCAAAAATTGCAACGAAGTGGAGTCTCACCCTTCCCCACTGGCACATCGACAGAATCAAGGGTGGTGTTCCAGACGACAGTGAAAAATCACCAATGGCGTTTGCCATACGTTCGTATCCTAGACACGTCAGTGAGGATTATGACAGAGGTGAAGAACATGAGTACATACTTCCCATGATATTTTCCCGAGTGATGTTGTCGAATGGAACTGACATACATCGAGCAATCACGAAAAGGGCATGAGGTGAGGCCGCGTACCAGCACAATTATCATATCTGTCAATAATCACCGTCAAGAACAGCCGTTCAAGTCAGTAAATCGAGACTTACTTGAGATAATCAAAACCCCAGTCATGAAAGCGTTTTGCGTCTCTGCTAGATATGATCATGATGTAATGACCAGGAGCGGAATTGCTGACCTTGCCTCGTTCTGGAATGAGCCAGGATACAGCTGGCATGTGAACCAACCCGAATCACTATACTGCATGACAGGGACATGGTCAGGGATACAGGAATGACTGAATGACAGGTCCTTACGATGCCAGCTTTCCTGTGTGCGCCAAAGAAAAATCTCAGTGAAATGCAATTTTAGATGTATATATAACATCTCACGCACAGTCCGAGATCATGGATTTTGTCTGTGAGAGCCTTCATTCCAGATGGAAACTTCGTCGCGTCTGGCCGTGGATGTTAACATATGAACCGTCAGGAAAAAATAGTTGGACCTTCAACAATATCACCATCATCGTTTCTGCTTTTCTCTGAATAACAATCATCAATGTTGACATATGTATACCCAGCATCCTAGTGGTGATATCAAGTTCAGCCACTCTGAATAGGGCCGACGGCGAACGATACTTGCCGCCAAGTTGAGTGATTTCATAAGCTGTGCGTTTTGTAAGATGAGATCCTCGTCTATGTCGCACTAAAAGATCTGAGTTAAAACCTTCCGAACTAACTCCATACCACTCACATGGTATGCATTCCAAGCTGTGCGTGAGGCGCCAGGTCAGTATCGACAGCTTTTTTTCGGAACGTGGAAACCTACTGTTATAGCCCATCACTTATCACCACATAAGATGAACGAATTGGCGAAGACTGAATCTCGAAAAACGCACCTGGTAGTTTGGCAACTCGGTTATCCAGTGTAGCAGAAACGCGGTGAGGGGCATCATGACGGTGGGCGAGGTATGTGGTATATCCCAAGATTGCAGCCAAGGCTAATGGAAGAAGGACAACAAACGATCTGTTAAGCTTCGAGCGAGCTTATGAACGTAGACATGGTCAACATTCACTGCCTCCCGGTGAAGCTTCGAGAATTGTCATACCAGTATATGCTGGACCTCCAGCTCCATGGGTAACAAAAGGGTTCTTTTGAATATGCGGGACTTCCAGCTTCATAGCTGAAGGATGGCAGTTGGGGTTGTCAGCGTAATGGGCAATGATATTGTGGGGAAACTTGGGGTAAACTCGGTCACGGAAGCAATAAGGATACTCGCACGGCGGAAGCTATGTATGTACGCATGGGATATCACGTAGGGAAACGCAAATATCATGCATGGCGAACTCGAAGAGCAAAGAAAATTCTCTACGTTCATTCCTCCGGCAGTCATATGTAGACTTATAGGAGCGGTCTGTCGGAAAAAGTTATTTTTGTTTGGCATGCCTTATGAGGCATTGCAAGCCCTCAATTGACCGAGCTGCCTTGGAAGCGGACCCGAAAATCTTGCAAGCGAGGCTCAATTGATACTTGCAAGTTGCAAGCTGATTTGGAACCTCATTCAGAGACAGATTAGGACAGATTTTCGCAAAAGTTTCGCTTACGTCCTTTCCAATTGACTTGGAAACATTTCGGATGATCTTGCAAAGCCTCAAGCTCAGCGCTCAAGAGGGGTCCCACTTTTGGAAACCTTTGGAAATTTGCGACATTCACAATCAAACCAACGAATAATTTTCCAGTACTGCAGACAAGATCCACACTTTGTGGGAGCTCTTGTACGGTTGTGTAACGGACCACGGCGTAGTGAGAATGAGAAAAAAAATGCATGATTGATTGCACGCGGATGGGTTTTTTCGGGCGAAAGCCCCCGATACCCCAACTTGTACTACAAAAGTGAGCCGAGGTGAGCTGCGAGGCCTGCGATTCCCAAATCAGTAGCGATGCAGCAAAGCGAACTTCGGATCCCCAAATCGTAAAAGCTGCAAAGCAACACATCAAGATGAAGCCAGATGAGGAGACAGTTAAAAAAATAGTAAGAAGGTGTCCGCGTGAGCATAAGTACGGGCATCTGTGTAAATACAGGCATCCGCGACAATGCCGCATATCCACGTCAGATCAAGATTCAATGCAAACATCTGCGTCAATGCAGGCAACCAGGTACGTGCGAGCATCTGCAGGCATTCGCGTCCGCGAAAGTGCATGCACACAGCAGCACATGTTGTTAGCAAGGACGAACTTGACTCTCGCTCGCCACTGGCAAAAGGTGTCATGATGACTGTTTAGATCATCCGGCGCGGGCCTCCTTGGATTTCTGATGAGAAACCTGACGGGAGTTCATAACGGTGAACTTTCTACACGAGTAAGCTTGAGAGAGCAGTGCAGTAGCACCTTCGAGTGCTCTCTACTCATGGCCAGATTCCCCGCCGGACTTGCCCTCATTGCACGCAGATGCACGCGAGGATCAGAGCCATCAGAGCTCACCAGAGTTTGTGGCAGAGAAGAAAATCCAAAAGGCGCCAGATTTTTCTGGCCCGGAAATATAGCCTGGGTTGTTGGTGGTGCGCAGTTCGAAAAGAGAAGCAGTCAGCTTATTCTGTGACCATACACTCGTACCTCGCTTTAGGGTAGGATTCCAATCACTTAGCGCCCCCGTCTGTGGCTTTCAAGATTATAGAGTATAGCTCACAAGAAAATTTGTGACAGAGCCCAAATCGATTTGTAACTTTTCCACTAAATCAAGAGGAGCTGACGAGAGTAATATGTTACAACAACATCCGTTTTGCCCACCTCGGCATCGCGATGCACTCCCGCACATTTTCAATCCCGCTCATCCAGCTAATCAGACGTTCGAACCCCAGCCCATAACCCCCATGAGGTGCGCTTCCATACTTCCTTAAATCCACGTACCACCCGTATTCTTCCTCCTTGAGACCATGCCTCCGTATAGCCTCGACCAAATGAGAGGACCTCTCTTCTCTGAGCGACCCACCCACGAGCTCACCGATGGAAGGAACTAGAAGATCAAAGCACGCTACAGTCTGCCCGTCATCATTAGCTCGCATATAGAATGGTTTCAGGGAAGTTGGGTAGTCTGTGACAAACACAGGACCGCCAATAAGTCGTTCCGAAACCCAGCGCTCGTGCTCGCTTTGCAATGCTTTCCCCCACGCAGGCTCGAATTCGAATCCTACTCGAGAAGAAGCATGGTAGTTCTGCAGCTCATTTACAGCATCGGTATATGATATGCGTGTCCAGGGGATTCCTGGGCGCGATGCATCTTCCAGAGATTTGAGTTTTGCTTCGTCGCCATCCTTCCAAAGGAGGGCTTGTTCTGATCGACACTGAAGGACATGTTTGAGAGACTCCTCGACCACATCACATATGTCCCCGACGTGGTTAATAAATGCCCATTCAGCTTCAAGCATCCAGAATTCGGCGAGGTGCCTATTTGTTTGGGAATGTTCTGCCCGGAAGCAAGGAGAGAGCGTGTAAACCCGAGACAGGGAAGCAGCAAGGGCCTCCAGATGAAGTTGCGAAGATACAGTAAGATATGCAGGCTGGGAGAAAAACTCGGCTTGTGCGCTCGGATCGGGCGATTGCTTTGAAGGAAGGGCGGAAGAAGCGGGCGAGACACGAAACGTTTCACCGCCGCCCTCGCAATCGTTTGAAGTCAGAATGGGCGTGTGCACGTAATGGAAGTCTTGGGCCTGGGTTCGGATGTGTCAACAACAGGGCAGACGATGTGATGTCCATTAGCACCTCATAATAACTATGTAGCATCCGGAGGACAGAGTCACGTAGACGGAGCATAGCAGCATTGATATCTGTTCGGGCCCTCAGATGAGCATTGTCCCTCAGAAACTCCACGGGTAAGGCTTGCTTCTGGATAGGGTAGGCCTTCAAAGAGTTTCAACTAACATTGACGACCTTTTGTACATCAATAACGCGTACCTCTGGGTTACATTCGCCCAAGATATCAACCGCCTCAACTTGCAGTTCATATGATTGTCCACGGCCCATACTTTGGACCAGATTGCCACAAATGCGGACACTGGCGCCATTGGTTAACCTGAGGAACAGTATTATAGACCTCTATGTTCAGACATGCCCTGGGAACATACTTGTGTGGTGTAGCATCTGGCTTCAAGACTGCTTGCAAGCCGGAAGCACAACTTCCATCGTTAATCACCGCGAAAGTGACATTTTTCTGTCTTCGTACAGATTTGATCCAACCATTCAATTGTACTTCAATCGCCTGGCCAGCCGGTGGCAATGAAGACAACAGCTGTCGGATCGTTGGCGGCAACGACGTTGAAGCTGTCGCAAAACGGCGCAGTAGCATGAAAGAAACTTGCACAGCCACACGTATTTTCGAACCATTTTCGTTGTGATCTTGACAATGACATTATTATGTATGGTCTGCAAAATGACTCCAAGCCATACGGGAAGCCTGGCAGGATAACTCATAAATAACTGATACAAATCGAGCGAATGTGTAGCTCGGTGCAATATTTTAGCATTAGCAAAAAAAACAGAAACACGATATACAGATGTGACAATGCAATACGAGCATGATATTTTCAGGGAGGACTGAACCATCAGAAACCCCTTCCTCGTCCCCTTCCCCTCCCTCGGCTGCGCCCGCGGTCAACTAACCCCCCTCGTGCACGGCCCCTTCCGCGTGCATCATCCTTTTTCCTGCCTTTGGGTTTTGGTGCGTCATCCACTAATAGAGTATCAAGAGGGAGGGCATCAGGAAGCACGAAGTAGCGGATATTGTTGCCGCGGATAGATAGGGAGTCGAGGGATGTTGGGTCCCGATTACGGGCTGTCATTTTGACAGTTTTGAGGTGGGTATTCATCTGCATATCTACACCTGTAAAAATGGTTTAGATTTTGTAGTGTTGGTTTTGTTCGGATCTGACACACCAGTAATTGTGCCATGGACTACAGAACCGTTCTTGAGCTCAATAGTCACGGTCTCATTATTGAGTTTCATCAAGAATCTGATGAAAATAAGGGTCAGCGCCCGATCTTTGTGATGCACAAAATGAAAGTGATCTTGAAAATGTCAGACCAAGACGAAAGAAACGTCTGCAGTATTCACCTTACGAGCTTCATGGTGGATTACGTCGATCCTGCAGCTGTAGTACTGTCTGAGACTGATCGAGTGTCGAGTCGGCGCCCCTGTTGACTCTTGTTTGTGTGGTGGATCGATTTGCCGTCATATCGGCGGTTGCATAATACATTTTTCATAGTCCGCTGTATTGCGAGGGCACGCCCTGACTAATCACATCAGCCACGACGCTTTCGAGAAGATTCAATAATCACAATATTGACTTTGCCCGTCATACATTTATATAATTGTTGATTTGATTATAATCTGTGAGTGTTATTCTCCGAATTACGAACCGATGTAATATTAATGGTTACTATGTTTTCCTAGAGGCTCGCTGTCTTGGGAAACTGAATCTTAGTGTTTGTTCTTATTTTGAATCTGCATGCCCGTTGCTCCGAACAGTAATTCGGCCCCTAGTGCGTAGTAACGTACACCAAAGAACACTTGTGGGCTGAGTCACTGTGAGTGAAAAGCCAATTAATTTTACCGGCCTGACTAGCTCATTTTCACGAGCTCGTTGCAAGTGGCAACTCCCGCCTCCGCTCATCGCTATAAGAACAGTGCTGAGGATTTATTGCATGCCGACTAGAGTCTCTGGGAGTTACTAATGACTTTGTCCATGAGGACATTCGTCACCGCTGCAATCTGTATACTTTCTGCAGCTACGTCTGCCAATGCTATCACGAACGGTGTTGGTAAACTGCCTGGTCTGTTTCTCAGTTCTTCCCGATGCGATGATGCTTCATTGACGTGTTTGGTGCAGTAATGGGTTACAATGGTACGTGCTGTTAGTAGTGCAGGAGCTCACCATTGACAATCAGTCCCTGTGGCTGTCAGCTTGGAACGCTTTTGCGGTAAGTGAAAATTCTCAACCAAGAACAGTGGCCTCATCGTAGTATTCGATAGTGCAACGTCAATGAGACTCTCATCATACAGACTGCGAAATACATGAAGGAGTATGGCCTCCTGGTGAGTATCGTTGGCACATCTAAATCAGACAAATTTCACTGGTTTACTTCGTTGTAGGATGTTGGCTATAACCACGTCAATCTTGACGATTGCTGGGCTATGAAGGATCGTAGCTCTACTGGCGAGGTCATATCGGGTTGGTTTTTGTTAAAAATCGAATCCATGTGCTAATCAACCCTCATCAAAGATAGCATCAGGTTTCCAAGCATGAGAACACTCACAGATCAGCTCCATGCTCTTGGCTTGTACGTGAACATGTATTGTCCGTACTACAACACCATTCACACATGCCTCCTAGCTACGCAGGCATTGTATGAAGGTTACCTCTGACTAAAATATAATTTCTCACTGTCAGTCTTAGTATTCCGACTCTGGCTGGTTTACCTGCGCCGGATTTCCTGGCTCCTTCATGCATGAGGAACAGGACGCAATGACCTTTCAATCCTGGGGTTTCGACTTCCTCAAGTGAGCACTACTCATAAGGATGACTAGAAGGTCACTAACAACTCAATTTAGATATGATAACTGCGCCAGTAAGCATATCAGTGACCAGGAACTACCAGCCAATGCTGACCATTTTCGTTCCAGTTCCATTCGATGATATCATCCGAGAGGGCATGGTCGGAAGTGGGTAGAAATCCTCTCACCGTAGTCCATTTCCTAAACATTTTGAGCTATAGAGTACCAGCGCATGGCAGACGCTCTCGCTGCGGTAGCGAAGAAGACTGGCACTACTCTAATATTCAGTCTGTGTGAGTGGGGCTGGGTAAGTCTCATCTCCTATACTCATTTGTATTGCATCTCACGTATCTGACGATCTTCTCAGAGTCACGTTTGGTTGTGAGTATCAATCTCATCTTGATAATCACTGTCTCACAGGAAAAGTATAGGTGGGGTGCCCAAATTTCTCACAGTTGGAGAGTTCGTCACCTCTCATCTAAATTCTGGCGTCAAACTGATCAGAAATATGATTAGATTGATGATGACATTGCGCCTCAATGGAACTCGATTTCTAGTATCATCAACTCGTCAGTCACTGCTTCACGGGAAACCTTCTTCTCCTAATATTCAATACAGCGTGTCGTTCATTACTCAAGCTACTGGCTACTATGGGCGCAATGATCTCGACATGGTAGGTCCAACCGAAGGTCTCCTTTGTAATAGTACTTAGTATATCATTCAAATGACAGCTCGAAATAGGCAATGGGGACCTCACGTACGACGAAGCAAAAACCCACTTTACTGTGTGGGCTCTTGTTAAGGCCCCCTTGCTCATTGGCACCAACGTGGGTACTTCATTCATTCCAAACAATGCAGCCGTCCAGCGCTCCTCACGTTTAGCTCGCCACTATAAGCCAGGAAATGCTCAGTATCCTGAAGAATCAAGAGATCATCGCGGTTAACCAGGACCCCATCTATGGCACTAGCATCTCGCCCTTCCGCTGGGGCATCAATGTACGTTACTGCCTTCTTGGTGTTTTTCTATCATACACATCGTTGGCTGAACAGTCTGACTGGACCTACGATGCAACACACCCTGCTCAATACTGGAGTGGTCCCAGTGAGAACGGAACGGTTTTCATGCTTGTACGTAATCTCAGAACCTCGGTATCATAGTCATTTCAATAATGATCTACTCCAGATTAACACTTTGAACGAGCCGGCTAACCTATCTTTCAACCTCACCGAATCTCCTTGGATTCGCGCCGGCATCCAGTATTCCGTCCGGGTAGGCTCTCCCACACCACGTGGCACTTCGTAGTCATTATTGATCATTTTTTTGGGATAGGATCTGTGGACACACACGAATAACGGCACCGCTGTGCGTAGCTTCACGGCCATGAATGTCCCCGCGCATGGTGTAGTGGCGCTATTGCTCAATGAAGATGGGAATGAACCCGCTGGGTTGGTGCCACCCTGTGCTGGCCAGGCTCTTTCACAATGCACTGCTCAGGATGGGACGAAATACTCATGAGCCACGTCTAGTCTTGCCCCTGACTCGGGAAGTAGCCGCAATGAATATTTGTGTACATATATTTCTCGACTTCAAAATTCAACGTAAAATTCGAAGGATTAAACCACGCGGATTTGCTAGAGTTGTCAGCTGATATGTCGGCCCTACAATTCTACAATTATTCAAATAAAAGGAATCTACAAAACGAGATTGGAGATCAACCCGAGAACCAAGAGCAATTTTGAAACCCAGCCCTGTTGCTGTGTGGCTTGTTACGATGTGTCTAACGTATACCAAGCACAAGCGGCCGTCGTACCCATTGCTTAGAGTGTTGGGGGAACCATCCGCGAGTCCAGTACCGACAGTATACCTTCATATGTGGCTTCTATGGCCTGGAAGTACTCCTCCGTGTTCTGATCTTGCATGTTGCCAGCGGGTACATCCAACGTAAACGACGGCTTGAAGCGGAGATAACCAGAATACTCGGGGATATCAGCGTCTAGGGATAGCGGAATCCCTCCCTGTTAGACACAATGTATCAACATGTGACGAGCCAGAACCTGAGATTCAAACATACTGCCACAGAAGTGAGATATGTCCAAGCTCGCGCGGCATTGGACATGTTATAACCACCTAAAGCCTAGGATGGTATGCGGGAAGATGTTCTGATAAGTAGCACCATACCTCCGCCAAGTAACATTTTTTTCCCTTGCCATTCATGGATGATGCGATGTATGCACCAGCCGAGCGAGCCTTCGCCACCTAAGGACCAGTTGAAGGTTGCCATGGGATCACCCGCTAGGCCATCTAAGCCACACTGAACTATAATGAAATCAGGTCGAAAGATGTCCTTGACATGTTCGACGATAGGCCAAATGCGGAGGAATGTTTTGTTGGATGCACCAGCTTTAAGTGGCACTGATAAAGTGAAAGGATCGAAGGCCGGATCATCGACGTCCGGAAGGGAAGCGAGGGGGGAAAGAGGGAAAAATCCTGGAGCTGCGTGATGAATAGATAGTGTCTGAAAATAATTGTTTGGGTCATATATTGTCAACGACCCGAGGTGCACGCACAAGAACTTGAGCAGCAGTTGTGGAACCAGGTTTGTGAAAAGCTTGTGACACTGCATCTGAAAAATGAAGGTCAAGGTCGAGATACATCACACGTGGTTTCTTCAACGGATGTGTAGAAGGTATTGTTCGTTTGAGGAAAAGAATAGCGAGAACGCAATCAGCTACGTAACAAAAACCTGAAGCCCGTGCTTTTTTGGCGTGATGTCTGTATATGATGACACTGAAATTCCAAGGAAAGTTCGCCATGAACTAAGCGAGCACTTACCTTCCGCCATCCCAGCAAATGGCTATGTCCGAAATATTGTTTCTAATCGTAGCCGCTCCGGTCAAGGTAGCGCCAGCGACTAGTGTGATGTAGTCTTTGATTCCATGAAACATGGGGCAGTCCTACATAGTGATACATTGACAGGTCGCGAAACGACAAATCTGTTTGGTATACGCACGTCTTCAAGCCCAAACTCTGAAGCTTCTAGCAGGTTCTGCGCATCGCTTGATTGATTCATGACGTATTCGAGATAGTCACGAGTATGGTAAGCCAAGAGCTCCTTCTGGCCAGCAGGCCGTGGTCGCACAACCAGGAATCGTTGGGACTCTTGACCAGTGCATGTTGCCAGAAGTCCATATGCGTGAACGAGTGAATAGACGAGGAGAGAACGGTTTCTATTGGAAGGTAGACGTGAAGATATCTGCCACGGTGGTGCAGAATATCCGAGAAAATGGATTAGACGTCACCCGATGACACACAATGGATTCGTAGGTACTCGTACTCACTTTGACTAGGTCTTCTGAGAAGATGTAGGCCACGGGTCTAGCATGCAGCCCAGTAGTAGATTCGACACGGGAGTCCATCTGAGTCTAGTCTGTCACGGCGGGACGTCACAGTAGTCACGTACACTGCAAATACTGCTTCAATCATCTGCTTTCTTATACATGGATTTTCATCGCATCAACGATACCAATTGAGAGCCTATATGTCACGTCGGTATACGAGCAATTGAAAGTACACCCTTTCTCGTACGTAGAAAAACTGATTGAGATATGTACAATTCAAACGCTGTGACTGTATTAGCACCTTGTTTTGTACCCCTTCGATGCGATAATACAAAGTGATTAACATGATAACCCAATTGAACTCAGTTGTGAGGTCACTGGTTAGGCTTCATTAGTAGACAACGCCTTCCGCAAGAGCTGGATCGAATTCTCCTCCTGCCGACCGAATATTTCAAGAGCTTCTTTGATCTTTCGAGAGGTTTCTGCATCTTTTGGAAGTGCAATCTGTAAGGCAGCTGCGTTGTTGGACAGATAGTCAACATCAAACACTGTATTTCAAACTTGAGATTGCGGTTTGAAATCGAAAATGCAACAAACAAACCAGACTTTTCTTCGATCACTTTCAATGTGACAGCGGCCAACTCATCATCTGATCTTCCGGGAGCAACAGCGAGCAGAGCGAGAACCCTGTCCGAAATTGTCAGATGATGCGGACGAAGTCTTGTTAGAGCAACGGCCTGCAAAAGTGATATGCATGAACATGCATGAATTCGTCAATCTCAATGCTCACCTCATCTACTGTAATGATACTGATTGCACAAAGCAGGTTGAGTGGATTATACTTTCAGGGTTAAGTACAACTTTTACCTCGCTGGCATCACAGTCGTGCTAATTTGTCTCTCTTTGAAGGCTTGGATGATGGAGTATATGATCGGTGACATAGGATGCTGCCGAACGGGGTCGCTGTATTCAATGTATGAGGAGGAACCTTCAGGAAAGTGCACTCGTAATTCTGGAGGCTTTGATTAGATCTCACTTATAGAACCAAGTCTGGAAAGCCTACCATTGAAGTAAGGTGCAATATAGAGACATCCCGCCTGCGATGCTGCCATAGCCTGCGGGACAGAGAACAAACAAGTTGCGAGTGTGCGGATGCCACTTTCCTCTAGCTCCTTGCACGCAAGGATACTTTCAGGTGTGGCTGGTATTTTTATACATACCCTATCTCTGTGAGAACCACTATCAGTCTGCCTTCTAAAAGAAGGACTAGAATGTTCTACCCACCTAGATATGCCGTGTTTGCCAAAGACACTGATAAGAGCCTTTGCGTGTGCAACGGTGGCATCTTTGTCGTACGCCGTGCGAGGGGATGTCTGTACGAGAACCCTACCCGTCTTGTCTAGATAAGGAATAACTTTGCTAGCTAGAAGGACAGTCTAGATAATAGAATTTCAAGTTGATCGATGTGCATTGTGATCCCAATCATACATACCACGAGGTCGAGCACCTTCAAAATACCGTCCTCTGTTAATATGTCGATTGCGGCATCTTGGACATACTGAGACACAAGGGGTTCCAGGTTCACGTCCCACTGTACTTGTAACTGGCCATTGACAATCGCCTGGTTAGATGTCATGGAATGAAACGTCGTTGAGACCATCAGTAAACCGGTGAGTTCTTGCTGGGGATTATGCTGATTATGGTGCTTTTACATAGTCATATATTGCTTTATATCACTTTATATTCCAATGTGACGAAAACCTTTCCTATATATTACGATATATAACGATATATGACGATATCTTCTTCTCACAGGTTCTCTGATGACAGACAAGGATTCGGCTGCCTTGGCATCCATTGAATCGATGTCCACGAGAATCCCTAGGGCTTGTATCTGCGACAGTAAGGTATTCGCCATGATAGCAATTTGATAGAATTGGTGAGTATCAAGGTTGAACGTTGAACGTTGATCGATATCTCGAAGTGCCTCCGAGTGAATCCCAAACCCCGTGTCCATATTTTTACGTACCGATCACGAGCAAAGACAATGCCGTCTCTTTCGTACCCGTTATTGCCCACTACAAGGAAAACGTCTCTCATAACCCCTGGCGCTGGCCAATGCTAGTGGGAGATGTCTACCAAGTGTCTCCATTGCAAGTACTTCCCTCTTTATCTTTGGAAAGCATTCCGCGTCTCATTGCCCTGGTCTCTGCAAGATCAACCTGAATGCGGTGGTCCATGATGTGAATGTCACTCATAGTGTAACGGGAACGGACTGCAAGGGGAACCCAAGGCCAGACTTCCATAGCGGGAGGCTATGACTCTGTCTATCGAGGACAGACTACGACACGCGGCGCGGCGCGAGGGCTACCGACTACGAGCCAGGACACCTGCCACCGCGCCAGGACACCTGCTACTGCGCCCAGACCTGCCTAGGTCTGATGGGACGCCCCGCTCCAGTAGTAAATATAAATTGGCACGATGCATCATTTCAGGTCCACAATCCCCGATTCCTAGGAGGGCTTTGTTTTGATGATCAGTTATTTCCCTGTCATCCTCGTGGTGAGGTGTGATACCCCGTGAGCTTCATTCGGCATCGGATGTTCCATTTTTTAATCGAGTTTAATCTTGTTTATACCAGGGTAATTGGACGAGCGTGCTCTTCAGCAGCTAAGTCCAAAACGGGTTTTCCCAAAACACGTTTCTTGGGGTCCTGACCTCTCACTTTCGTTTGTTGATGCCCTGCGCATCTCATAGCTTATTTATTAAGTATCGGCAGTCCTCACTGCCACCTTGACAATCCTCATTGCCAAGTCGACGATCCTCATCGTCAACCCGGCAGTCCTTACTGTTGTCTCGGCAATCCTTATTGCCAATTCGGTAATTCCCTTTGTCGCCCCCTTTAGTGGAGCGGGTGTGCTATACCTGGTGAGACGAAGTGTAAGGGGCTCTTTGCCTCTTCTCTCTCAAGCCATTCGTCTCACTAGGTATGTCGTCTTATTTAAGTTTTCTCTTCTCTCTCAAGTCATTCGTCGTTCTAGGGATTCATTTTGCGCACCCTCCCTTTGATTCCCTCCCATCTTCTTTTGTACGGCGTTATATTTTAGGTTACTGACTATTTGTACCTGAATTCACTTGGGGGCCCCTTGCTCGCGCAACGGGGTCCTTGTTTTGCTGGCTAATACCTCACCGTCTGCGTTCCGACGAGACCCGAGTGAGGCCAATTAGGATTCGTTCTATCGGAACACCTGTATTTGGCTTAGCAAAGGGGTTCAAATATTGCTCTTTCTTCGTCGACGGTGTCTTCTACTCATCGTCACATGTGTCCTCGAGGACGTTAAACATTTGTCTTTCACGAGTCGCGACGTTCGTGGTCGCAAATGTGTTCTGATTGCGGCATGTTGCATTTCTCAGTTGTCTGTCCAATTCCAAATTTGTTGCGTCATCGTTGTGATTCACTGACAATGGTGATGCTCCTAAGCTCTCGTCTCGTTGATGCACTTTGTGGCATAGATCGATTCGCGCTATCTATATGTTGATAACGAGATTCTTGTCAGTCCAGAATATGATTTTGCAATTCGAAAATCGAAAAACGGAGCACCGGTCCTCGTATTCTTCACAACGAGCACCTATAGCTATGAGTATCAAGGCAAGTTGCACAAAAGCGCGTCGATGAACCACAAAGTGATTGTTCTCTTGGAGAATTCACCAGACAACTACCAGCATGGTGCAAAGTTGCCTGCCACAAAATACACCAACAAGGACCTCGGGATCATGTCGATGAAAGAAAAGAAAGAAGCTGGAACAAGCCGCAGCAAGCTTAAGATGATCTGAAAGTCAATTTGTACTATTTCTACCACCAAAATAATGTACACATACTTGCGAATGACAACCCAAGGAGTCGGGGATCCGGGTGCTTGCACCGTTACCGATTCATAACTGACTTCGCCTGCTCCCGTGATGATACATAGGAGACCGGAGCCCGCCGCACGAAAAAACCAGCAGATAGATTCCTCAATTGAAATGGGTTATGATGCATTGATGGTCCCACGGTGTTACGAAAGATGTCGGTGCTTGCCAATTGCTGGCAGGCCTGTTTCAAGGGTAACCATCGTGACATCCTAATACCATGATGTCGCGCACCGTTACAGACCACGGTAGCTTCATGGACACGTGGGAAGCTAGTTTTCATGACGAGAGCAATATTGGGTACTGGGAGACCCCAAGTTGGAAGAGGCCAAATCATTAGCCGGACCGCCCAAGTGACCGAATTCACCGGAAGTTTTCATAGACCTGCAGGCTAGTCACCAGTCTAACCGGAAGTGGCTACAATGGGCCATTGATTATTGCGGCTTCAGAAGTTTCAAATTGAAGGAAGTTGCCTATGGCACCCACCCTGTCGCTACTAGTTACTTGGTAGTAGTGAGTACTCACTGGCAATTAGCTTTGACAGAATGAATTTCACAGGCTAAAATCAATTGCTCAAGTCAAGTTCGGGGAGAACGTTTTGCACGAACCGCCGCTGGCGAGTCTTGTGCACGGGCCTCCCACTTGCATTGATCGTGCGTTCCACCACGCCAAACACCGGTCTTCTCCCGACATTATGTGACTCTTATATAAAAAGGCATCTGGTCAGCTACGTATATCCTATCAATTGGGCTGCAAGATGCTATCCAGCCTTCTGAGTTGTGGTGTCCTTGCAAGCGCTATTCTCGCGAGTTGTGCTGCCACCGTGACGACTGTCAGTGTTGATGGCACAGCTGCCCATAGCATTCCGCCTCTGCTTTGTGAGTCGAGATATTTACCTGTGACCCTAAGTATTTTGCGTTAACATGGCCCTACTGTTCAGTTGGACAGATGTTCGAGGCAAGTCAATAGTGATGAAATTCGTGCCTCCTTTCTGACATGCAACATATCGGTGACTCGTAGGATATCAGTGTACGTTTCCTGTAATGTACTGTGACCTATTAATCATTTCTTCCCTCATTGTAGTATGTAAGAGCATATCATCATGGTCAAGATAATTTATAAGTGTTTTTAAAATAACGTTTACCCTCTTGCGCAGAGCGGTGATGGTGGTATCTACGCCGAATGTCAGTGCTTCATCGAATTTACGCTCCTGGCATGCTTCTGAGGTTCTTTTGCAAGTGCTCCAAAACCGCGCCTTCCAGCAGGTGAAACCAAGTAGGTGTCACGTAGCTATATTTTTCGAACTATAATCCTTGACACGTATCTAGATATAATTGATGCTCTCTTCGGCTGGGCTCCAATCAGCGGCACATCCATCAATGTTATTGCTGACCCTATCCCGCTCTCTGGTGCCCTGCCCAACTCCCTTGAACTCACCATCCCATCTGGCTCCTCAGGTCAAGTAGGATTCGGCAATGAGGGCTATTGGGGTATGTCCAATTAACCTGGGGACTTGTACATCGAGTTCATTGTTTTCCCTCTAGGCATAAACGTCAACGCCTCTTGGACTTACAACGCCTCTTTCTACTACAGATTTCCTAGGGCATCCAACTTTTCAGGAAAACTCATTGTCATGCTCCAGTCTTCTATTGGTGTAGTCTATGCAAATGCCTCCGTCCCTGTCTCCGGCTCTACCACAGCCTGGAAGCAGGTCATGGTGCATCTCACTCCTACCTCGAGCCCTGTGTCAACTACCAATATCTTCACGGTCACAGTCGATGGTGCCAGCGCAATTGGAGAGACGATCAACTTCGCAATGTTCTCTCTCTTCCCTCCGACATTCAAGGGCAGGGTCAATGGCCTGCGCATGGACATTGCACAGGCATGTTTTCATCTAGAGTTAAAGTAACATATTCTGACAGCAGCACGCAGACATTGTATGACATGAAACCTTCGTTTTTCCGTTTTCCTGGTGGTAATAACTTGGTAGGCTTTATATAGCACCATATTTATCTACGTTAATGATCTTTCTAGGAGGTAAACATAAATATTGGCCAGCCTATTGTGACTCGATCATTAATGCAATACTAGGGCCAAAGCTTTTCTACACGCTGGCAATGGAATGCGACGGTAGGCAACCTCATTGACCGTCCAGGACGCATGGGTAACTGGGGATACATCAATACTGAGTCCGTGCCATTCTCATGACTTTGACTCCGCCACCAATAACAAATTTCCCCCTTTTTCAGCGGTCTTGGTCTTCTCGAGTACTTGTATCTTTGCGAAGATATGGAAATGGAGCCCATTATGGCTGTATGGGCAGGTATATAACAGGCGTGCATCTCATATTGTTTGCATGCTTATTTCACGCACAGGGTACTCACTCGACGGGGCCAGCCTCACCGAGAACGATCTTGCGCCATACATCCAACAGGCAATCGACCAGATTAATTTTGTCATCGGTGATCCAGCCACGAGTAAACCAGCTGCCCTGCGTGCATCTCTTGGCCACCCAGAACCATTCCATCTGCAGTATGTCGAAATTGGAAATGAAGACTTCTTTGCACCAGAATCGTGAGTCCCTCATTTAGAATTAACGGATGAATGAGCATGTCAATGATGCACCACAAGGTATATGTACCGCTGGAAAGATTTCGCGGAACACTTGGAGGCTACATTCCCTCATCTGAGTGAGCACTACACACTGCTGCGCACGAGCTTGCCTTTGACTGATATATTTCTTTGTAGAGTTCATCGCAACTTCGCAACCCTTCAACCCCACTCTTGATCCAATCCCGAAGCAGTACGATAACCACGTGTACCAGACACCTGGCTGGTTCGCAGAAAACACGTTCTACTACGATTCTGTAGAGGTTCGTACGCTCTGCATTCGCCCTACATCATGATGGGAACCTGGCTGACATGGCCGAAAGCGCGATGGCACTTACTACTTTGAGGGTGAATATGCTGTTGTATCAACTAACGCCAGCGATCTCTATGGAAAACCCTTCAACGGTCGCCTCGTATACCCTAATATGCAAGGTGTGTGCTCTCTCGTGGTTGTGAACCGTACCTGATGCCAGGACAGGTTCTGTAGGGGAGGCCGCATTCATGACCGGTCTCGAGCGTAACAGTGACATTGTATTCGCTGCGTCGTATGCTCCTTTGTTAATGGTGAGCTGACTTTTGATTCTGCAACTAGAGTGGACACTAACAATCGCACTTTAGAACACTGCTAACTATCAGTGGTCACCCAACCTTATTGCGTTTGAGTGAGTTGCTCAAAACAATTGAAGATATATATCAGATTTATATCCTTTTAGTGCGTCACACGTGTATCCATCAACCAGCTTTTATACACAACAGGTAGTGATATTTGATATTTGAGTAGAACTGCATCCCTCAAGCATCTGCTGCAGCTCTTCAGTCTCAACCGTGGAACCGAATATTTCCCAAGCACCCTGCCTCAAAATGGCACACTCTACTGGAGTGTCACGCGTGATGCACCCACCAACACGGTTATCATCAAGGTACTTAAGGCTCGACTTATTCTGTTGGTTGTGACGATTCATATTTTATCAAGATTGCCAACACGGGCATGACAGCTGAAGAAATGTTATTCGAGCTTCCCTTCAACAGTGTTCACGGCACTGGCAATGCGACAGTGCTCTCGGGCTCTGCCACTGCAAACAACTCGCCCGAGACTCCCAACGCTGTCATGCCGGTCACTTCACAAATTCAAACTGGTAAGAGTTTCTCATACACTGCCCCAGCGTACAGTGTCAACGTGCTGCGGGTGGAGGCGAAGTAGGGATAGAGTATCACTTGGTGACATATGCAATACATCAGGAATATTTCGTATGGACCGTATTGTATGAAGACCGCCGCCTGTACCCCAGCATCCACTCCCTCCCAGCTCCTACTACAATAGGAAATATGCATGATATTATGTTCTATGTTGTAGTACATAGAGTCGGACACTAATAAAAAGTTGTTCGTTCAGCTTGATGGAGCGGACTGCGATGACGCTGGTGACTTTGGCATGATCATCCACAACTCCCTTTTCTGTACCATTGTAAGCTTGACGTCCTTCCCGACGTACGGCTTCAGCTAATTTCAGGAAAACAATAGATGGGGGGAGATGTTGGATGAGGGGTAGATATACGTGTGCATAACGACCAAGAGTCAGATACACATCAAGAGAATAACAAAGCAAAAGTAGTCAGAAAAGGGGTAAATTGATAACATCTATACAACACACCTCGCTCTTTTTGATCTCCTCTATGCTTGGCGCGACAAATACCCGCACTTTCTCGTCCAGTAAACGGTACTTCGACGCGCCTCGGATGACATGTTTGCCTGGGGCACCCGTGCGGTGTCCACCAGGGAGAAAGGCCTGTCTAGTTCCTATGTACAGTGTGAGCGTTGATATGAGAGGACCGGTTGTTTAGACAGAAACCATAATTAGAGACAGCCCGAAACAAATGAGAAATTGACAGCAAGGTGTGTTCTACCATTCCAAGAGTCAAAGTTGCTTGGCTCACCTTTATAGAAGTCCTTGTTCCCCCGCTTGGGCGTCAAAGCTCGCCGCGAAGCTTTCGAAAGACAGACAGCCGTGAAGAACATTGATGAATTACTTCGGGTCTGTTAAACTTGGAGACAACTTCCAATCATTTGCTTACATAATCAACTCGACTAAACCTGTCGCCGGTTGTGCAATCGGATATCCCGACTTATTACGTGTTCGCGTGGAAGCTCCCCATAACTTATAAGGAGTTCAGGACTCGGAGGCTTGCCAAGTTGCAGAGAACTAGGCTAGAACTACTTTCATAAATGTGAGTGAAACATGGCTCATGACCAGCCTGGCATGAGATACTACCAGAGTTCAAGTAAAACATACACATGCAGCTCGGTACCTTAGCTACTGCAGGCATACCATATTCATAAATATCCCGTGGAACAACATTTGAACGTGTGACTTGCTGCCATGGGTGACAGGCAACAAAAAATAGCAAAAAAGCCCAATAACTTTTGACATCACGACCTACCAAATGATTAGAGAGTTGGTATAAATATATTTTACGTAGATGCATCTGGCGGCCCCCACACATACATACACCATGCAATACAACAAGAGTGACTAGTGAGGTATGGCGTCCTCCGGAAACCAAAGCAGAGGCGCAGCTAGCAATTATAACAACAATTTGACATCGCGTACACTTGCTTTTAAAGCACTTACTTTTCACTTCTATGCACAGCTTACTATTCATCCATCCATACTGAATAGCTCATCATCATCCGCTGTAACAACAGGTTTGCTCAGTGGGCTCTGTGCGTGCCAGTTCCGGTTGCCAGGCGTGCCACGCTGGATACCTAGCGGTGAGCCTTGTGTTGGCGAATGCGCCAGGCCGCTGTTCAGAGGCGACCGCGACGTTGCGGCAGCGGAGTACGACAGGCGTGAGAACATCGACTCCAGGCCTGCCATCGAGGTCGAGAGAGGCATTCCTCCCACATCTGCAGCAGAGAGATGGTCACCTTGAGTGGCAGAGCCCCCCACCCAATCCTGGTTGAGGGAATATGGGTTATTGTTGGAGCCAGGGCTGAAGGCTGCGGCTGAGGAGGGCGACATTGTCATTGGGAGTGCGTGGATACGAGAGTAACCTGCCGCAAGCCCCTGCGGCAGACTCTGCCCCGGTGCGTGCGCTTGCAGAGCTCGGATGGAGGGGGAAATAGCAGCTGGGCGCTCTTCACCCTCACCAAATGGAATAGGCCGTCCAGATGCATGCTCATCGAACGGCGTACGATGACCACCGAGAGAGCTGATCCGCGGGGGGGAGAATGAGGTTGGGGGTGGATTCTGAGGAGTGGGTGGCTGTAGGGGGGATCCAGCAGGCCGGCCGAGACCAGAAGTGGAACGCTGGATGCCACTTGGCTTTGAGTTAAGGTAATACTGGTGTAAAGAAGGGAGAAAAGCGGCCGAAGCATTGGATGGAGAAAGAAGGGAAGAAGATGGGTTCACGTCTTCATTAGTGAAGGAGCGACCTCCGAAGCCGCTCGAGGATTTGAATGAACTAGGTGTCCCGACTGCGAGATTGAATGCATGAGATGTGTCAGGGGAGCCAGGAAGGCCTCCGGTCCGCTCTGCCCAAATAGACTTTACGTCACCGAGGAGCGAAGTGGCAGGCACGGAACGTGAATAATGGTGGCGGGAACCCTCCGCTTGCGAATGTGCAGTGAGGAAGGGAGGGTCAAGACCAAGACCGTTGTTGTGTACCTGAGTAGGGCGGACAGAATTCGTACGCGACATTCTGCGAGAACGTTCCTCGGGGGTCAAAAGGTCATTAAGGGAGCTTGGCAAGAACTCCTCTAGGTCTTCGTCTTCAACAGCAATCTCGTGATCGAGACCACGCATATTAAGACTTCCGTCCCCACGATTGACAACTTGCGAGGGGACAGGACCAAGCTCTGTCTTCCACGTGCCAAGAGATGCGGCGAGCCCGGAACGATGTTTCGTGTCCAGTATCGAGGGTTTGGCATCATAGGATTGGAATACAGTCTGAGACTGAGCAGGCAGCGTGGATGAGACTGGAGCAGCAGCAGGCGATGTGCCGGGTGAAAATCCATTGGCAAGTCCTGTGCGGGGAAGGGAGCCACGTGGCGGGGATCCGATGGGACCGAGATCCGCGGAATCTGTGGGACGATGTGATAGACCTGGACGTCGCGTACTAGGCATGCTGAGGGGAAGTGTTGGTGGGGAGGGACTTTTGCGGTCTTCCTTAAACTCGCTAGCTTGAGCGGGTGCTGGTGACTCGGGTTCGAGTGGTGGCGTAGGTCGTCTCTGAAGAGGCGCTGCTGGCAACTTTTCCGTATCATCTGGGAGTGAGAATGAAGCGAAATCGGTATCTTTGAGGGGTGGGGCGGGTGCGGATGGGGAAATTGTGGCCTTTAACGGCATGGAAATTGGGGGACGAGAGGAAGCGCTGAGAGACCTTGTAGGAGCTGTGGAACCGGAAAGAAGACTTCCACGAACATTCCCTGCGGCGGAGGCACCACCTGAACCATTATGCGCATGAGGATCTTTCCTGACACTCCTCCCTGCTTTTGAGCTATCTTTTGGACCACCACCTCCCGCAGCGTTAGCGGCGAGCTGAGCCGACTTCTTATTTTTCCTGTCCATAGACATACTCTGGCCAGGAAGAACATGTGCTAAAGCACACTTGTGGCCAAATTTGCAGTTTCCTTTGACGAACCATGCGCAGACGTCCTTCTGCTGGCCAGGCTCTTGGACGTTATGGGAGAATGGACAAGAAGAGCCTGCTGTGCAAGCGCCGACCTTGAAAAATTTACAAGGTACATGAGAGAGATCTTTGGCTAGAAAAGAGAAGATTAAGTCTAGGAGGGGAAGAGGAGAGGAGAGTTGTAGTACACTTTGAAGAAGACTTTGACTTGTGAGATTTGTCCTTGTCACGGTCAGAATCTGGATACCTCTCAGCCTCATGCTCTGAAAGTTTTTCAGAATCCAATTTCTCGTTAGAAGGCATGATCGAAGGGGATTGAAATAAAGAAGGGAGGGGGAAGGAGGAGCACGGGACGAGCAGGAGAAAACCTGGGTTAGAAGGTGCCTTGGCAAGTCCTTGGAGATTGCTCGTTAAGGGAATTAAATTATTATCATATTGATTGATAAGCCATCAACAATATTAGCCGGTTAACCCCCCTATCTTCTGCCCGATCTCAACCCCCCAATATTAACCTTGTTATTGTTCAGTATCATGTAAGTATTGTCCATCTATCTGGTCTTCTATCTTCCGTGAACTAAATTGCAGACCATGGATCTCTCTCTTGAGGATTTTTGTGCCGATAAATCTTACCGGGTTCTCGAGCTCATCGGAGAGGGAGCATACGGTATCGTCTGGTATTGTTATATCCTGTCTGCGTATTACAAGTAAACTGCTCACTTTCCTCTCAGTTCAGCAATACATCATCCTTCCCAACGCAAAGTAGCTATAAAACGCATAGCACCATTCGATCATTCCATGTTTTGCCTTCGAACATTGCGCGAGATAAAGCTCCTTCGTCACTTCCGTCACGAGAATATAATTTCTATCCTCGATATCCTTCAACCCCCAAGTTTCGATCAATTCAGAGAGGTATACCTCGTTCAGGAACTCATGGAAACCGACCTACATCGCGTCATACGTACCCAGCAATTGAGTGATGACCATTGTCAGTATTTCATTTATCAGGTACGTTCCAGAATACATATACGCCAGGTATAAGCCTTGGTACCGAACGATCTTCCTTCTTTATAGGCATTACGTGCCTTGAAAGCACTCCACTCCGCAGATGTTCTCCACCGAGACCTGAAACCTTCCAATTTGTTATTGAATGCCAATTGCGACCTCAAGGTACGTACCGTCAACTTCGTGTAACGTACGTGCACAGCTTTAAACATCCATTAGGTATGCGACTTTGGTCTGGCTCGTTCAGCCCGACCGCCGCCAAATGTTGCTAATGATAGTAGCACTTTCATGACCGAGTATGTCGCGACTAGGTATGATCGACTATCAATTCTCCACAAAATTTGTCATGACCAACCCGGCATCTTAAGATGGTACCGTGCACCTGAGGTCATGCTTACCTTCAAAGAATATACTCGTGCGATTGACATGTGGAGCGTCGGCTGTGTCCTCGCAGAAATGCTTAGCGGGAAACCTCTATTTCCCGGACGTGATTGTATGATTTTTCCCTTCATTCCCTTGCCCAGTTACTCACGCTTCCTAATCCCTCGTTGTTACATTCAGGTAAGTATAATCCAAATCATGCACACATTTTATGAACCCCGTGTCGCCCCTCGACCTTGTTAAATTAGATCACGACCAGCTATCAATTATATTAGATGTCCTTGGCACACCCTCCATCGATGACTTCTATGCCATCTCTTCCCAGCGATCAAGAGAATACATCCGCGCACTGCCGTTCCGCAAGAGCAAACCATTTTCCCAGCTGTTCCCAGCCGCCAATCCCCTTGTGAGTTGTCACCCCATTTCCCGCACATCTGACATCTTTGTCCACAATAACTGAGCCATTATTTCCCACAGGCAATAGATTTCTTAGAGAAATGCCTAACATTCAGTCCAAGACGACGAATAACTGTCGTCGAGGCTTTACAACACCCTTACTTCGATGTCTGTATTTCCTTCTCAGTCATTTTTATGCTGACCACACACGCGACAGCCTTATCATGACCCTGATGACGAGCCCGTGGCCGACCCCATTGACCCCTCATTCTTCAACTTCGACAACGGCGAGGCTCTAGAAAAAGAGGATCTCAAAGGTACGCTGAGATGCCACTGCAATGTGTCCATTCGTTGAGAGAAGCTTCAGTACTTATTTACAAGGAAATCACAAACGCGCAAGCATCCCAGCCATCACTCTTGTTGGCTAAAGATGCCTAAATGTATTCGATATTGATACCCTCTAGTGTAGCGTCGTATTCAACGGACCTGATGTATGTGGCACAATATCACATGGATGTAGCAAGAAATTCGAAGGCTTGACACGGGAGCTGCTATTCAGGCATCTGGAGTGCTATGCATGGCAGTGAGTATGTGGAGTGGACAAAATATTACCTTCACGTACTCGGCTCCATGAGGTTCTTGCAGATGCCTGATGAGCTATTCAACCATAGCACTGCGCTAAGTTCCTTCGCGTTGTTAGCATAGGTTGATAATTCATATATTCATATCTCGTCGGTGGCCGATTTTGGGCGTTCCTATGGAATGCATTCCTTGCATGCGCCAGTCCCCCTTACGTATATGCTGACTGCAATGCAACAAGTCTGATGTACACCCATAACTTGCGTCACCGGTACTTACAATCACTCCTCCCGACAGCGTCACCTCACAGCCTACCCGGACCCCAACGTGTCCAAAGGGAAGCTTGCCTAGTATGATCAACGATAAACGATAAACATGATGATCAGTAGGTAACGTAATTAACCATCATTGCAAGCCTACTACCACCACGCTCAATTCATGGCACCGAACTCCCGTGTCAACTCGATATCGACTCTTACCACTCGTCAGGCCAACATACTACAGATACGATCAGATCGACCCTTACCTTGACAAAACACCACTTCTTTCCAGGAGTTATTTCACTCGAGTCTTGATTGCCTACACGCATGACATATTTTCTCCAGGCTCTGAGGGGCCTATATGCATCGAAAAAACTTCCTACACAATATTTGTAGCCATGATTTGCAACTCAACAATGCTCACAGACCGGGTTTTGTTCATACCACGTCAGCATGTCTGCAATTCCTACTCGCGGTATCCAATGCGAAAATCTCATGGAAGCTTTGAAAGATTGGTTAAGAACATATTGCATTCCTAAGATTGCTCGATGATTTTTAGAACCGGCAAACAGACCAAAGGACACCGTGGTAGGTAATTTTAATTAAATGTTTTACCTTCAGTGACATCACTCTAAGTCGCCCTCTGACGCAAGGCTTGACCCATCATCATCACTGGGCATGGCATGATTGGGATTCCGCACGAGAAGATCCTCAGTGCTCCTACCTGCATCTTCTAGATATGAGATATTGAAACACACAAACGGAAATACGAACCTTTCTCTCTGCGTGATGTCTCATAACTCTCCTGGAGCTCTGCAATGATAGTCTCCTGCATGACGGCAACTTCTTCTGCCGATGCGCACGTTTGGTATCGTTTGAGGTATGGACTACCATCAATATTTGAATCAGGACAGAACAGCATGATCATAAAGGGACTGTACCCATTAACTTTCCAAAAAGAATCGCCCCACCCAAACGAACTGAGCAAGGTCTCTGCATGCTGATCGAACCCTGTAATGTAGAAAGTTGCTGCAAGTGCCTCGACGCAGTTCAGCCGCCAAGGCTTGCCGTAATTGGTGGGGTTGGTAGCAAGCAAGTAGGGAACTACCAATAACCCATCATCGACCAAAGAGACGTGTAAGATAAGAATGGACCTACGAAGTCGTTCGTGTGGGCTGGCAATTTTCGAGAATGGGACGTCGTCGATGCGAGCCCAGGAACATTCAACAACGGCAACACCATCTCGCACAACGATCTCTTTGTCTGCTGGACTCACGACGAGGGTCCCTTTTGGACTGGTGGAAAAGATTGATGTTAGTGTAAATGGACGTTTGGAACGGGTAGACGCACGATACGACCACGCCTCGAAATCTGGATCCCACCCTCAGCTCCGTTATAAGACCGAGGCGGGCGAGTTTCTTCCCAGAACATCGGCGTGGATCACAATGGTCAAAGTCCTTGATTGTTTGTATTAGAAAAACGGCACAGAGCGAATGCCACGTTAACGCACCCACATCGCCACGGGTACATCGATGTGCGGTCGCCCGGCTGTGCGCTCATGAGTGGTCGTTTGACTACCTTGTTAAATCACTCGCATTCATCATCTTCACCTGAGGAATGTTTTGAGCTGTCATCTTCGATAATGCTTGAAGGCTTGGCGGAGTCTTCGGGGAAGCTAGACAATGACTGAAATTGCTGAGAGGTTCTCGTGCTCTTATGTCGTTGTGCACGTCCACCACGTCTTGGTCTATTCGCACGGGAAGACGGAGCATTCTTTTTGCCCATGATCGTGTGTACTGAACTCCTCTAGCTTTCGAGTCAAAAGTTGACTTCACACGATGCGCATCAAGTCGGTGATCGCTGCTAAAACCCGGACGGAGTCGGGAGTACCGGCGGGCGAGAATCGGCAAATTCCGGGCAGGCTAGTTTTTGGTATAAACCCATACTAGTAGTACCACTGTGCAGCTTACGTCCTTCCCCTTCTCTATTGCTACGGCTGTCGACATCGTCAATGATTCCGCGTACTACAATACGGCGTTTTCCAAGTGTCTTTGGCACTATTGGTGCTACTCGCTTAACTCCAACAATTGTACACCGGACTTTAGCTACTCCCGCAACACCACCTTCTCCGAATGACGCTTTCGCAAACGGCACCAATGCCTACTACGCAGAGGAGATGTACAGAATTTGGAAACAAGATCCAAAATCTGTTCATGCTTCTTGGAATACTTATTTTTCTGGCATGGAACATGGTCTCCTTAGCGCCCAAGCCTTCCAGCCACCCCCGGGCCTCATTGCACCCCCTGCGGACGGTGCCCCTGCGCTATATGCCGGCGGAGGTTCTGAGCTTGATGATCACCTGAAGGTGTGGATCCTACTCTCTGTTGTGGTGCTGGGTGGCTGATCGCCTGTAGGTCCAACTACTTGTGCGGGCTTATCAAGTTCGTGGCCATCATGTCGCTGAATTGGATCCCCTCGGCATTCTAGATGCTGATCTCGCAGACGTTCACCCTCCAGAACTTGAACTAAGCCGATACGGGTTCAATGAGCGTGACTTGGACAAGCAGATTGCTCTTGGACCAGGTATCCTCCCTCATTTTGCGACAGAGGACCGGAAATCAATGAGTCTAAGGGAGATCATTGCACTTCTCAAACGGATATACTGCGAGTGATTTCTGTTTATTTACCTGACCAAATTCCTCATTTTCTCTGTAGGTGGCGCGGTGGGTATTCAGTATGTTCATATCCCAGACAAGGAGCAATGCGATTGGATAAGAGAGCGTGTCGAAATCCCAAAGCCTTGGAACTACACAGTGGAGGAGAAACGCATGATTCTTGACCGTCTTATCTGGTCAGAGTCCTTTGAGAAATTTATCGCAAGCAAGTACCCGAACGAGAAGCGTTTCGGTCTGGAAGGCTGTGAGGCGTTGATTCCTGGCATGAAGGCGCTCATCGACCGATCTGTCGATCATGGTGTCAAGCATGTCACAATTGGCATGCCTCATCGTGGTCGTCTTAATGTTCTTGCCAACGTCATTCGCAAACCCATTGAAGCCATTCTGAACGAGTTTTTGGGTACAGATGTCGACAACCCAGCGGGCGACGTCAAATATCACTTGGGTGCAAATTATGTTCGCCCAACACCGTCTGGCAAGAAGGTCTCTTTGTCACTTGTTGCCAACCCATCGCATCTAGAAGCCGAGGATCCTGTTGTCTTGGGCAAGACCTACGCCATACAGAACGTGGAGGGTGATGAATCCACTCACAACACTGCAATGGGTGTGCTGCTGCACGGTGATGCCGCATTCGCTGGACAGGGAATCGTCTACGAAACCATGGGTTTCCACAATTTACCCAACTATGGTACTGGTGGTACCATTCATCTCATTGTGAACAACCAGATTGGTTTCACTACCGATCCTCGGTTTGCGCGTTCCACTCCTTACCCTTCCGACATAGCCAAATCCATAGATGCCCCAATCTTCCATGTGAATGGTGACAACGTTGAAGCCGTCAACTTTGTCTGTCAACTCGCGGCTGATTATCGCGCAAAGTACAAACGTGATGTTGTCATCGACATCGTTTGCTACCGTCGCTACGGCCATAATGAGACGGATCAGCCCCATTTCACTCAACCCCGGATGTACCAGGCGATTGAAAAGCAGCCAACACCACTTACCCAGTACGCGAAATTCTTGGTCGGCCGTGGGACCTTTACTGAGAAGGATATCGAGGAGCATAAGAAGTGGGTCTGGGGAATGCTGGAGAAGGCAGCCGCTGCAGCAAAGGACTATGTCCCGACTAGCAAGGAATGGCTATCCGCATCTTGGCAGGGTTTCCCTTCGCCTCGACAATTGGCAGAAGAGACGCTGCCAACCCGTGCGACAGGTTCTGATGAAGAAACTCTCAAGCGCATTGGAAAGGCTATTTCATCATATCCTCCTGGTTTCACCCCGCATCGCAACCTTGCTCGTATCCTTGGCGCCCGTGGCAAGACCGTCGAAGAAGGTCACAACGTTGATTGGTCAACAGCTGAGGCTCTTGCATTTGGCTCTCTGGCGCTCGAAAAGATACACGTGCGCGTTTCCGGTCAGGATGTGGAGAGAGGTACATTCTCTCAGCGGCACGCTGTCATCCATGACCAAAAGAATGAACAGCAGTATATCCCTCTGAATGATCTCGGTTCAAATCAAGCTCGGTTCGTTGTATGCAACTCATCGTTATCCGAATACGGGACTCTCGGATTCGAATTAGGCTACTCGTTGGTTTCACCGAACTCTCTCACTATGTGGGAGGCGCAGTTTGGTGACTTCGCCAATAACGCCCAGTGCATCATTGATCAATTCATCGCGTCTGGCGAACGTAAATGGTTACAGCGCTCTGGCCTTGTCATGAGCTTGCCACACGGGTACGATGGTCAAGGTCCTGAGCATTCCAGTGGAAGGATTGAGCGCTTCCTGCAACTTTGCGATGACCATCCTAACATCTTCCCTACACCGGAAAAAGTTGAGAGGCAACACCAAGATTGCAACATGCAAGTAGTGTATCCGACGTACGTGTATCTTTCTAACTCTCACGAGGCCACTGATCTGATGGGTTGCCTTAGTACCCCCGCTAATTATGTAAGTTCTGCCCTTTGGCTTGGTGAGTATCCCACTGAGTTTTCTGTAGTTCCATGTTCTTCGTCGTCAAATTCACCGCGACTTCCGCAAACCACTCATAATCTTCTTTTCAAAATCACTTTTGCGCCATCCCAATGCTCGCTCGGATCTTTCGGAGATGATTGGCGACACTCATTTCGAACGCTATATTCCCGATTCCCATCCTGAACACCTAGTGCCTACTGAGGAAGTGAGACGTCACATCCTCTGCACCGGTATGTTGCACTGTTTGTTCGGTTGTCGAGTAAACTCAATATAGGATTAGGTCAAGTATACCAAACACTCATCCAAGGAGCGTGATGCCAAAGGCATCAAAGATGTGGTGATCAGCCGAATTGAGCAGATTTCACCTTTCCCCTACGACCTCGTGAGTTAGTTTATTTATGTCGTCTACAGGGTTTTATTAACTTTTACAGATCACTCCTCATCTTGACAAGTATCCCAATGCAGATATACTCTGGTGTCAGGTAAATTTTTGCGCCGACTCCTTGTATTCCAGCTAACTTGTACGGTAGGAAGAGCCATTGAACAATGGGGCATGGACTTATGTCGGACCTCGTATTCTGACTGCCGCCAACGAGACGCAGTACCACAAAGGCAAATATCCGTACTATGCAGGAAGGCAACCGACGGGCTCTGTCGCTACAGGTAGCAAAGTAAGTACTTGCGTTTTTGATTGTCTACTCGCTCTAAGCCACGCAACCAGGCCCAGCACAAGAAAGAGATCGAGGAGTTCTTGGCCGCTGCCTTTGCTTAATAGTGTACGATGCTCAGTGTCAATAATATATATATATATATATCATAGCGACGCGCGAGCGCCGGTCCCCTCTTTTGACTTGCTGGTGAACGTTGAACCTTTGCCAAGCATAACAGTCATCTATCTCAAGTGTATTTTCAAGACTGAAAGTTAGTAATCAGATTAGCTATAGGTAACATTTAACCGAGAATATAAACCCATTCATACGTTCGTATGGGACACCGCGGAAGTTTCAACTGTTCTAGGTGTTCTAGGAGATAAACGTTAACCTGCGCTGTTTCTAGCTACAATGGAGCGTCAAATTTTGAAGTTTGTTGGTCCATCACGTGATAGTCACATGTACACGCGTTATGGTTGACATCCTTGACAACACTTCTTTGCAATCGAAGTCCTCTTCAAATCTAGCCCTCGTCTTCGAAGACACATGTCTGGCACACACAAGATTAAGATCGCCGCGCGCCTGCGACCTCGCATCGAGCATGAGATTGATGACCAAGGGATACAGATAACGCACGATGAAGACGTAGAAGGACCGTCGTGGATTTGCGTGCCTAACCCACGGGACGTGACGCAAGTCTTTCGCTTTCCGTGCGTGTAATTTTTTTCTTCAACTATAACATGTTTTAGGTGTCATGTGCAGTGACTTACTATTCAATTAGATTTACCAGTTGCTACGACCAAGATTCTACACAAGAGGAGATCTTTGAGCAGGATGTGAGACCGCTCATTGACGTTGTATACAGTGGCGTCGTACGTCCTTGAATTTTCTTTCTGAATTCTTGTTATATCAATGAAACATAGACCGTAACAATCTTTGCGTACGGGGTAACATCCTCTGGCAAGACACACACAATGCAAGGAACAAAAGTATGTCCTGGTGTCATCCCAAGAGTTGTTGAGGTGTGTATCTTTTCTGCTGCATGTTCCGCGTTACATAATTGCCAATGCAACTGTGACAGGCCATGTTCGAACAGAAATCAGCGTTGCTACGGTCCAACGTCGAACTTGCAGTATCGTACATGGAAATATATAAAGACGAGTGTTATGACTTGCTAGTTGATAGGGAAACGGTATGCTCAAATTCTACTGACTTTTTCGAAGTTGCTGACTGATGTCTTGGGATGTGCAGGCTCCAAAGCTCCCAGTACGAGAGAATGATGTGGGCCAAGTCTTTGTTGCAAACTTGAGTTCCGTGCCGATAGCCTCAGTCGAGGAATTCACTACAATTTATTCGTACGTATTCTATTCTGGTCACTTGCATCATCGCGGGTGGCACCCAAGCACGCATCTGCTTACCTCTGAATGCAGTCAAGCATCAAAGCAACGCTCAGTGGGCGCAACGAATCTTAACCGTTCTTCGTCTCGTTCGCATGCGATGTTAACACTGGAGGTAACAATGACTGATTCTTCGGCAGAAAAATGTAAGACCCAATCGTGAATTCCCAACTTCCCTAGGCAGTTGATATATCATATTCTTCTAGCATTGACGGGAAAGATTAACCTCGTTGATCTTGCTGGTTCAGAGAACAACAAGCTAACTGGGAACGACCCGACGCGGATGGCTGAGAGCGCAGCTATCAATAAGAGCCTGAGTGTCCTCGGGCAGGTTGTACATGCATTAAACCAGGGGGCTGTGCGTTTTTTTGTCGAGTGAAGGGATTTGCAAACTGACGGCATGCGCAGTCTCGAATACCATATCGCAATTCTAAGCTCACGCGTATCCTCCAAGATGCCCTTGGCGGGAATTCCGTCGGATTGCTCATCTGCAATCTTGCTCCTGGAACGAAATTCAGGCAGGATACGCTGAACACGCTGAAGTGGGTTGACATTCATATCATTATATCTTTAGCCTAATTCACAACGGCCTTCAGCTTCGCAGTGCGGACAAAGAACGTCGAGAACAGACCGGTGGTCAACGAGCGCGGTGCGTTGCTATCACCAAACCGCCCCATGATTCATGAAAACTTAATGCTCTGTAGACATGCGACCCCAACCCAAACCCCACTTTGCAGCAATCCTACCACCACCTCCGAAACTTGCACCTGCCGTACTCCAGCCTTTAGAGGCTGTCGCAGGTCCATCACGTGGTCCACGTCCTAGCATTGCCCGTGCTGCACCCAGACCAAGTCTTGCTGGCGCAGGTCAAGGCAGATCTCGTGTACCACGCGCCAGTGGCATTGGGGTATTTAATGTCCAGAAGGGATATCGTCCTTTGGGAGTACCTGCACTTATTAGCGAGGCAGCGGAGACAAGTAGTAGCTCAGGGATGATGCAGTTGACAGATAAGGAAATTGATGAGCGGGTGCGTGAATGCTCCTATTTTGGATCACCCTATACATTGCTAAATACAAATCGATAGATCGCAAGAGCCGTCGAAGTTGAAGTTGCACGCCGTCTCAAGGAGCGCGAAGAACTTGAACGACAGGAGAAGGAGAATATCACTTTGCAGTTGAATCTTCAAAGAGAGAGGGAAAAAGAAACTTTGAAAGAAGAGGACCAAAGACTTCCGACTGGTGTACTTACCCCACTTATGGCCCGGCATCGAGATCTGGATAATGAACTCCGTGCGAGGCTCGAGGAGTTGGAAGACAAGTAGTACGTCTGCTCTACCAGTGAGGTCATGCTACATCACTGAATGACTTACAGCGAACGCGGGACCAAAGAACTTCAGCTAGCAGATGTACTTTCACCTAGTTCGCGGAAGAAAACCGGACGTGCATACGTGATGCTGGCTCGCGCTCACTCCGAAAAGTACGTGGTCGCATCCCGACATGCAATATGCATCCACCTAATGCGCTAATAGGGGCGATCTCCAAGTAGCGCTCGACCTATACCGCAAAGCCGAGTCATATGTCCCAGATAACGTCAAGCTGAAAGAGAGGTGGATACTTTTCGTTATTCATGTTTTCCTTTGTATGGTATCTGGGTCAAAGCGATAATTCTGACGTTTTTCTTTGCTTGCCTTTTCTTCTCTCCGCGTGGCGGAATGCATGGAACAGAGTCATCGAGATCGAGTGGGCGGTGAAGAATGGCACCACGTTCGTCCCTTCTCCGAAGAAGCCCAGAAAGGCAAAGAAGACGAAGGCTGGAAAGCGCAATGCTGTGGGCAAGAAGGTCATGAGTGGAGACGAGGATGAAGAGGATATGCCTGTGGATGGGATCCATCAGATGCTAGAAGGCGAGTCGAGTGGATCCGCAAACCCGCTGAAGAGGTTCAAATTTGAGGAGGATGTTGTGCAGGTCACGTCTGAGACTCCACAGAAGAAGGTCAAGTGCGAGATCAAGGTCGAGGGAGACGTATGAGCTTTTGTTTAGTTGCAGTGCCGCAATGTCACATGTATGATTGTTTTGTGTGTAATTTATTTTCCACCCGGTGTGCGACTATTCTTCATAAGACTCAAAATAGAGTATCAGCTACTTCAAACGCTCAAGTCGATCTTGATGGATTTTGAAATAGTTCAAGCCACAAAGCCGCGCGATGGTAGTACTAGTGTTGGTGATTTTAGAGTCGTCACAGCAAACGGCTCTAAGCACAACTTCTGTACTATGTACTCGAGAGTCCTGGGATGGCAACGGTAATTCTTGGTGCCTATTACTTAAGTAGTATGATACGGAACTCCAATCGGTCTAGTTAGCGGCTTGTTGAGCGCTTCATTTGGGGATGTCCTCGCGGTAATGAACCGCAGACCCGCAAAAGGAAAGGCGGAAACGAGTCACATCTCTAATCACGTGCAGCACGTGCCCGGGCGCGCCCCCATTAGTCAAGTGGCGTGTCCCACTTTTTCCCACGCGAAAATTGGAAGACGCACCCCTGTTTACCTCAACTCAATCTACCACCATCTTTACCACTGAACAAAGCCAAATTCTAAGTGCTACTACTATGGTCGCCTCGAAAACAAAAAAGACGTCCAAATACACGTATGCGGAACGTGAGCAAATTTTTTAACCTCCTTTGACGCGTGTTTGGGGGGATGGCAAAGGGCATCACTGATACTGACGACTCAATCTAGGGGTTCTCAGTGCATTTTCACAGGCACAGAAAGAGCACAGGAGGCACAGTGTACACCTTGCTACCCTTCGTGCGCATGGTGAGGTGTCCATACCTGCAAGGAAATTGTTGCTCATCACCTTTGTTACTAGTGAGAAAGATCGCGAAAGATAGGAAAGATAAACTTGGACCTCAGTGGGCATCATGGGTAGGAAAGGCTGTGAAGAAGCTTGTACGCTTAAAAGTTTCAAGTTTTTTTTGAATTCTACTGATTTTAAGAGAGCAGGAAGGGCAGGGAGTTTTGCAGCCTATCGACTCTAGTGGATACGTTGGCATGACTCCGGAGGGGAAAAAAGTGTAAGCCCAGCTACTAGGATCATCTTAATGTCGAACTCGATTATTTTTAGCCTCTCATATGCTCGTCGCAAGTTCCTTCCGACTGTCGCTGGGGACGCATCGCCTGCGCAGGAGGATGCTGTCTGGAAAAATGTCACCGAACACTTCTCCCCGTCAGTGTATAAACGGCAGCATGCGGGATCTGCATCTCGTTTAAGGTCAGTTTTCGGTGGGGAGGAAGAAGCTGAGGAAGATAGCGCTTCTACACGCGGAAGTCCTAGGGCAAAGAGACAACGACGAGCACGGTCCCCTGTCAAGCCCCCCGAGCGGTCCTTGACAAAGATGACCAAGACAGAGGTTTGTTTGAGATAATCAGGATTGTAACTTGCACCTCACCATGACACGTAGCTCCAAACTAAGGTCCGAGAGCTCCAACGGGCGAATATCACGGATAAGCATCTGAAGGCACAACTTGCGGATCGCGATGAACAGCTATGTGAAGTCCAAGATGAACTCAGGATGTTGAAGTTATCCGTCGAAAGGGCGCGCGCAGTCATGCGCGAAGAAGAACTGACAGAATTGGATGAACAGGAATTTCAGCATAATATGGATGAAGAACTTCCAGCGCCAGATTTTGCAACATTGTAGGTGCTTTCAATAATAGCCTGCTCCATTTGTTATTAACGCACTTTGAAGTGATGTCCAGACCCCACGCGCTGAAACGCCGCAAGGTGTGGGCGTGATACGCACCCAATCGGGCTCTATCATTCACGACATCTCTATGCGGCCTACCCCTGCACCAAGCTCCCCTGGTGACGAACACGACCAGAGGTACCGAGACGATGAAGACGTGTTTACGGACCAACAGCGCGAACATCTTCGTACCCCTGAATCTCTACCAGACCGCAGGGCTTCGCAGATCGATGAACAACAAAGGCCTGCTTTGGTGAATACGGTAAGCTCACCACACGACCTTTTCTATCTACTTACTTTGTTGATGCTCCACACAGATTGATGCTATGGAGAAGGAAATCGCGAAGCACGTGACAGAGATCCAGACTCTCAAAGGCACAGTTACCCGCCTTCAGAGCGAGCTTGACACCCTGACAGGCACAGCTGAAGACCACAAGTCACGGATAGCCGACCTTGAGAGCGAAACAAACGAACTTGAATCTGGAAAGCGCGACCTGCAGCAATGCCTTGTTGATCGCGATGACAATATCACTCAACTCCAAAATAAAATTCTCGAGCACGAGAGAGTTGCCGTCCAGCTCAATGAGACGCTCGCTCAGAAGGAAGCCTCACTAAAAGCAATTTCCATGGAGGCTGAGACGCTTTTGCGCAGCAAGAATGAAGTTCTTACTAGGGTGCAGGGAATGGAGGATGAACTGACTGCTGCACGAGGCGAGAATAGGCGCTTGACAGATGAACTGGCTAGTTCTCACAGAGAAGAAGAAACCCTTCGAGAGCGGATGGTAGAACTCGTACGAACCACAGAGGAAAGACAAGGAGAGCTTGCCCAAGCCTTGAGGGTTGCGGAGAACGAAGCCAGAAATGACGCTATGCTCGCCCAGGAACTTCTCATGATGACCGAGGTTGCCAAGGAGCTCGAAACCCAGCTCTCTGAGGCTAACAACACCGTCACGACCCTCGATGCTAAACTTGCGGAAGTCCTTGAATGCAATAGTCAGCTTCAGTTGGCTCTAGAAGGGTCCAGGAAGGAGATTGAGGAGTTGAAGAGCAGGATAACGTCTTCCGAGATGAGGGAGGCAGGATTGTCGTCAAAATTGTTCACCGCTGATGCGACGAGGCAATTATTGGAGGATGCCGCTGCAGCTATGAAAAATGCTTCACGAGTTGAACGAGTGAAGGCACAGTCCACAATTCTTGGGCTCCTCGAGAAAATTGATGGACTGCAAATTCTGCGCGATGACGAAGTGCGGGGTTTTACCGACAAAATTACAGCTCTCGAAGGTGAGATGGAGGATCTTAGATTGAACCTTCACAGCACGAGCGAAGCTCGGCAGACCGCCCTCGCTGCTTTGAAGAAGTCCGATGACGACTTGGCGCACTCGGTGAATTTGCTCGCCGCAGAACAGACCACTTGTAATGGCCTTCGGGATAGTCTGACTCAAGCGCAAGACCAAATATCTAGATTGAAGGCAGCAAAAACAGCTTGCGAGTCGACCATTGTCAATCTTAAGGCTATTTATGATCAGGGGAAGCGGATGCAGATAGACTGGATGTCTGGGATGGAGAGCACGGTATGTGGTCTCGTGATTTGTTTGTCATGTGAGATGCTCAGAACGAACAGTTTTCTTCTGCCTAGCCGGCTTCATTTGCACACGCGTAGCGATGAATCTGCCTAAGCTACTGGCAATACTGGTGCGGAGTCGACAAACTGTCCCGATGTTGGGGGCGATGTAGGTTTCACGGACTTGGACATTTACGGTGGATATACTTAACGTTAACGATATTTGTCTTGATTTTGAGAAAGATGTAGTTTGTGTTAAGTAGCCACAATCGAGCGTTAGCATATCGGCTTTGAATTTGATGTTTTGACGAACCAAAGTTAAATTCTTATGTCGTTGTCGTGTCAAGCTCGTCATCTGCTAGCTACTTGGAGTTGATGACGGATTACGCGGTGGTTAGCCTGACATGATGTGCAGAACGAGTCATTTTCGGAGTAAGTCTTTTTGAAGATTGGACCGTCTTCTGCGTTGGGAATACGATAAGAACCCTAGCTACTTATATAGAATATGGGTGTCGTGCTCGGTAGGGCCTCGTAGTACTAGGTTCGCAACAAGCACATAGTGATAGCTCGGGCCTTTCATCCTTCGGGCAAGTCGATTGAACCGTACGCCGAGCACAGGACGACGTTACGACCGTCCTTTGACGACGTAAGATAAGATAATTATATACTCAAATATGTAGTGCCTGGTTTGATGGGTGGATATATATAGATGATGTCAGATGATGTACCGGGCCAGGCACTGCAATGATCCTTTTGTGTTTCAGGTCGTGTGCTGTCCCATGTGCGATTGTTGAGATCATCATCGGTCCCGCGTGAGCTCGTAAACCTGAATGGGGAATGAATGGTTTCGGTGTATTTCGGCGCATGAGATGACAGCTGAAACGCTGACGGGAGACTCCACGGTGCCACCTCATAACAGCAACCCTGGCACTTCCTGGCAGCAACGCACGATATGACAGTTTCTGACAGTTGAGTGCGACCTGCATGGCAAAGGGTCGGAGTTAAGAGCTTGCCAAGCGTGGGCGCCTTGCGTTGGAGGGCTTGTCTGAGGTAGTACGGAAGTGAAATTGCGCGCAGACATGTTGTGCAGATAACGCAGAGCATGTGAGCAGGCTGGTTGTCGATTCATCGTGGGTTAAGCAAGGACCCCCGAGTGCGAAAATTTCGATATGATTGATCGACGTCGTCACCAATTTCCGTCTAAACCTTCTGTCCAGAACAATCTTTGAACATGGATCCGTGCTCAAAATAGATGTTTGAGCTGCTTCAGGGATACATTTGAACAAAAAAAGAGAACTTGATAAACTAGTTAATGGGTGGCATCACACGATAGGCGCGCGCACATAGATAATAGTAGAGCTCACACGACTTTACGCACTAAGTCCACTAGTAGCCCACCGACGAGACCTAAAGCTGTACCTTGTACTATGAGTGGACTTGGCCGTTGGCTATGAAATGAAATTCACGTGCAAACAATGCCATCCGGAATGATTTAAAGACCGAAGAATGGATCATATCCACAGTACGTACTAGTTTGCTTCAAGTAGTCTGCTACAACAAACGTTTCAATCAACCCCAACACTCGTCGATGCCATGTCTGCTGCTTTTCGAATCTCTCCAGCCCTATGGGACAAAATTCACCACTTTGCAAGCTTTCCTCAGACCGGCGGTATGTCATCTGATATCAACCCATTGCCCTAGATCTCTAATTCTTGTAATCTACAGTCTCGCTGCAGCAGATGGTACTCTTCGGTCAACATCCAAGTCAGGGAACTCTCCTCAAGGCCAGCCAGTTCCTCGCAGGTAACTTAACCCTTCTCTAGGCCTTAAACTCATTCTGACATCATCGTATTCACCCCCTCAGAAGAGCTCCCCGTCCGCCTCGCGCATCGTGTCAAGGAGCTCGATGAGCTTCCCCACAATCTCAGTGACATGCCTTCCATACGAAAGGTCAAGAACTGGTATGCCCAGTCCTTCGAGGTCCGCCGTAGCCAATCTTCTATCTTCTCCACTTCTCACCGGATCTTATGCAGGAACTCATCAACTTTCCTCCCGTCCAACTCCCACAACACCTTCGCCAACAGCTTTCCTCCACAGGCCAGGATATCTTCTTACCCGACAGCACCCCAAACCCAAGTCTTGCCGCCTTGCAGGACCACGATCACCCTCTCTTCAACTTATCCCGTCTCAAAGGCAATGCCAACGGCATCGGTAACGTCAAGCTCAGGGTCCCTTTGGAACGCAGGTCTGTCCTCCCTTAATTTCCCACAATCCACGCATTCCATGCTCACTTAGCACAAGATATTACGCAAAGTCATCATCCATCGACTGGCCACCCTCCGTCCTTGACTACAATGCTCGTTTCACCCGCATGCTCGAGGCCATCAAACGCAGGCACGACCCTACAGTCACAACAGTCGCACAGGGCGTCCTAGAATGGAAGCGCAGTCAGAACGCAAAGAACATTGGCCTTGATATACAGGCTTGGCTTGATAGATTCTACATGAGCCGCATTGGTATCCGCTTTTTGATCGGCCAACGTAAGCTGTTCTTAGTTCTTTTTGTTGTCATCATCTGATCCCCGTTGCTTTCTCTTAGACGTCGCACTAAACACGCAACAGCCACACAAAGACTATGTAGGCATCATCTGCACTAAAGCTGTACGTTGCCGTTCTCTGTCTTTCCCCATTCACTAACACCCTTTTTTCGCCGCAGAATGTACATGATATCGTACAGGAAGCTATCGAAAATGCCCGCTTCGTCTGCGAGGAACACTACGCCATGTTCAAAGGCCCCCCTGTTCAACTTATCTGCCCTCCAAACCTTATCTTCCCCTATGTCCCAGGCCATCTTTCCCACATCTGTTTCGAACTCCTCAAAAACTCCCTCCGTGCTGTCGTCGACCGCTTTGGCCACGATGCACAAGACGACAAACCATACCCGCCCATCAAAGTTATCGTTGTCGAGGGCAAGGAGGATATCACCATCAAAATCACCGATGAGGGCGGGGGGATTCCGCGTAGCGCCATTCCCCTTATTTGGACATACATGTATACGACTATGACGGGACAGAGCATTGATCAAGACTTTCAAGCTACCGATTTTCAAGCTCCGATGGCAGGATTCGGATATGGACTGCCATTGTCGAGACTGGTAAGTGACGTGCGCGTTGGTCGGGGTTTGCGCTGATGTGTATCGTTGACAGTATGCGAGGTATTTTGGAGGTGATTTGAGATTGATATCTATGGAAGGATATGGCACGGATGTGTACATTCATCTCAATAGGCTTTCGAGCAGCCGGGAGCCTCTTCCGTGATCCGCGAGCGTCTGCCTGGTTGATATTATTTGCGGTAGAAGGGCTTTGTATACAATACAATGAGGGACCTGCTAGTAGATCCACTCGATAAGTACTAAATGTAGTTTACGGTATACTGGCTCAGACTGACGACAGTTTCACGACAAGCATTATGATGCTGCATTTAATGCAATGTATATATTTTCATAGGTAGCATAGCACAAGCATAGCAGAATCAAAGGTTGAAATATAAACAAGGATTCCTTCAGCTGACATGGGGAGGGACAGACCTGGACCGCGTACAGATGTCTACGTGTTGCATGCGTGTAGCACTGATAGCAAGGTGCGATGCGAGAAAAGAGAACTAAGCAGAGGCTAAACTCTGTGGGAATAATCTAAGGACCTCAGGGTACTATCGACAAGGCAGAACTGGCGTGACTGTTCACATGCGTCCATACACATCACGAGCCTCTCTTCGTCCGCGTCGAGATTAAAAGCAACACTAACAGTACGTACTGCTTGTAGCTTTGAAGACGCGGCGGGCCCGAATAGGGGTTCCACAGATGCAATTTGGAGACGGGCCGCTGATATCAAACCCACGTTGACATTTGAACTTTTGACGAGCACTTGAAGGTGCTTAATAGAAGGATCTGCCAACTAATTGAATAAAAATGCAGGGATAGATTGCGTGACGACGTCCGTCAGCTAAAGGGTTCTCGACATACTTACCTTGATCCGTTTGCGCTCGAAATTATCTGACATCACTAACACAGTCATCATAAAGCTTGAAGGACAATACACTGGGTTGACGTTCTACGCCGTGCCAACCACCAGGTCTATGCCGCTTATATGTTAAGCAGGAACGTCTCCAAGCTGATCGTATTACGCACCTCGGATACATCAAACATGTAGTCCACTTTGCCGGTCAACACAGCGCCTCCTTGTTCCAGTATATTGTTATTGTTGCAACAATCTGTCCTGAACCAGGTAGTTCAACGTGAACAAGGACATTCAAATTGTTCCAATCGGATCCCGGGGTCAGATCCCGGACCTCCGCCCCTGTTCGGGTTCGAGTCGCCAAAGTCACCACGTCGTGACCGTCGGTAACCGATAACCGACCACCACAGACCGATCTTTTGCGGAACTTGCCTCAGTACGTGGAAGAAAGCCTGATGTAAAGTGAAGTTGATACTAGTCAGACGCGAACAAGAGCCCGACCTTCAACGTTCAACCTGTCGACTTGTTTAGTTATGGAGAAGCGAAAAGAACGTGCCATGAGCGAAAGAGTGATCACGAGGTCTGCAACCTGCGATAAAGCTGACTTGCTGGTAAATCATTCTGAAAGATTCATCATTGATATTGCTATAATTAAGTATTCTTCAAGTTGGTAATACATGCCAATGCCATAGTTATATGTTGAACTGACGGGCAGGATGTAAGCAATCATCATAAATACTGTCCACGATAATGGTTAATAAGGGGTGTGACAGTCTTGACTACTTACATATGCAGTCTTTAGTGAACGCACTGGCAGGATCCTGAAATCTTTTTATAAGTTTTTTTCGCACAAGCATCCGGGTGAACAATGAACATACTACTAGAACAGTCGTATACGTTGTAGGCCGCACATCTCGCGCATCCATTTCGAACCGAGCAAAATACCTCCGTGTCGTCGTCGAGAGGCAAGGAAGATATCCCCATCAAATTCACCGACGAGGGCGGGGGAATCTTGCATAGCACCATTCCCCTCATTTGGACTTACATGTAATGTACACGACCATGGCGGGGAAGAGCCTAGCAGAGCATCGATCAGGATTTCCAAGCTAGTGATTTTCAGGCTCCGATGTGTTGGGTACATGGGCTGCTGTTGCCGAGATCGGTGAGTAGCGTGCGCGTTTGTCGGGGCCGTGCACTGATCGGTGTGTGACAGTATACCAAGTATTCGGGGAGCGGTTTGTGGCTGGTATCTTTGGAAGCGTTAGTATGGAACGGATGTATAAATCCATTCCTATACAGTAGAAAGTACTGCAGATCGTGCTCCTGGAGTTAAGCACATTAGAGGAATCGATGTACACCATATGGGAAGGACTTAATTCCACTCGATTCTGACTGTAACTGACTAGCTCGTTCTCGGGACCAGAGTCCAGACCTTATGACACTGTATATTAGTGCAATGTACACGGTACCATAGCCAAATCGAAATGCAAAGAGAAGAATAGGACCATGAAGAAAGTACTCATATACAAGGACAGCGTCAACGCGGAGTTTGTCGAACAACGTACAGATGTTTACATGTTGCATGCGTGTATAGCGATGTTGGGGTGTGGCGATAGCGTGTGCGATGCGAGAACAGGATTAGAAGAGAGCCAAGCAGGGGGTATTGACAGTATCCGTGTGGGAATCAAGAGAGAAAACTAACAAAATCAGTATCACCCAGGCCCGTCCTCAGAGTGCCATGTACGCTTGAGGGATGTCGAAGTGGGTAAGCGGATTGCAGGATTCATGTGCGCCAATGACGACGACAATGCAGAGCTCGTGTGGCTACCCATGAGCGTCGACCAGTCGGCACTATCATGTGGGTGGACCAACGTGGAATGTTGGTGTTGGTGTTGTTCTTGGTGTCGTTGGTGCTGCTGTTCCTGGTGGTATTCCGGCCCACGCACCTCCAACGCATCAACTTCCTCACACAACCTCTGATTCGCAAACCGCAACTGCTGCAGCTCATACTGCCAACTACTCCCCCGCGTGGTATCTAGCTCATCAAATACATCATCAGCCTCGGCGTGAATCAGCGTATCGGAGCTACTCGAGTTGCTGAGCACCGTGATTTGTATGACGAGTGGTTGGGCGAGTGATGTGGAGGGTGTTGGGGAGGGCGTCGAGCTTAGGGTTGGGGAGGGTGGACGGTAGATTACGAGCCGCACGAGCATTGTGGTACGATCTTTACGCAGCATCGTGCATACCATTGCAGACGACTCGCCCTCCGCATGTCCACGTACCTGCGCCTCATCTCCATTGGCGCGCTGAATCGCCGCCTCCACATGGCCTCGATCCCCACCAATGACCATCGCACCCAAAGACATGCCGATAACCTCACCAACACTCCATCCAAGCATATCGCGCACACTGGCGCTGGTGACAAGTACAGTCCCGTTTGCGCTCACCATGCCCCACACCTCCTGTTTGCCAAGCCCGCCAGTATGGGCGATCGAGCGCCAGCTGAGCGAGGGCATCCATTTGCTACGGCCGGAGAGGATGATGGCTTTGCGACCTTTGCCAGGTTCAACGTGGAGGCGACCCCGGCATTCAATCCAAGTGTATTCAGAGGATTTGGCACGGGCGCGGAAGAGGAGGTCAACTGTTTTGGGTTGGTTGGCTGGATTTGGCGAGCTAGATGGTATGGGGGAGGCGGATTCGGCTGATGGAGTGTTGGGCGTGATAGAGGACTCTTTGAGCTCGCGCATGAGTGGGACGAGGTCCGCAGGGTGGCAGTAGTCAGATATACTCTTTCCGACGAGTTCCTCGGGTTCGTATCCCAGGACGAGGCGCACGCTCGGGGCGACGTAGAGAAAGGCGCCTTTGAGGCTGAGAACGATGATAAAGTCAGGGGATTTTTCGAGGAGGAGCATATGCAGGAGCTGGTTGCCGTCATGAGTGTCAGGCTTATCAGGAGTGGCTGAAGATGGGGGGATATTGACGCTCGTGGAGAGGGGGACAGAAGAGGTGAATTTGGCGTCTGTGATCAGACTACGCAAGTCTTTGCTTAGCACGCTGTTGGACGGCAATATAAGTCGACCTCTCGACGGGGGCCCGAGCGAGGATGGCACCGGTGCGCCTGCGCCCACGGTGTAATTGACGATGTAACTCCCATCGCGCAGTTTCTGCAAAATCGCATTGGGTTGTTCTGTGAGATCGACCTGGAAGCCAACGTGATAGACAACCTTGTCCGCTTCTTCTGGACGGTTTGATATGCCGCCCCTGAGGGGGATCACGGTGACGAGATTGATGAAGGCCTGTCCGCCTTTACGGTAGTTAGTGATGAGGGTTTGGCACTCCTTGTCCGCGGAGAGAGATTTTTTCAAATGCGCTACAGCATCTGGTCGGACAAAGCCACGCTCCTCACCCTTTTGTACGTTTCCATCGGGAGACTGCAGGAAGCGACAATTGCGACCGAGAACCTCATGTTCAGCGTAGCCTGTCAGGCGATAGAAACTGGGGGAGGCGTAGATGATGGGACAGTCATGGCGACGAACATCGACGACAGTAAAGGAGCAAGAACTGTCGACGGGGCCGAGGACGATGACTGGGTGGGGACGGGTGACTACGCGTGAAAGAAGGGAGAGAAGGTCGAAACCAGAAGAGGAGTAAACAGGAAGGCCTATGGGAGATGGTGTAGATAATATAGTTGCAGTATTGAGTTTGAGGATATCTGCGGCTGTGAAGGAGGGATTCGAGGTAGCTTGTGTTGGAGGAGATGGGGGTGGGTGAGAATAGTCGACCTGGGGATACTGTATAGAATGAGGTACGTTCGAATAGGCATCATAGCAATTGCTCGATTGCACATTGCTAGCACCAGATGCTGCCTCCACGCTCGCTTGGTGTCTCGACTGCGAAGAATGAAAACTATACGAAAAGAGTATTAGAGAATATCACAGGGATTATTTTGTACTCACGGCGCAAAGCCATTGTTTGTAAACCAGGATGAAGCAAACGAACCTGGGCTGTCAAGGAGACCAGCTGGTAGAACCTCCGCACCACCACCTGGGGCTAATATTGGAGGTCCATTGTACATGAACTGAGGTATCTGAAACTGAAGCCCATTAGAGTAAGCATTACCGTCATCGACATTGTAACGACTATCGTTGTAATCGCCGTAGTGATTAGAGTACTGCCCACTCCGCTGCGGCTCGTTATGTGTTAAATATCGCTCAAAGGGCATGGTGGGCGGTCTTGAACAAGATCATCCAAGAGGAGCAGAACTTAAAAGTAGATTTTGGGGGTTGGTACTTAGAAGAAGCGTTAACGAAGTATCCACCTTTGGAGCTGTGTGCTTGTAATACTTCACGTTAGCCTAACGTTATGCATCCGGCTGGCCGCCGTCGCGTGATTAACGGTCTGCTTTTTACCTACTGCAAACATTAAGTTTACCTCACTAACACTCCGTGTAATCCACGTTTATGTAAACTCCACTCATTTCATATTACAAATCGCACGATAGTACCTGTTCCTACAATGCAGTACAACAACAAACACCCTCCAGTTTGTGTCACATAACGAATCCTCGCATATGCATGTAGGTTTTGAATATTTGCCCTCGTTCCCCTAACCATCACCCACATTGGATGATGTAGTGAATAAAAGGGCAGTCTGAAAGTCAAGTACTTTGTCAGTCAACCGCGCCATGTCCTCGGTGTGTGAGTGAATGATATCACCACATATCTAAGCTTCAAGTCGTGCTTCGACGGCCCCAGCTGACTAGAATGGGCCCCATCCCTAAACGTCATATGCATCAATTTAAGATAACCGCATACAATGATACGCACTTCAAAATTTTTATCTCCTCCTGAGGCCTGAAGGTTCAAGTAGTCATCACACGCCCCACATTTGTAAAGCCTCACTTCTTCGACACAATAATCTTTTGCTAGCCTGGGAACTTGTACCGTGCACGGCGGAGAGCTTCCTGTGTGACCACAGCATTCAGTTCCTTGTAACAGATAGGGAGGATTATCTCTCCGATGTTTACCCGCGCGACAGTATCGTAAAGCTTCCCCCAGCACCGCGTATACCAGCATGAAGCCTGGTTGGAACACGTAAAACATTCACACCCGAGTCGTGAACCTATCAGCATCCGCGTAACTCAACATCTTGTTGATGAAGATGATGATGTGAAATGGGTAGACTCGGACACACATGTAGAATGAGTCCTTGCCTGATGTCTTGGTCACGGACTTGTTGGCGCAGATGCGAGCTACTTCAGGCGCCTGGGAACTCAGCTCCTCATACTCATCGAAGACGAGATGAGAGAAAAAAAAAGGGAACCCATCCAGAGGCACGCTTCCGGCCGAGGTCGAAAATTCTGATCTATGGGGACGAGTGAAGACAGTCAGCGACGAGGCGTTGTGAACGGACCTTGACACCGTGGATTGGGCCGCGATTTGGGTAAGGTTTGTTCTTATAGTAGCGGTAGCAGCAGAGGGCGGGACGACCGATGGTCTTGCAGAGTCACATCCAAGATAATGGGATTACATCCATCCCAACCAATTGCAATCCAACACTCATTTGAGGTAAACGACCCCCAGCGTCTAAGTGTCATCCGACAACCGGAAAAGCGACACACATATGTTGCATGGAAGTAGGGTACAATGTTACATGGAAGTGATGAAGCCCTTTTCATCTGAAGTTGCAGTGGGAAATCGGATAACCAAGAGATGACAAACTTGACTCGGCGAGCGCCGGAGACCTCTGTGGACCGTCGTAATTGCCGTCTCAATAGTGTTGCGCTCGCTCCAAGTCAAGATTAAATCATAAACAGTATGATGAAGGTCCCGAGAGTACGTCAGACAGTCAGTATGCTCTGGGCCTGCCAATATCGTACACACGATTTGGACAAGGATTTCCGAATCACTTCTAAGACCATCTTTTGTCATAACTGCGACCGACTGCGACACGACTAATGTTACAAACGAAAAATGAGAAGGTAAACAAATTCAGTATTTCATGATGATCAAGAGAGGTTGATGGAGTGTCGCCTTCAATACTAGAACTGTACTCGAGTCTCGAACTTCTTGATTGAATCTTGAATTGCTTTCTGTTTCTCTCCCTCACACATCTCATGGTATCGTGTCGATCCCTGCCACCCTGCCCATGCCGGCTCGTTCAATGTGCCCCATCATTCGTCTTTGAACGGGTGTTCTGGTGCGCCACGAATGGATAAGCACCGCCACAAGACTAGGATGAACTGGTCCTGTGAAATGCACCACTCCAGGATCCTTCATGTCTCCCAATGCTAGGATATCTCTATCAGCTGAGCTAATCCCTGCGTAGGTTCCGAGTCCCTGTGCATTCCAGCTCAGGTTCACTTCGGTCCAATCGCCAAGGTCGCAATAGCGAGCGTCTTTCATCTCACGCACCCGAGCCGCAAGCTCAGACAGATGCATTCTTGCCTTTGCCAGGTCAATCAGGAGCACGCCTGCGTTGAAGTAGCGCCTTCGTGAGACCCCACCATGGCCCATTGGGAATTCAACGTCCATGCTGCACCAATCGAGGAGCCCTCCAAATCGGTATTCCATAACTCTTCCAGGCTCCTGCACACCAGCATATTTGCGTCCAGGTATAAAGCCCGCTCCACTGGCAGTATCTTCATCATATCAACTTTCGTTCAGGCTATGCCCAGTTCTGTAGCAGCAGTGTAGCTAGACTCCTAGTTGGAAGATCCAGGAATACTAGGGTAGCATCGTGTCGTTTGGGAAGCGACGACTTGATCTTTTCTTTGTCTTCGGCACAAATAAAAACACAGTCTACGATGTAAATTGTCATACGTCCCGTGGTCTTCTCGATGGCGCTGCGAATCGTGACAGCTGCTGCCATCGCATATGAGGTGTCGATGGCGAGGACCAAATAGATCCCTAAGCCTAGAGCGTTTGGGAAGTGTTGCTTAGCACTCTGCTCCACGAGGAATCCGATTCGCATTTCACTGGTCCTCCTCAAAATCATCTGGTATTGCTCTGCAGTTTTGGACAGATGCTCGTACTCCCCTGCATGAAGTGCAAGGAATGCATCGATTCCGCGGCAGGATAATGTACACTTTCGATGAACTGCTCGGGCCAATTACAGTCATCGAAAATGAATATGCATCCCTTGCGCGCAAGGCGCCATGCAAGTTCTGCATCTAGGAGCGTATCATCTGCGCGGTGCGATCTGTCCACATACACCCAGTCAAATCCAGCGCTTGTGTCCCGCGCTATCTCCTCTTCCAGCAGCGCATATAGTGCGGGGACGCTGTACTGTGGGAGTATGCGAAATGAGCGACCTGTCGGTGGAAGATTCTGCGAGAGCTTGCGGTGGCGCTCACGTCCCGCAGGAGTATGCATAAGGTCGAAATGGTCGATGCAGACTATCTCACTGCCTTGAGCACAGAGCGGCGTGGAGAGCAGAAAACTGCGAAGCGCCCTTCCCAGAACCCGATCTCTAAGATACGTGGCTTAGGCGAAGTGTCGATTGGGAAGAGGCTTTTCCAGGATGGAATATTATGGGTAAACCAATCTTGTGTTGGCGTAAACTCGTACTCATTTGTAGATGCCGACATGTTTGGCTGCAGTTGATAGTCAATGTGAGTATCTCAATATGTGCGCGAGGAGTGAAGCTGACCTATGGGCACAGGTGTTATCAACTGGTTTCTGGTGCTGTTTCTTCAAGCCTTTCAAGATTGGTGATTTATACCTGTCTATGTGTAGCAGGAGTCCATCAGGTCGTCGTATCGATTTTTTTTTTTCAATTGATCCCTTATTTTTGGCAAAATCTCATTACCTCTAGGTGCCAGATCTCTGTGGTCCCTGATTTGAACTTAAGGCGATGGTGGTCATCAGGAAAACCCTCCCAGGGCAAAATTACATAAATTTGCTAAAGTTTACATAACATTGTGAATTCACATAATTACATTAAGAATGATAATGTTAGATAATGTCAGATGGATTATTTGAACAAGAACAAATTATTGGGTGACTATCCATAGGCAAAATAATGCGGAATAGATTATAACAGGACTTTGAAAGATATCTGCAAAATTTAATATGTACAGAAAACACAACCGTAACGCATCTGGATTAAAATAATTTGGTCAAAACTAGATGTTCGTAGTTAGTAGAACGACCCTGTGGTGGTCGCAGGAATACATTAGTATACACAGGAAAACAAGTCTTTAATGTAAAAAAACAGTTGCGGTAGCTTGGGGAACGAGTTGTTTTTGCAAGTCTAGACTTATAGGGAGAGAATGGTGTCGGCACTGCTCACCTCGTACCCTGGCCAGTCGCAGTGGTACGTGTTGGCGTCGTCTGCTGATAGCAATCTTAAAATTTCAGCTGAAAACTTCGCCAGGGAGCTCAGGGATGGGACTGCATATATTGGAAAATGTTTGGACCAGGTGGTGACCTTCGCTATGCTGAACATGTGTCAGGCAGACCTCAAGTCTTGGATTAGTCAGCAGATAACTTAGGCGTAGTGGCCCAAAACGGATTTAATCCGTTGTTTATAATCCAGATTAATCTGTAAGGGGGGGGGGCCCCCCCTTCTAGATTTAGAGTTTGTAAGAGCCTCAAAATAATATGTTTTGAACATCTGACGCAAATGAACAGCGGCATTGCGGCACGACTTCCTTATATGGTCTTTTTTATTCTATCTTATTTTATTCCGCATTATTTCAGCCTACGGATAGTCACCCATTAGCGAGAATTATCTGAATTTTGAAAAAGTATGTCTATCTACAATCTATCTATCTATGTATCACTAGCCACTGTGTCACCACCACGCAGTAACCTTGAGAGTTTATCAAGTCCGCTATTTCACACAGGAGCAGACAGGAACAGTGTAAGTAAACCATTCAAATGATATGCAGGAAAAGCTGAGACCAGAACGTTGAAATTTCGTTGAAGTTCGTCATTTGCACATATTTGTTTCGTTCACGTGACTGTTTGGTTGATATTGAAATCGAACCATTTACATGTATTTGTTTGACTCACATGACTTTGGTTTGAAAACCTTTGAACTTTTGAACTTCCGACATCGATCCCTCATTATGATTCCTCAATGTTGTCAGCCTCAACCATCAAGCTGATAGGTACAGTCTTAGATATAAAAAAAAGTTTTGTTTAACAGCTCATAGTCGTCCTTTCATGCTTGTCATTGCCCACTGTTTGCAGACCTGAGTGTGCCGATTCTGCTTCGAGGTTAAGCCATGCTGATCGAAGTTGTCAGGGCCTGTCGTTCATGCTCACTGTTTGCAATTCGTGAGTCTGTCTATCCTCATTCGAGCAACAGCCACACTGATCCAAGGCGTTGCCCGCCGTTCGCAGGCAGTGAGTGTGCCGATCCTCATTCGAGCAACAGCCACACTAATCCAAGGTGTTGCCCCTTCGCAGGATGTAGGTTTGTTGATCCTTGTTCGAGCAAGGGTCATGCTGATCCAAATTGTTGCCCGCCATTCGCAGGAAGTGAGTGTGTTGGTCCTCATTCGAGCAAGGGCTACTGATCCAAGTCGTTCCCACCGTTCACAGGATGTAAGTCTGTTGATCCTCGTTCGATACCCAGGATATTCTAATTGACCTTAAACCAGGCTGAACTCCTCATATTGTTGATATCTAACCAGCTCTTTCATAGCTCAAGGGCCATTGGTGTGAAATTCGCGTCACGCTTTGTTGAAATCTCCAAGAACAAGTTGAAGTGTCCTGAAATTCTGTTGGCTTGCAGTAAGTTGAAATGGAATGGCGCTACTGAGGATCACATCGAGCTGAACACCTTCGAACTGCTTGACCTTGAGGGTATGGAGGAAGACTAGTGACGGGAATCTGCTCTTTTGGTGTACCTATGCGATTCAAAGATTGTCGAGACTCCGAGTCATGGTGTTGATTGATACATATCTTTATTCCAGTCATTACTAGCTATTACATACCTTTTTCTAATCAAAAACTAATTTGTTCGTATAATGCTGTCTGATGGCGGGGAAATTGGTGAACACTGTTTGCCGAAATTTGAATGGATGGTCTCTCAAATGCTCGACAAATTAGTCAAATAACTAATAATTAGAAACATTTCTGTCAAAGTTTCTTGGGGTAACATAATCTATGCGATCCTTGAAATCAGTCGCTTTTTGAGTAATTTGTCAATAATTGTCGATAATCACTGATATTTAGCCCAGGAGGGTTTTGCTGATGGTGCTTATCAGGCTCACTGGAATTTTCTATCAGCACTGCTGCATCCCAACCAGTATAAACAGGTATAAATATATTCACATATATAGGGGATCGTCGATCCCACTAATATATAAACCATGGGAAGCCCTCCTATGTCCCATCTGTCTTTTGCAGTCTTTTACCCACCATATCATTAGACGTGCTTGCTTGCACTTTGTGTTGATCATCTTGTGATACATTTTCAATAGAAAAAGTGCAACACAAGTTCCTCTGTGTTGATCAAAGCAGCTCAGACTGGGTTATACACCATTGCTCGAGCTCGTGGGTATGTTTCTGAACCATAGCATATACAGCAATGAACTCAAATATTGCAGTCAAAGAAACAATGGCAAACATCAGTGGCCTACGTTGGTTTCTCATCACTGGCGGGAATGGCTTTATTGTACGAGCCTTTTGTTATTTACATGGAACAATGTTAAATTTGATGTCCACTGGGGGTCATATGCATATGTCGCAAAGGCATTATTTGAGAGGGGCCACTATGTTCATATCGCAGATATCAAGCGGACCTCTTACTTCAATAAGCGCATCCCACACGAGGTTCTCGTTGGAAACCTCTGCGATTTGTCATTTTTTGAAAGTGTTGTTCGAAGCATGGACACAGTCATGCATTTTGGGTGACATGGGTGCAATCCACGAAGCAAATGATTTCATGATTTACAATAGGGTGCGGTGAAAAATTATCCAGCCAGTTATTAACTGGGTTATTAACCCAGGAGATGGCAGCTAATTGTTAACTGACATTTTTTAACACATATTGACAGTCAGCACATGATTTTTTCATCCAAGCTATAATTAATATTAACTGGTTGAAAACAGGTGTTATTAACTATTGATATCGCTAAGCCAGACATGTGAGGCAAGCTGTGACAGCTTGGAAACAGAAGCCATGTCACGAAAGCCAAGCACATTGCCTTCCAAGGGGAGCTTTGCCAGTAAAAGGTGAAAATTGGCTGCTGCAGAACTCGGAATAAGGCCATCATGAACTGTTTTGGATGGAACTGAGGTGTCGAGAACTGAACCACTCATAGCCATCAAATCTGTAAGGAGGTCTGTGATACAAGCAAAAAGTTAGATCAGTAGAATTTTGATTGACATATCTATTATCCCAATCACTCTGTTGTCTGACACTCCAAAACATGTTCCTGGCATATTAGTATGATTCAGGTGCAACCCAATGGCTGGAATGACACAAATATGTCAGTATGAGATTCTACGAGCCTTTATCCACCCAACATGAAGCAAATAAAGATGAATTTGATATAATGGCATGCCTAGGATGCCATGGTAGGATATGGTACATTATTTACAATTCTTGACCGGTGTCCCTCCAGCATTGAATTATTTACAGTTAATAACCCAGTTAATAACTCAGTTAATTAACCGCTGTTAAAAATTATTGAATTTTTCACTGCACCCTAATTTGCAAGTGGCAATAACAATTCAACAATGACATTCAACCTCGTACATGCCGCTGTACACTGCGGTGTCCAACATTTCTTACATATATGCATCATCTGCCTGTGTTTATCCAACATCACTGCAGCACCATGGAATGAACCCCATATCACTCCTTGAGCATGACATGTGATCTTCTGGGGCCCCAAACTCACAAGGCCTCTACGGTCTTGAAAAGCTGAACTCCAAGTTGCTTCTGATGCAGTTTGTTGAGAAAATGCAGATACACATTGCTTGGTTTCATAATATTTTTGGCCCATATGGCACGTGGGTTGGCGGGCATGAAAAAGTGCCTGCTGCAGCAGCTGCACAGCTCAGAAAAGCGCTTGCTGCATACATGGATCCTACTACACAGCATGAAATTGAGTTCTGGGGAGATGCAAAGCAGCAGCGAAGCTTCCTCTACATCAACAATTGTGTCGAAGTGATTCTCCTTCTCCTTGAATCCGACTGCAGCGCACCAATCAACATTGGATCTGACTGTTCGGTGACCATTGATGATGAAAATTGCCGTGCAATCTGCAGGGACGTAGGAGATGTCCATTTCAGATACATGGATGATATTCGTCCTGTCGGCATCCATTCATGCAATTCAAACAATGAGTTCATCATGAAAACATTGTGCTGGACTCCAAAGATAACCCTCGAGGCCAGTATGATGAAGACTGTGAACTGGATCAGAGGGGAAATGGAGAAGATGCTTCATAGCACTGGTAAGACTGCCTGAACAGAGCTTCTGAGCAGTTTCAAAATGAGCAAGGTCATATATTTGAATCGGCCCACCATTATATTCGCTATCCTACTTCCCATCACGTCCTGTGGTCTCGAGGGACCATAGAAGAGCCATGAAACCTTCAAACCTTTGCAAAATCCCAACATTGAATTACTCTTATCAGAGGAGGGAATCACAGATGTTTCTATTGAGATCTGCAATGTACCCCGCAGTCATGTCTGTGCCATTTTGTGCCAGTGTGCACATCGGGCTTGGAAGGAAAAGGCGGATTATTTCATTCTAATGGGTGATGATGTTGTTCTCCTCGATGAAGGCTGGATGAGAGACATCCGTGAACAGTTCACGCTGATTACACAACATGGCGAACATGTCCCTCAAGGTATGGGATGTGTCGCCCTCACAGATGTGACTTTTCCTGGAATGCCCACATTCCCTGTTATCCACCGCACTCATATGAATGCCTTTGGCAACCAAGTCATACTCAATGTTTTTATTAATCAAGATGGGGACCCATTCCTCTTCCAGCTGTGACACAAATGGGGCTGCTCCAGAATGATACCATCAAGGCTTTGCAACGGCATTGGCGGAAGCCTACCTGCACGATATATTCAACGACATGCAGATGGATGGACATTCGGTCCATTGACTGAGGCAGCTTCAGCACTGGAAACATCTTGGTGACATCTTTCCCAGCCGCTACTCACAAAATGACCTTGGACATCATCATTCCAAGCTACTGGGTTCTGCTCCCTTTCCTCGATGCCATCCTTGCCCGCAAGGAGTCTCCAACTTGTGAAACTATGTTCATCATCATCGACAACCCACACTGCCTTAAAATCACTGAGCTAGAAGCAAAATATGCTCATCGCCCAGACATTTGCATCTGCATCAATGAAAGTAACCTTGGCGCCTCGGCGTCATGAAACAGAGGCATGAAGGAATCTGCCGCAGATTGGATTCTGTTCCTTGATGATGATGTCACACCTCAAGATGACATCCTGATTGAGGCTGAGAAAAGCCATTCGTGCAAATCCACAGGCTGCCAGTTTCATTGCTATTTCCTGGTTGCCAGCACTGTCTTCACCAATGCCGTTCATCTTGCTGGCGTGACTTACTTCTGGGACATCGCCGCGAAAATGCCAGAGAATGAGAGTGATATGCCATGAGGTGTCACAGCCAATCTCATCACCTGCCATATTCAGGATGGTGTGGAATTTGACTTGCAGTTCCTGAAAACAGGCAGAGGAGAAGACATTGATTTCTGTCGGAAGAAGCATGACTTCTCTGTTGCTCATGGGGGCAAAGGATTTTATCCTGCTCCTCATGTTATCGCAACTCACCCTTGGTGGAACGATGGTCAAAGACCATACTGGCATTTTTACATGTGGTCCAAAAGCGACAGGGGACTCATGAATCTACCCAAATCTGAAACAGTGCAGAGCTGTTCCTGATTAGCACAGCATCAGAATTCCTAAACATGTTCACATATTTCTTCACAAGGAGCTCTGTCGTGTTCATTGTTTCAATGGAATGGTGACCGTCATTGCAAACATAGCGCATGATATGTTCCGTCATTTCTGGAGAGATATGAATCACACAAAAGCTCTCAGGTCTTCACTCAGGGGGCTAGGATGGGCTATCACAGTCGCCAAAAGTGCACTGTCAGGATGGCGAGCGAGGGTGGGAGGTTGATCAGCCTGCTTTAGCGGGGAGAGGTTATGTCATCGGGCATAGGTTTGACTGGTTCACAGGTAGGGTGAGAGATGGTCTGATGAACGAGGAAATAATGAATGAACAGAGAATGGCACTGGTTGCTCTCATTTTTGGTGTGTTGTGTTTCAAGTTTTGCTACTAGTGATGGGTCCACCAGTTTGATTCGTGCTGGGCTTCTACTCATTTTTTCTCCTGAGTCCATGTGCCTGTTGTAATTGTTGTTGTACAATATGTATCATTCTAGGAGTACCCTTTTTGTGAGTGCGCATGTTTGTCATGATTGATGTACCATATGTATGCAGCACCTCTGTACAGTGTCAGAAATAAGTAGCTACAACTCCATAGACGATTTTCGGAAGGAACATGCCTAAAATACACTGTTTTTACCAATTTCAAGTTTTTTGCAAGGATGTTTCAAATTTTAACAAAAAAATTGAACTTATGTATCATAGATACATCAGTAAAATAACACGTTACTTAAGCTGCCTTAAATGGACTTGACTTCTACTTAAGTGTCTTTGTGTAAGTCAGTCCACTTGGCTGAAATTTCAACTTAAACATATTCAGAAACAAATTGTTGAGGTATATTAATATACATGTTTTATTATATTTTGCACTAAAAACATAAGATATACTGAGTGAATGATGTGACAGAGAATGAACAAGGTTTGAGCTAAGTTAGTTGAGCTGACCAAGATAGCTTAAGTAATGTGTTATTTTACTGATGTAGCCATCCTAACCTTCTTGACATTGGAGACATGCCTCAACCAAGTAAGAAAATAAGCCAGGCAAAAGAAAAAACTCGATGCTCGACAAGCTGCATTTGCTGTGAGGAAGTACAAGTCTCACCGACACATTGGTATGATGGCCGAAGTCCTTGCATGTGTTAGCAATGCTGCAGGGGCACAGAACAACCTCCCGTAGCTCCATAGTATCATTTCTGGTCACCGGGTATGCCTCCTGGGCCCCCAAACACTATTTTTCTCATGATGTTTCAAATTTTTGTGATGAAATTTTTGAATGCGAGTTTTTTTTAAATTCTGGCCAGCAAGGATTAAACTACACATAAAACTATGTAGATCTACACTATGTTCACTCGAATCACACTACTTCTCGTCTTGTAGTAGCAGTCGTGCGTTGGGGTTACCCGAGGCATTGAAAACCTGCTTTGCACACTGTAGTATCAGGTAGTGTTGTTGGCAGAATGCTGCCATTCTGCCAGTGACAATTGCCAAGGGGCAATTGCCGGCAGTAGGTCAAGGGTGGTTGGCAGAAGTCGGCAGAAATACGCTGAACTAGTATTTGTTCCTACTAAAAAACAATAAAAATATGACATGTGGCCTGGAAGCCCAAGGGCCATTCTGTCCAAAAAATTGTGTCCAACCACTTTGTTAGTAGCTACTGGGGAGAAAGTCAAAATTTGGTCAAAAACAACTCAAATCACTACTTTTTCACATGCAACTGCTGCTCGGCACAACAGCATCCATCTAATTGACTGAAAAATATGATCATCGGGCATGCTCGTGCAGTGTGGCTCACTACAAAAAATGCAATCAAGGCTGAATTCTATCAATTCTATCCCCAGATCTATTATGGCCCTTGGGCTTCCAGGCCACATGTCATATTTTTATTGTTTTTTAGTAGGAACAAATACTAGTTCAGCGTATTTCTGCCGACTTCTGCCAACCACCCTTGACCTACTGCCGGAAATTGCCCCTTGGCAATTGTCACTGGCAGAATGGCAGCATTCTGCCAACAACACTACCTGATACTACAGTGTGCAAAGCAGGTTTTCAATGCCTCGGGTAACCCCGACGCACGACTGCTGAAAAATATGATCATCGGGCATGCTCGTGCAGTGTGGCTCACTACAAAAAATGCAATCAAGGCTGAATTCTATCAATTCTATCCCCAGATCTATTGCTTCTGCAACTTCCAAGTCGACTCAAAGGTCGTTTGCATGGATTCCTCCCCTTGCAGCAGACTCTGATCACCAGGATTGACCAACTGTCAGAAAATGATGGGGCAGAAGGTATCCATGGTGCCAACTGGCTTTCATCAGTAAATCACTGGGCTCTGTCTAGATCTGTCCAGATCTGGACAGTGCGCCATGTGCACAGCTTGGTCCCTTCTAGCTAGTTCACTACAGTAGAGCTTTTTCTGTCAACCTCTGCACAGACCCTCACAAACCTGCCTAGTGAGGACCAAATAGGTCTTGAATATCATCATTTTTCTGTCTGTTTGTACAGATCTGTCCATGTTCATGCAGATATTCACAAACCACTCAGAAGTTCACTCGGCTCGGGTACAGTAGCTCATTTTTCTGTCTTGTCTTGTACAGATCTGTCCATGCTCGCGCAGATACTCACAAATGACTCAGAAGCTCACTCGACTCGGGTACAATAGTAGCAAACAAACGACGATAAATTCAATCAGCGCGAAACACGATACTAGCAGACAACGAGCAAAAAGGTAAAAGTATATGCGCAAGAATATGATGTGTGACGATTGACACTGCCAGGAGACGGGAGAACTCAATCGAGTTGGACGTGCAGGTGGCGATGTTTGGATGTGTCAATGCCGTCGAGTTTCGATGTTTCTGCCCTGAATAAATTCATCAGTATTGAACACTATGTAAAAGCCTCCTTACCATCCAATCTTGGCCCATTCACGGAGTTGCTGCACCAGCTTCGGACCGTGATATGGGTCTTTCATGACAGCATCAAGTAGCTCAAGCATCGAATGATAGATGGACTCGTACTCCTTCGAGGTAAATTTTGAATAAGACTTGCCATTGTCATTTTTCTTGAGGCCCTGGAAGACGCAATGAAACTGAAAGTAACGTGTCAGAATGTTGAAACATCAATATCCTGGACGTACTGCGGTGCAAACGAGAGCTAGGCATTTTAATGGAACCTCCTTCCGAAAAATGGCTGGTCGCCTATGAGCAATGCGATAAGACCCAGTATAGTAAAAAAGAATGATGGCCTGAAGAAGCGCAGGGTGAGCAAAGTTCTTGGTTTTCCCCAATTCGTCGACTCCATGGCGGAGAAATCTACCATCGGCCAGTAATTCTGTGGCAGCAACCTCAACCCAAGCTGCACGCTCTTGAGTGGGAATGTCAACTGGCGGAGAAAGACTGTATGCTGAAGGCGTAACTGGAGATGACAATTTTTTTGAGATCAGATCGCCAAGTTGCCAAGTCATCATACAGCTAAAAAACAAATAAGATATGAAGCGCACTACAAAATGGATATACGCACCAGTCTCGCCATGTCAGGCTTATGAGCGGGCCACACACCTGGTGGATACCCTGAGTCAGTAGAATATCTGGAGAGAAATAGTAGCTTACCAGCGTCAACTTGTTGGCTGTTTTTTAGCCATTGCACAAGAGAGGCTGAGAGAGACTCTGTGATTGAAACTGGCAGATCATGAACAAGGCTTGGGAAAGGGTTCTCCAATGCCTGCTGAGTATGACACTCTGCCTTCGCGTCCTCGAGAAAACTCTTCCAGCGTGGACCATACCAACCCAGCTGGGTGGCCTTTGGCCCTTCATCGTCGGATCCATCAACCACCTTCGATTTATGTTTCGATGTCCGCTTCCGTTTCCGTTTCGCCTTTGGGTTGGAGGTATCGACCTCAGCAACATGGAGAAGCTCCAGGAGAGCAGGATCAGGAAGTCGGGGGTGACCGTTTCTTTCGTGATGAAGCTTCAAAACGTCGTTCGGCTTGAACAACAGATTAGCATACTCCAAAAGAGTAGTAGACTTATACCTGGGGGGCACTCTTTTGATTCATCGCTGTACCATCATTGCTCGAATCCTCACTCAAATCATCAACAACTCCCAAAATGTTTTCAGCTGCTTCATCACCTTCATCACGAGAGTGCTGAAATTCGAAATCTGTTGGGAGAGCGGTGACTACCCGAGGTTGAGGTGGTGAGCATTCTCTCGGAAAACCTGTCGCTGTTCAGCTCAACCTGAACGTAAATAGGCAGCGACTTACCAGGGTGTGTACTATGATGCCCGTGAACTTCTCCCCAACCAATTTGCTCGTCCCCGCTACTTTCATCCAAGCCAGATGAATCATCTTTTGATGTGTCAGACTGTTCAGATTCTATACTTTGCGGTACAGGCAGCCGGAGGGCAGGATCTAAGTTCTGGTAAAAGTTCACATCCGGTAGCATCGCAGATGAATTGGTCCCGGAAAGTATAGGATCTTGGACGCTATGAGTAGTGACAGGAACCTGAGGTTGGGATATTTTAAGAGCAGTAACACGAGTTTGACTTAAAGAAGAATGGGAATCGGGCAGGGCGTGCGCCTTCTTGGCTGCGGCCACAAAGGAGTTGTTCAATGCTTGAAGATCTGGCTCTGTACCGGCAGGGACAATCGGTGGCGAAAATCCGTATCGTCCCCCAGCTTCCTGCTGCAAAAAAATTGGCTGATGGTTGAGTTCGAAGCTCGGAGCAGAAACGACAGTATCCTGCATATATGAATTAATACGTGATCGTTCACACAGTAGAAACTCACCTTGTTTTTCTTCGAGCGTGATTTCAGAGTCGTGGTGTCTGGTTCCACCGAAGGGCTATATGGCGGAGGGGGTTGTTTCTTCTATGTCTCTTTAGTATTGTTGAACACGAACAAAGAGAAAAGATACCTTGGAACGACTCCCGCGACCCTTGCGAGTTGGTTCAGGAGCGAGAGGGTTTGCAGGAGTGTTCGGATCAAGGGAGGTGGCACCCTTGGATTGGCTGATCCGCACTGGAGCATGCAAGATATCGCCCAGTTTCTCCAGTTGAGCTCCCCTACCTCCTGTCCCTGCGCCTGGGCGTCCTGATTGTCGAGGAGGCTGTGAATCAGCTCCTTGATTGAGAATTGATGCAGATGGTGCATTAGCCCGAGCACGCGCTCTCTTTGCTAGAGCTGTTTGCCCTTCAAGCGCCTTGAGATCAGAGTCCGTAGCTTTGCGCTTCGTTCTCTTTTTCTTAGGGCTTCCAGGCATGACTAGCGAAGGGGGAGAAGTGAGCCACTGGACCTATAACTTACTGATACTCACTTTTAAATATAATCCGCCATCGCAGCTTGAAAAGCGCTTGAAAATAACTATAAGTAAATACATCATTGGACAACTTGAAGCACACCAAATGTAATACAGCGCAGCCCGAGGGTCGCGAATGGGGTTGATGAGAAGCTAGCCGAGTCCAAGAGTCTCATATGAGGAGTCAGTCAGTCGATAGGCTGGGAGTAAACGTGTGTAGTGAGTGTATCAAGTTAGGGCCGGGCGTGAGATATTATGACTCATGAGAATATTTCAATGTCAAAACGGTATACATGGGAGGGGGTATTACTCTAGTATGGATGAAGGTGACGACGACTGTAGTAAATTATGTAGTTCTGTTACGTTTGGACTGGGGCATAACTTCCATTGTCCAGCCCATCCGACCAGGAATCTGGTTAGGACGTTCAGTAATTGATGGTTGGGATGGTTGGTCGAGATGATGATCAACCCGATCACCCTCCTCAAAGTCACTGGCCTGTCTCTTTTTCGGCAGCGCTGCAATAACCTTCCTTGCGAACAGAAGCTCGGGGGAAGGCTCGTCCTTCGGAAGCTTGGCAAGATGTGTATCCAACAGATCGAGGACCTCCTGGAAAGTTACTGCATTTGACTGTCCTTTGTTCCTGATCAGGTGGTACCATTCCATTGCGAGTGGGAGTAGTGTCTTGAAGTAGGGGTGGAATTGTTTCTGCAGTTTGTGCGCGTTTGGGTGAAAAAAAAACGAAGTCTTCACATCGCCGCCAACTTGTAACGTGCTGGCGGACCATAGATGCAGTAGCCATTCTTGACTCCTATCAGCTGAGAGATCACGTCTAACTCCAAGAAGACCCCTGAATTCAATGCAGATGCACACCAAGACGTAAAAAAGCGACTCCAAATTGTCATGGTAGTGATGTAGGATGAGGGGGGGCGGTTTTGTAAGGGAAGACGTGGCAACCTTCACCTTCCAGCTGCGAGCAGATGTTGCAGGGTCGCCAACAGCCTCTGAAAGCTGCCACAGAAGTGAACGTGACATGAAAGGCAATGTGCCCTAACATTCGCTGTGAGCATGAATTCTTGTAGAGAATAACTAGTACTGACCGTCCCACCGATAACATATTTTTGGCCAGCATGGATATGCACCGCGAATTCCCAATCAATCAGGAGTCCGTTGGTACCATTGCCATCATCCTCGATCATAGCATTATTGACACTACAATCACGGTGAAGAATTCCACGTTCCTCGACCGCTGTCTGTTGAACTGAGAAACATGTCATTAGAACACAGAGCGGATCAGACATAAACAAATACATACTTTTGACGATGTCCCGAAGAGCGCTCACCAGCTCTACTCTTGTCCGGAATGCATGCAAAGGTCGTGCGCGAGGTTTCAAAACCAAACGAACATGCGTACGAGAGGTGCCTCTGATACTTCCAAAAACCTTGTATCGATAGTTCATCGTTTCGTCAACCTCGTTGGGCGCGATCTCGACAAGCCAATACTCGACCAGTTCTGGCACGCCACGGACCCCTCGCATCTCCCCCAGCATTTTAACCTCGTTCAACGCAACATCTTTACCCCCAAGGACCCAATGATCCTTGATGATGTATTCTTTACCATTCCTCCTGGCTAAATAGCACACGGTACCGCGCCCAACGAGCCCCTGACTCGAGAATATGAGTTCGAGAATATCATATGCATGGTCGTTGACTATGATCCTGCCGATCGGGGTTGAAAAAGTGGCACGAAGGGGATCTTGGGGTATTTCTAACTGAGGGGGGTCTATGGGGAGGCTTTCCTCATCCGACATCTCCGTGTTTGAGTCTGTCCCCAAGGCAGACTCGGGTGTTGCAGTGCCTGCGATCGGACTTCCTGCCTGGGGACCTTGTGCGGATGGTCTGTTTGTAGAAGGGCGAGAAGTTGGATCTTCGAGTTGAGCAGGGCGAAGCGTCTTCGTAAATATACTGATGGAAGGATCATACCCAATACACTCAATACACTCAAGACTACCGAAGACGACACTGGATAAGATTTGCAGGTAACAATTTGGAGCATTGTCGATATGGATAGGAGGCGTCATGACACCACCTGCATGGTCGTACATGTGGACTCGCAGTTCGCGATATCCATTGGTAAGGGAGCAAAGTAAGACAAAACGCCTCCAAGGTTGGCGTCTCAGTAGAAGGTAAGCCTTGTTGTCGATTGTCTTTCCAATTGTGCCTGTGGGTATGTAAACTTGCGACGTCAACTCACAAACTGCTTTAATGGTATCCCAGCGAGCCTCCACGTCGTCCAACAACGCAAGGTCAGGCTTCCGCATGACTTCTTGATCCTTCACGGGGCGCATGGAGTTGCGTGCACTCCAAGTGCGAACGACTGCTCCGCTGTTTGCCGCCATAACTTCTGTTCGCTTCTTCTGGGCAACAGCAGCACATGTGATGTTAAAGAATGCCGAGAAGATATCTTCCAATGTGTGTGGTTTGGGGCTGTCATTGCCAGTAGTGCTGACCCCCGGAGGGTGTTGAGTTAATGGGCTCTCCCCACTCCCAAACTCCAAGTTTCCCCCGCTATTCTCTTCTCCATCTCCATCCTCTTCAAGATCGGGTAGTTGATCAATGCCAGATTCACGGTGCGACTTTGGAAGGGCCCAGTTCCATCTACAGTTGACGTCGTCATACAAGGGAACCATGGACTGTTCATCGAGGTGAGCAAATTTATCGTGTAGTCTGGAGTCACGATAACGAATTTTATGTAATGGAACCTGGAGCTCTGTGACGTCTGGGACTTCAAGGGTGAATGTCCTAAAAATCCGTGATAACATATAGCTGAGAGGCTGCTCAGCATCGGCTGGTTCTTCTTCTTCAACGATTAAGTGATTAAGCTCGAGATCGGTGAGTTTATCCAGCGTAGGCACATCACTGACGCAAGGAGCCAACATCAGCGATGCTAACTTCATCCCAAAGTCTACAGTTTTACTGTGTTCTGCGGGTGCCATGATTTCAAGCTAGTGCCAGGTAAGAGCAACAATGACATTCAACAACGGAATACTGAAGTACATAAGTATATCTTTTAGCCTACAAAAATGGTGCATATCAAGTATAGACTTGGTGCAAGTACTACTCGGATAGTGCAAAAAAGGTATGTTTGTCCCAAAAATAATTCAGCCAAAACTCCGTGGCGTGTTCCATGCTATTGTACGCCGTGAGATGCGTGTCCGCAGTAGTACCAAAACGAGGAATGAGATGGACAGGCACTTTAAACTGAGAGACTGGAATGATGTCGCCCATCTGTGTACCATTAGAGCGTTTTGCTCTTTTCACTGTGTGCAATTGAGTGGTCGGATTGCGTTCACTGGAAATATCAAAACGTTGGACGTAAGTTAAGTACTGATCGTCCCATGCCCATCGTGTCTTGCTTTTGCCAACAGGGCGAATGACGAGCCTAATTTGCGCAATGGAGTGCCCTGCAGGGGATCATTATTTGGCTTAGTGAAGATTACCATGAAAAACAGAAAGAATGTACCTGAAAGGCCGCTGGCAGGCCAGGAGTGCCCTGAGCTGGTCTGAATGATAACTGTATCATAACGACCTAATGTCCAAGGGTCACTAGGCGGTGCGCAATTAAGCATTTGAGCGGGTCAAATGATATGAGGATCGTGAAACTCAGTCTCCTGCAAACGAACTTTAAACCACACTTGAACTTTGTCAAACGGGAGCTCGGCGTCATGCGCAGCCCTTCTAGGACCACCTATCGAGTGAATGTGACTACCGTAGGTCGCTTCACGGTAAAGAAAATCAGCAATAGCAGGTCGCAAGTCAGGAAGGCCGAACATGATCGCAACTTCATTGACAGTGGTGTTCTTGATGGATGGATCATAAGCGAGATGAAGAGCAGTGCGTCCGACGACAAAAGAATGAAGTGGGACAGGTACCGATCCAACTTCCTTCTGTTGGAGTATTTTGGCGATTGAAAAGTAATCCGTGATAGGACGAGGCTGTCCAGGTCTTCGAGTTGGGGATGGTAGCTCTGTGGGAATGACATCCGTGTAATAATCGATTTTGTCATCCTCCTCGACAAATTCCTCCCCAACAACTCCCGTGTCCTCCGAGTGATCTAACAGGCTTGTGGCGAGGTCAAATCGATTGCATTTATCAGCGCGATCAAGGTAACGACAGATTTGTGGGTCATAATTGTTGTTGTTGCTGGACCTTGCAGGGTCTTTGACCTCGGTGATGTGCGCATGTTCAGTGACATCTGCAGACCACTGTGCAATGACGCCGGAGTTGCGGATACTGGGGACGATACTCTGCATAAGTTCGAGTTTTGGAATATGCCAGTTGTCGATAACTTTACCACCTTTGCCCTGGCGGACACCAGCAGCAATGATCGCGTGCTTGTTCGCATGGAACTCGTCCAGTGCGGCTGTGATACGAGTAAGATCCCTATCATCAATAGATGGCGACTGCACAAGATATCGAAAGTGCATGAGTGCGCGTACAGCAACAACAACACCGGGAGGTGCTGCATCCGCGCTGACCGCGATAATTGACCGCTGGACGTCTCGGTGACAACGGCCTGTAACCTGCTTAAGTTTTGAGATACCTGTATGAAAGTGCCGATAACCAGTAGTGGGCTGAATGATTGAAAAACGAAAATCTATTTCAGACTTTCCCACTGCAAGGATAATCCATTGCGCATCATGGTCCCAAAACTCCTTGTGAATGTGGTGAAGCGATTCGGGTGTAAAAAACCGGGACGGTTCTGCTAGTAACCAGTCCCACCAAAATGGTTCATCCACGCCATTTAGGCGAAACTTCTGCGCCTCGCGGAAAAATGCTTCGAGATCATCTGGACAAGCGCGTGAGCGCACGATTTTCAATTGCTCAAGAGTTTTTGCTCGAGTCCGGGGTTCATGCTGGAAGGGATCCCCGAATTGTTTGTACATTGCTATCGTCACTGGAGATGTCTTTCCACCAACGCATGCCAGCATCATTGCCTCGGGGGTGTCAGCAATATAGCTAGCGAGCATAGTAAAGCAGTAACGACTGCGACCCATAGGATCTGACATCATCACGCCATTTCGAGCAGCGAGCTTCAACGGTTCGAGTACGATGTTCAAGCAATTGTGAACGAGCCGATCCTGCAACACGCCTCTCATTCGTTTGTTTTTGTGAACAAATTTTGTGACCAGTAGTAGGGCAGTGAGAAGGAAAGCGTTGGAGGATGATTTGAGCCGCGTGGTCATGTAGATGTTGGCGAGGCTGATGAGGAGAGGGTGCGCGACACAATCGCCTGACAATGCAGTAATGCATGTCTTGTCCGACGATAGAATAGTTCCGAGGAGAGTTGCACCACGGGGAAGCGCTGACTTCAAGAACAAATGAGATGATGACTTCAAGAGGGACTAATACATACCTGCATCTCCCAGGCATGATCACCCGTCATCCATTCGGTATATATCCGAGAGTGCCTCTGCGTTGTGCTATACTCCTTGCGAGACATGTAGTCGAGACAATTGTGAAATAAAGGATGGTTGAATATCGTAGTGATACATTCAAGAGGATCCCACCAGTAAAGGACAGCTGGAGACTTTGTGGGATGCAACGTTTGAATGACCTGGGACTTCCAACGCGGACCGCTAGGCAGCGATTCAGCTCGACCACGTAGCTCTTTTGCTGAATGGAAGGATAAAGGTAGGTCATCGATCTAAGTACCGTCTCAGAGAAGTGATCATCGCAATATTAAATCAAACACTGACCATCTCTAGCGCTAGAAAGGAATTTATTTTCTCCATGCTTAAGCCCGAACGCAGAAGCCACGCGGCAAGTCGCCATTCCCTCCTACCACTGAATGGATAGTAGAGATTTGTTTTGCGATATATACTGTTTTCGTCAGCATCGAATAAGCTTAAAAATGTGTAACCCTCTTCGAAAGCCAGCGGGGGCTCCAGAAAGTAGTCGGTTGCTTTGACCTCACTGTCCTCGTCCCGAGTTCCACCTTCAGAGTCCAAATCCTCTCCTTGACTCCAAAAATCATAGGAACTCGCATCTACTTGAGGGTCATTGATGTCGTCCACCACCATGGGATCATGTTCCGTACTAGGTGGCAAGATGGAGTTGAGTTGGATTAAGTTGTCTAGCCAGCTATTACACCCAGAACGAGGTTGGCTCATATGACGAGTGACAGAGGTATGGTCCTTGAATTGCTTTCCGCACGATGGGCAATGACTTGGAACTAGTGCCATGGCGCTCAGGCGCTGATATTGATATCTCTGAGTCACAGACTTAGCGAAACAAAATCAGATTTGAATTCGGCATTTTCCAGATACTGACATGTCATCCTCATCACTCAAGTTTAATATCGCTACTTTGCAATCACTGTCAGCACTTGCTTCCTGCCCTGATGATTCTTCTCGCTCCAATAATGAATACAATGAGGGAGCACCTCGTGGTATATGTGACCTATACGAAATTCTCGAAGCTGTAAATTCAATTGTGAGTCCATCCGAGTCGTCATTTCCGCCATTTTTCATCACACCTTATATTGGAATAGCCCGGAGTCCATGAACCAACTAACACCGAGGCAAGCCTTGTGCTGGATCTTGCAAGAGCCAAGCGTGATGTCTTCCTCGCTCAGAAAGAGCTTGCAGACTGCATGATACGGGAAAATGAGGTGTTTGCGAGCCTGCTCAGAGTCCGTGCAGCAGCAGCCGAGAAGATGATAGATCAGACAGATATTGGGCTGGGATGTATGAGAGTTGTTTTTAGAGACCACGGTTGGTCCCACATCCCTCCCAGTCGTCCGTCACAAGAACAAGGTCCATCAAGTTTGCGTGGTACGTGTGTCCTTTCTCTTGCAATATTGTTGATTCTAATGCTTCACACTTGGAAGGTTTACACAGGCGACGTTCTGGAATAATTCTTAATTGATTATTCGAGGTCTTGTATCATCATTTTGTGTTATGTTGTCCTTGTCTATATATTTGGTATTTCCATAGTTATGCTATGTAGCTTTGAGCCATATGTTCCGAATCAATTCTTGTCACACTTTTGTTCGAGTCCGGCTGAGCCTCAAGTCAAACAACTTTATAGTACTAGATTATGACCTTGGCCCTGT